AATTTTCCGCCATACGAAATGCAAGCATTTCGATACACACTTAAGTGCGGGGGGGGGGCTAAGATCTCATCGTAGGATTTAAAAGCTTTCTGCCTGCTCGCTTAAGCTCATTTCCTTTGCAGATGTTCTTTTTCTTCTTATTTTTTCATCATGTTCTTCAGGCATTCACACTAGTCAGTCATTTCCGAAATTCTCGTTCTTGATCTCTTGCTTCATCTCCATAAGTTCATGGTCCCTTGCAATTAAGCGCCTAGATTTGGGCACCTTTTGTTTTTGTGTATTCGTATATATGCCTACATACGTTTTGTTGAAAAGTGTACTGGGCGGAAGAAAAAAGGACGGACGTTTCTTCTTTCGTTTCGCCAATTGCGAAGCTACGAAGCATTCAGAATACACATGCGCACATATCTCGCGTTTGGCTCGGTGCCCAGCTTTTTCTATATATGTATGTGTGTTCGGCGCAGTAAAGAAACGCGTATGCGTGTGTAGCTCTTCGAAGTACTACTGTGGACCTTGAGAGTCGACGGGACCCTCATACTCGGTCGCGCTATTTTTCAACGAAAATTTTTTGTCTGTATGTTGCCATTCGGCTTGTCCAAGGTCACATGCCCGCCCTTTGGAGTGTAGCTGCTGCTTCTGCTTCTTCTTCTTCTTCTTCTTGTTTTCGCTCCGCCCACTTTAGTCGAGCCCTGGGGGTGAGCTCCCCGCAACGGCCTTCCATGAACACGATGGAGAGTTGGGACGGCGCCAACAAGAGCGAACGAAAAAAAGAGTCTGCAAAACCGTGGAGAGCAGAGAGAAAAGGCCTGGGGGAGAAGGGACATGCGCCCATGAGGGCAACGACGTAGACTGCGAAAAAAAAGAGCAATTCTCCAATAAACATTCAGTGCCCTCCCACTTTTTTCTCTTTTTCGTTTTGTGTTTTCCGCACAGTGTACCCGCCTATATTCGGCGTGTCGCCCGCAAGAACTCTCCTCCCTTCAGGCGATTCGCCAATGTGTACCAAACGCAAACATCGTCCGCAAAATGAAAAGCAACACACTTTTTAGGTGTCGAAGAGCATTTTTTTTTCCAAGAGCTCGAACACTGTACACAAAACGAGCGTCGCTCTTTCGATTCCTTGTCTTCGCGATTGTTTCTCATATTGTTAATCAAGTTTTCAACTCATTTGGTTGGTTTCATTGAGCGCGTAAAATTGAACACGCATGACAGAAAAACGTTGACTGATTTTAAACATGTCGACGATCACGAGTATTCCTAGCAAGTTTACGCTGGAACAAAACGCGCTGATAACACTTGTCGCCGAGAACCGCCAGTTAACTACAAAAAACCGTTTTTAGCGGGCATTGCAATTTTTGAAACGGATTTTGAACGGAACCATAACCACGCCCATCGATGGTTCTATTCTTCACATTAATGCATTATCATGTGTTCAATGTCATCATTTTTGTTTTCATTGAATTTCTAATTGTCCAAATCATATCATGACACTTAAGATCGCACGTGCTTATTCTTATCAACGTTTAAAATTTTCGAAACGTTACACTATACAAATTTGCATTTGGAACCGACTGATGAAAGAAAGTGCATAAATGTTGGAATTTCACATATCAAAATTTTCAAATTTTTTGCCATGAGGCCATAATAGGTCTCAAAATTCCAAATTTTTCGTTCATTCAATAACAATTCCGAATGACCACCAAAATTCTTGAACATTTTCTATTGGAATTGAGCCAATTATGAAGAGCAATAATACTAGAGTCATTGAGTTAGATACGGTAGCAATGGGTTCCTATTTTTCAACTAAAATTTAATCGCGGGGGGTTCTAAAGCGTTTAAAGACATAGGATCAATTTCTAACGAACCTAATAGTCATGTAATAAAATTTGTACGTAATTCTTCAAATAGCACTATCACTCCCGGTTTTATGGATCGTTTACACCGTGACAAAACGAACAAGAAAAAAATTGGAAGAAGGTGAAGGCAATGGAAGAAACGTTCAACGATTCATTTAATGTCGTTGTCCTTTTCTTTTTTCTCGTTTTCGCTTTATTCTGTAGCGTAATTGCAATGCCACCGTCGTAGTTGTCCTAATGTTCGCGCTTGCTTGTCCTCTTCTTTTTTGCAGTCGGTTCGAAAAATTCCGCGTGTTCACTGCCTGCCGCCACCGCCGCCGCTGCGGCGGCATGCTGCTGCTGCGCGCATCATCTTCCTCATTTTATTTGCGTTTTCGTTGTTTCTTTTGGCGAGTGTAGAATCGAAGAATGACGAGAAGAAGATGATGGAGAAGAAGATGGCGAAGAAGGCATACGAATGCAAAGAATAAGATGAAGCGAGCGAACAAACTTTGGCGCGGCGGGAGGAGCGCGTTGCATGTTGCCGTCGGCACAATACCGAACCGAAAGATCATGCAGATCATGGAGGTGCACGATCCGTGCCCTGTGCGGCGCCGCGCGCGTTCAATCGCCCCCGACGGTTTGCCTGCATTCTCGCCAACCGGTTGTCAACACAATTCTGCGAGACAGTGAATATGTCTCGCCCGACGCTGCTTCTTGATAGTAGACATCGTTGGCGATCGAGAGACAATTCGAAAAGAACAATAATATATATCGAAGACAATGGCATGATTGTGAATTTAATAGGAAACGATTTCCCTCTCTCCCACTCCCATCTTTGCGGTTTTCTTAGCGCGCGTTTTGGTTCGTTACTACATCATTTCATCGCGTCGCACAAAGTTCCGAAACTTTCAAAATTCACGCATTTTTGTTTCGAAGACTTAAACCAATCAAAAATTTACGAGCTTCTAGAAGCATGAAAGCGAAGTTCAGCATTTCTTTCGCCGCTGCAAATTGCGAGTTCGCGTCCGCTGATGATCAATGTCCCAGTGTTCAGTGAGAGAAAAAAGAACCCAATTTGATTGGTTCGCCCCCGCGATTTATTTTTAGACGCTCATGCTCAACTTTTGGCCATCATTTTTTTCTTTCATAAGCATTGAGACAAAATGCTTGACCGCGTTCATTGTTGGCTTTGCGACGAAACCGTGCCGTCTGGCGCCGCCCCTTTTCCCTCCCTCTTTTTTCTGTTCTCCCTACACCCGGTGGAAAAGAGCATTAGAACAAAAACGTTTCAATTGGAGTGGCAAAAAAAACCAGATTCCGATGTTCTTTCTCACCCACTCTTCCACTACAAGGTTCTTTCAGTTGTTCTCACACATACCTCCCGTCATCCAGTTTTTTTTCTACCCGGGGTTCTAGTGCTTGTTACTATGCGTTTTTTTCTTTATGCTATTTATATGTATCACGCATTAAATTCTTCGAATTCATTATGCTTCGTTAATCATTCGATCCAAGACATCTAATTTAATTTAATTGGATTCATGTTTGAGCTCGAGATGCATTGGCATCTATGTATGTATAATTAGCACGATTTATAAGAATCCATTCAGAAAGTGCTAGCTTCCATTGTACTTTGCAGAGTCCATTCACTTCATTCCTCCTCTCCATCCTAGCATGAACACTATGAATACTCAATATTGAATTAGTGAGCAGCGGTTTTCGCCCCCACCGCCACGCCCATTTTACTATACGTTTTTGGTTGAATTTTTGACGAGATGGGCCACTGTTAAAAATTGAGAGCAAAATGCTGATAAAAATGTCCATTATCAGCAATACACATAATCGGCTCAGTTCGAATGTACAATTTACGGCGCCATTCGAAAACCGCTTCACTCAATTTTTTGCCGCAAACCGTGCGATTATATTCAAAGAACGGCCGGCGCCAGATTGGTTTTCCGTTCAGGCTGTCGCGTCGCCTTTCATAACTCGCCTTCATGTATTGAATAGTTTGCCTGCAACATGCAGCAGCAGCAGCAGTAGCAGCCACGATAGAAGATAAGGTTTTTCGTTTCCGTTCGACGGTTGGTTGATCGGAACAGAAAAACTTTTTCGAATTGACGAGAGAAAAAGAAATAGATGTGTGGCGGATGGGGGAGAGAAGAGATGCGGGCCAAGAGTGCGAACAGGAACGAGAATTAAAAAAGTGCAACCCCGCGGGGTAGAGTTGATCGCCGAAACACTCAAAGTTTTTGGCAATCGAACAGATCTTGTGGCATAGTACAGATGCACTTTTTTTCACGTTCGCGTAATGCTGTGAGACCAACTAGCCACATTCTCTCAGTCTCTATCTCGCCAAATACTATGTCGACCCACCCCTTCCTGGACTTTTTTTGCCCTTTCGCTCTTGGAACGGGGCTGAGCCGTTGTCCTTTGAAAAACTGGGGGCGCGTTCGCTTCACTAACTGAAACCTGATCCGCTCTCAGAGCCTACGATAATTAGTTAGGGGCCGCTTTTTTGTCCCTCTTTTCTTGAGCACTTGTTGGAATTCTTAAGACATTTAGCGATGCCTATCTCTGAATTGTGTTCTGGCGAAGCTTGTTCAATGATACCAATGACCTTCAAGCGCTTCGAGAAATTCATATCTATTGTTACCTATAGGTTACACACAAACACACGCCGATTCGACTGTAGTAACAAAAATTTATATGAATATATGCATTTTCGCTTTACACTAGCTTTACAGAGTCAACGATTTTTTTTCTCGCCAATCTCGAACATTCACTAACCATTTGTCATGCTTGAATCGCGGGTTTACACTACTTTGGTATCTCGATACATAGTTTGTTATCGATATCCCATTTTCATTTATCATTCAACTGTTTTTTGTTCGCTCCGCACACATCAGCGAACGATTGACTGCTGAACCCATTCATTTTTCTATCGGCGCCTATCTTATAATGGAATGCAGGGGCGGTGCTCGTCTGTCTCCTGATTTCTAATCGCAATTTCATTTCCCATTTCATATCGACTGAAACGCGTGTTCCTCTCTTTCTCGCTTATTGTCGCCACTCTCGTATCAATATAACGATTTTGTCTTTTTTTTTGGGTAGTAACAACGAGAACAAATTGCACACTTTTCATCCAATCGCTTCTCATTTTCAACTATGGACATACCCGGCCCGTCGAATATCACAACGGGCTCCAGTAACGTCGTCAGGCCCATATCGGTGTACTATGCCCCGACAACGCCGCCGCCGATTCAACAACTTCCGCAACCAGCATTACAGCCGGCTCAGTTAGCAGCACTGAATCCGGCATTTGCTGCCACTTTCTTGCCGTTTCAATTTTACCAAAATTCGCTGAATTTACTTCAAATGCCAAAGACGCAATACTTAGCGAGATCCGAGATTAGTGCATTCAAGTGTGTTAAAAAAAAACCCATCAATTCGATTTCAAAGTTTCAAATTCTGCTTAATTTCAGGGAAGTAAATGATTTACGTACGGCAGTGAACATGATTCTACCAATGCTGCCAATATATCAGCAACTTCCCAATAGTCTCAACGCGGCGGCAACCGCTGCTCTTGTGTCACAGCAACCACAACTGTCGTCGGTGTTGACGCAAAATCTTTTGCGAAAACGTTCCGCGGCGGTTGGTCCCCAGCCAAATTCTGCGTCGATTCCTGAGTGCCCGGTGTCCATGCGCAACGTATTGAGTGCATGTGAGTTGCACTTTTGCGCAAACGCTTTGAATAACAAATGAATTACAGCCCAGCTACAAAACGCTCTGTTTCTGAATCAATTTATGATGCCTCCAGTGCCCTCCGTTTCGCCGACTCTTCCAACAGGCCAACTTCCAATTCCAACACAAGATCGGCCAATTATAACAAGTGAAGAGCAAGGCGTCAAATGGAGCAGCCCGTCCAGCGTGGATAGTAACGGACAGAAGACTGACAGCTCAACAGGTGACGTATTTTAATTTTTGTTTGAACACTTTAAAAGATAAGATGGCACCACCTTGGCGCCATTGCATAGAATTCTTGTTCATATCTTGTGTTCGCATGATTTCTTCATATCATTGAAATGTCAGCATTCATCTTGTGGAGTGAGAAAAAAAAACGCCTTAAGCCAATCATTGCAAGTGTGGAAGATGATGCGATATCTCGATTCGTCGCCTTTTTGACGAATAATTACCTGATAACAGCGACAATCTCTTATGGTTTTTATATGAACTCAATAACGCGAAAGTGTTTGTTATCTGCTTCCCTCGTACTGGCGCCATTATCAACGGTGGCGCGTTGGTTCGGCCGAACACTACGGTAGACGATTTGAAAAATGAAGAGATGCACCCCCCCCCAAACCCCCAATTCGACGATTCGCTTTTCGTTTTGGGCATTGACTCTGCTCGGGAAGAGGCAAAAAAGAAATTCGATTCGATTAAGGAAAAGTGCGCCTTTTTTAGTGTTAGTAGTGAACACGACATAGGAATAGAGTACACACCGCAATTATGTATATCCCTGCGAGGATGCACTTTTCCGTGTTCCGCTTTTCTAGAATCTCGAATATCACCCAGGCGAACATGACGAAAAAAAATGAAACGTCTATAGCACTGAAAGGAATGAAAGCCGACACTCGGGAGCGAATGAAAAATGAATGACGTTGCATTATTTTCAGCTTCCGCTAGCGATTCGCACAACATCGACATCGTTGGTGACGGTAGCGAATCTTCGACATCATCAGCGAGTGCTCAGGTAAACATTATAAAAAGCAAACAATAATGGGAAATGGAAAAAATTGCAAACGAACTCTGTTTGCACTAGCTCCAGGCTGGATCTCCAATCAGATCGCGCTCCCGTCATTTTTTTCTGTTGTCTGGCAGACGTGCTCGAGAATCATCTTCATTTCTGTTTGAACAGTCGTATTTCCGCGACGGAAGGTCTAATTTGCGCATTGTTCGATTTTTGTGCCGCTCGCTCTCATTTTTTTTTCATGACAACACAATATGTTTACATTGTCTACCTGCATGGAAGGGATTTGAATGTTCCAACGTCAACCTTGAATTCAGGATCAGATTGCGCAATCCATTTACAATGCCGTTCAAAACGCGGCTGCGCAACAGAAAGCCCAAGCTGAGTTGGCCAGTGTCCTTAAAGGTGATGCGAGCATGTTTTTCCCAAATGCTGCTCAGCCTGTGGCCGCCGCTACTCAAGCTCCCGCCTCGAGCGCTGCTAAACTTTCGACAGCTGGGCCAGAGAGAAAACCAAGAGTAACGATGAACTAATTGCAATTCTGATGAAACTATTGCGAAATTTCAGAAGCCAGTAAACGATGATATTGTCAAGATCGTGCGTCAACAGGACCTTCGTCCAGAAGCCATTGCAACCATTGAAATTCCAGTTCCAAAAGCCGTTGAATCTGACCCAGGTCATTCAACCAATCCTATGTTTGCATTAATAAATTTTTGTTTCAGGCTTCCGCCCGGTTTCGGAGCAGCAGATCATTCAACAAATTATTCAAGGCAAGAAATACGAAGAGATGGAAGTTGGAGAATGCATGATTCAACTCTGCAAGAAGCTTGCTGAAAAACGTGTCTTCGGACCACGTCTTATGTCGCAGACAACTGTCGCAGGTCTCAACCACTCCAACTATTCAAATTTGCCTATCAAAGGCATCTGCTACATTCAACGTAAGCAGAATGCACTTGTGTGCAAATAGATAGTGTTATCAATTTTCAGATGTGTGCTGGAAGGTTCTTCGCAACCGCTTTGGACACGATGAAGAGTTTTGGGATAAGTTCCGTGAGGCGATGCGCAAGTTGGCGGCTCGTTGCCGTCGCGTTCGTCACGCCAAGAAAACCAAACATAACCGCGAAGAATCGTTGGCGCAGCAGGAGTTGCTCGCCAAACGCTTCGGCGAGGACGGCGTGTTGAATGTGCCATCAAGCTTATCGCACACGATTCAAAGTCTTGGACTTGGCAATCTTCGCCCAAAGACGGAGGCAAACCTTGAAAGTTTGCTGCCCAACAATGACGCGAGCAATATCACGATCGGACAACTCGGACATCTTGAGCTCCAAAACATTGCTGACACGGTAAGTATGCATAATATGCATGCAAATAAATCCAAAGGCCACCAATTCAGAAGTCATTTAAGAATCTAGGCGAGCAAGAGACAAACGTCGTTCAGTCGCTTTTGCGAATGGCCAATAATGACTTCGGTGTCAAGTCAGAACCACTCTCGCCAGCTTAATATGAAGGCTCGATTCGATGTTTCGCCATCACCTTGCGGTTGAGACTGAAGAGTGTGTCATTTCTTCTATGTTCGGTTTCAATCTTTCCACAAACTGAATTACTCTATACATACAACCAACACCATATTCATTGCTTCCCCAAGTAGCCTTTATTCACGATTTTAAGTCCCGTTGAATTCAACTATTTCCCAGCGATTGTTGTCCATCAACGACCCAGTGATCACTTGACGAATCGCCGATTGAATCTCCACGAGGCATTCGCCAAGCATCCCCGGTACCTGGCGAAAGCATTCCAACAACAGTCCAATTTCCATTTATATTTGTATAGACAATATATTAGAGTTTTATTTTGAATTTCGTCTTATTTTGAATCCCATACAGATTATTGACTAGAGCATTTACCGCTTTCGGCTTCAAATTTTGGTTGTACTAATTTTATTGCATCCTTCATTTTGATTGTTTAACCAAATTCATATGTAATAATTTTGTTATCATTGGTCCTGCTTATCGCGGATTTTAATAATTTAGGCGGAGAATTGTATCTATTGTTATTATCCTAAGAATTGTATCTGTTTGATAGGCAACAAGACATTATTGTTACATTTGAATCTATCTCATAACCCAAACCTCAATTTCAAACTAAAAAAATCTTCCATAATTTGAACTGGCCAACCGCAAAACATTATTCCTCATTATGCTTGATATTATCTCAGGAATCATTTTCAACTCAGGAATTTTAAAATGGTCTCTCTTTAATATCGTGAACCCTTGTCAGCTCCATTTCCCTTACCCTCAGAATCAAGTCTCAATATATGTTTGTCATCCTCACCCTCTCCGAATAGATAAAATTATCTTGTCCACATCCCCCAACCAACTCAGGAATCTTCTCAATCTCAGGAACTCACCCAACTCAGGAAACCTACCTCATCATCTTGTCAAAAAGCATGCTGAGGCACAGAACTTTATTTTAGATATCATATAGTTTATTGTATCCAGTATTTCTTGTACTTTGCCCAACAACAATTCGTCTCGCAAATCTTGAGAAAAAAACTAGCAAAGTACAAGTAATGCGCTTCTACCTCAGGGAGACTCACATTTCTTCAAATGTCTGATGAACTTTATTATATATATATACATTTAACCATGATGATGTTTTTTATATTTATAATTTTCTGTATGTTTTTTTTGTATGACATAATTGTTGTATTGTTTTATGGATGCCGAAATGTATTTGCCGTAACCAATTGACTTGCTTGATTTCTTATATATCCCATGCTGAAAACTGTTCTTTCTATATGTAACTTAGCTTTTGTTTTGTTTATTCTTTCTTGTGACATTTTGAGAATTGAAAACCGTATTACCTCAAACTTCGAATTACCCTCAAAATGCAAATATCTCTGGAAATCTTGATTGCTTCGCTTATATATATCCTCTCAATATGTAACCAATTAACCTCAAATATTCTGCAAATATATATATATATGCATATATATATATATATATATATATACATACATACATACTACTTCTATTACTAATAAATGCGTTTAAAAAATCAATCCACATACATCAAAAATGGCGTGCAATCTAAAAGTGCTCCTGATAAAAAGTGTAAATGGAACAGAAATACAATAGAAATAGATAAAAACTGAAAGCGGATTAAACATTGATGTGGAATTGATCACGCGATCCCGTTATACGGTAGGTGGACCTGAATCATTGAAATCATATACCGGATATGAACGTACTGCGTTCAAATCATCATGCACATCACACATTGATAACGTTTGACTGTTTCGCTGAAGGTGAGAATTAAAATTGACATGCCGGTGGACTTTGTTCAAATTCAGTGAACAGAAACTCCTGATAACGATTGATTCCTAGAAAGAGTTCGGTGTAGCAGGAAGATTAACTTCTGAATATATATTTCATAACATGATTAACGTTCTGAAATTGTTAAAACTGGAGTATGTTTTAAACGAACATCTAACAAACATATTGCGCGGAAGAATGATGGCGTTTTTTTTTCTCGGAAGATTTTTTTCAATCGCCGTTCTGATGCCATCACAATTCCAAACACCCATTGAAACTATTTTTATCTCTGCAAAAAAATCTTGACAAAATGTCAAACGACATATGTTCTTTTCATAGGTTTTTGCCAGAGAAACATACGTGACAATGATTAATCTCGGTAAAGTCCATCTTCTCTATGAACGCCCAAGATTTTTTTGCAAAAACGTTGTCTGTTCATCTATCTTTTGGTTGAGGCAGTAATTTTTATCGATATCTGATCATGGATTAAACACAATTGGACATTGCAATGTGATACGTCAATGAAACATCAATCGTTCGTTCTTTTTTAAACTTTTGATCTACGTAAGAATGTATCAAAAATTGCCAGACTGACCGTGTACTTGTATAATTGTAATCAGACAGGCATCACATCATCGTATCTCTATTCTCATTCTCGTTCCGACGGAAGATGTCTTCTTCGAAATATTCTGATTGCGCGTTTCTTCCAGCACTATGAAGCGTACATCAAATCGTTGTAAACATTTCGGAACTGTTTTTCATTTGTTGTTTTTCCTGTCACTTCAAATAAGGTGATTGATATCTGAAAAATTGAAATAGATTGGTCATTCGGGAAACATACATTAATATTAGCGAAGCGAGATCAACGTTTTGAAGCATCTCTATTAGTATGATCGTTTGTGCTGCATACTATGCACTTCGCTTTCCCGAAGCAAACTGTCAACGCTATCGCGTGATTTTAGTTGTCTACGTATCAATGTTCCCAACCGTCATTAAATTGTTATCACGAACACTTTGACGTTTAAGAGCGCCTAAAATTATATTGCATGTTCCATCACATGAATGGCTTGGAGTCATGCGTTGTGCCGCCTCACTGAGACCCTCACTGATGATGCTCAGCGGTAGAATTTCGAAATTTCGATTGATTGCTTATGAAGTTGTGTAACGAATCAATCTACCATTAACGCGAATTCGGCCTTCAAAATTGCAGAGCTGATGAATTTATAACACTGGAGGAATTCGAAAATATTGTTCATTCAAGATTACTATAACTATGGCGAATTCAACGACGAAGCTGAAAGTCGCTTAGTCTCTTTGTCGGTTCATCATTCGCCTGTTAAGGCGCGAATTCTAAGATTTTTGGTCCTTGGCTTGAGTGGACCACGGTGTGATTACGGCTGTGTCGCTCACAAAATTTTGATATAAATCCAAGACATTTTCAGAAAATATTTACAGTCGTGGCTCTCGTAAGGAGCATTTTTCAGAATATTCTAGCCATTATAATCTTTATTGCAAACAATTTACAAATAAGAAAGCAAACTGATGTAATTTTGGAACTCGAAAAAATGTTTTTGAAGAATGGGGGAAAAACTGGTTTCGTGGTATTGTTTTAAATTTGAACAGTAACAGTACTACGAAAGAAATGTTTTTTTTTATTTATGTAGATTAAGGATGATGAGCTGTGTAATACAAAGCTCGAATAATTCGAATTTATAAATAATGGGATAGATTAACAAAACACAATATGAGAGAAAATTTATAACAAAGTAAATAGATTATTTTTGAAATATTTCCCATTAACAATTGTTTCGGTTATTCTTTTATATGACAGTTTCATATTGCCTTAAAACATGCTTCTATTTGGTTGGAAAACAGCTTGTCATGCATGTTCATTTAAACGGCCCACCGCCCTCGGGACGAAACGGCTCTTCGAATAATTATGCAATTCGCTTGCGCTAATTGCCCTAGCTGCCCGAAATCTGCCATATTATGCATGCGGGAATATCTAACCAAATAAAATGTGAAAACAACTTACAATCGACTAGAACCTTTTAAGTGATGTTGAAAAATACATTAAAAAAAAGAAACCTTAGTGCAAAATGTATTTTCAATAAGTTTTTATTGGCTTTTGAGCAAATTTTTTATACTAGATTCTCTATTTTATAGATTATTGATAACAAAGTTGTAAAGCAACATATGAACTGTTCTTGTGTTTCACATTTTTCTTTAATAAGCTAAATGATCAATGTTCAAAATAATAGTCATGTTATTAAAACTATCTCAACATTTTTCAAATATATTCGACACTAAAAACGATTGATGAAAGAAATCTACACACATGGGTAATATTAATAAATAACAGGATAGGTGAGTAATTGAACAACTGTTCGTTTCACTATCCTGAAAGTTTTTTTCGTACAACGATTCGGAATTCCTACGCAAATTGCGAGTGTAGCAATCATTGATTTATGATTCCAAGGAAATGTGTAATCTAATTTTCACGCAAGTACAAGCGTAATCTTGTTGTTTTGGAAAACAAAGTGTTCAGGGAGTTGAGAGTAAAAGCAATTCTAGGAACTTTTCAGAGTATTTTAGAAAAAAATTGTATAAATCGTAAACAAACAAATATCACAAGCCGATCGAGAAAAGTCTTACATCGTTGGCGTAAAAAATTGATAAAAGTTCAGAAACAATATATATTGTGGTTTTTTGTGATCGTAAAATTTTCATTTGTGCAGAACAAGGAATAATATTAAATATTGTTACACATTTCGCTTTTACATATTGTGAGAGCAACACGAGAAAAACTAAACGAGATACGATGGAATGTAATGTTAAAAAAAAAATATATATCTCGTTGTGAGCAACTGAAATGGTTTGGTCGACAACTGAAATTCAATTGTTTTTGTCGAAGCCGCATATGAACGTGTTGGATTAGAAACGCGTAAATTAGAAAATTTATTGTCTTTCATTTCGAAAATCCGAAAAAATGCTTCGGACGAATGGCATGTTACGTCACCTTGTTCTATATAGAAGCAATTTTTGAAAATGAACGTATGCACATATGTTAGGACAAGTGAAAATGTTAGTTTCAATTGATGTTGGCTGAGACTGATTTCCACTTATCTACTTACTTTATCGGAACGATCATCTCATTAAACTTCAAATATTAAACGACACTGATCAATGATTCGTCACTATTTTAATATGGCAATGAAAATGATTAGGTATATATGTTTTTATAAACCATTACATAATGTAAAATCTGAAATAATCTACAAACCTTATTGATTTAATCACTTTAGTTTGAAACGTTCATTATTTTCGTTATAAGTATAGATTTCTATTCGTATATTTTATATTTTCCAGAAATGTAAAATAGGTTTTAGCTGTGGCAATTCTCTTCACCACCCAAAAATGCATTTTGCTATTACGAAACATATTTACTAATGCAAGATTATTTTATTTATTAATTCCGAAAAAATTAATTTTGAGTGTTTAGTAGTTGCAGAAATTGAATCGCCTAAAAAATTAATGGTCATTTGAATATATGAATTAATATTCTTACATGCACGACTGAAGCTGAACAAAGTTTACACCATAATTCATAAGATCTGGATAATCCTTGGCGTTGTAGATGCAGTTGTCGCTGACCATTGCCTTCAAAGAATCGCTGGCTTCCTGAAAAATATTTATTCGGAATACTATTGAAAATATCACATACCAGGTCAAAGGCGATAACAATAACGTCATAGAGATTAGATCGCTTAATAGTTCTCAAAAGAAGTGACGGATCTGGATCCGTTGGGCTGAATTAAAATTTTTTCAGCCGTATGGCACATTCAGTTACTTTGTATTCGTTACGTATACCAAAACATGTTTAACACTTGGATCCGGACGGTAACCTTGGGATGGTTGATCATAGTAGTTAAGAACATATTGAAGACCCCTAATATTTATGATTGATTATGGTAATATGTGTTTCAACCTACGAAGTAACATTCTGGCCAGCAACTCCCGAGAACTCAAGATTATTAATAAGCTCAACGACACGATCGAATGAATTTTCTCCAGCATTGAATGAGAATCCGCCTTGCGCCTTGTCTGCAACTGTCACCGATGCAACTTGGGATGCATTGTTGGCGTAGCTGTATGGCTGCACAGATTGAATGGCGAATTGTTTCATCTGTCAATCAGAATAGGCTATCAGGTTGATTTGAAATTGAGTACCAATTTGAATGTAACTTCGCTCTCAACATCTTTCAAAGAATTGTCAATCATGAATAAAGTATCTTGGCGAACAAGGCTCAAATCACAGAACGCTGGTGGTGCTGAAAGTAAACATATACGATTGCTTTTTTTATTTGAAAATTTCTACGTGGAACTGGTGGTCTTGATCTTGTGGTGCTGACGAAGAAGTTTCTGCGGAACACACTTCCATATTCGCTGATTCCATAAATGACGATGATATAGTTCTGAAATGTTAGTTACGACTAACTAAACACTAGTCAAAAATCAAACATCATAATCAAACGAGTGCGGAGTTGCGGAATAGAATTCATAACTGCAATCCTTGTCTCTGCGTTTCATTTCGGTGGTGTGCACAAGACCAAATCCAGGAAGAACCACTTGCGCATACTGAACGTCACCATCACCGATATTGTTAACGTGAACAACGATGGTGTTCTTTTCAACTAAATTGCTCAATTTGATATTATCATAATGTATGTGGTTTTGCTTACGGTTGATTGGAGCATGATGTGCATTGTCGGTGTTGGCCCCATTAAAGTTATCAGCATCGGAGTCCACAAAACCAAGGTACACTTCCAAATTCGATCTTCCGCGGATGTTTGCGTAGCAGTTTGCAACGTTATCTCCTTTGAGTACAACACGATAGGTTCCCGCACGAGTGGCTCCCGAATCAGACACCGGAATAATTGCGATGTAGTTGCTGTCTGATGTGATTATGTTTTGCGGAAGTGTGACTCGGTCTCCTGACGGATCGTAGACCTCAATGGCAGTTTGAAGGGGATGGTAGAAATCAATTGAAAATTCGGTCATTTCGTGTTCAACCTGGAAATCTTGGAACTTAAGAAAAAGCCTATTACGAAGAAACAAACAGGGAAAAGCATTTCTTGATAGCTGCAGTCTCCATCGCTGGATGTGATGCCTCCAGAAGAGTATAGAGTTGGGACGAACTTGGTCATGAAGTTAGTAGCAGCATCAACAGCGTTCATCTGAAAGATTTTTCTAGAAAAATTGAATATATTTGAATTACCGTAAAGATGCTTCCTTGTGAATACGAAATAATCTGGTACAGCGCATCAGCTTCTGGAACGTTCCATCCGTTTCCACATGGAGAATCAATCGCTGAATATACAAAGTTGATCTATAAACATTCAAAGAAGTTTAAGTATCATATATTTATACTTACGTATGCCTTAGTATCTTGAAGTTTTTGTGCAATCCTTCCAACATGAAGATAATCTTCTGGTGAGGATCTCGTGAAGACAAGAATAACCGAGTTTGGCGCTGCAAGAGCATCCATGCTAAGAATGGAATCAATAACGCCAACAATAGGTCTTGGGCATTCTGCAAATTGCACTTATTTTTTGAGAATGATAATTCATTCTTACGAGAAGAGCATGGACCTCCGGGGCAACTCATTAGGGTAACATTCTTTACTCCGGCAACAATATCATTGTAATCTGAAGATTGGACAACTGGGTACCAAGAAGCTTTGTTTGCCGTTGAGTCGAATGGGTACAGGACAAAGTTTGTGAACCATCCTTGAAGAGTTGGATCGTTGATGATCGACTCAATTGACGCCTTCAAATTTTTCTGCATCATGAAGATTGATGAGCCCATGTTGTATGATGTTTCCAGAGCAATAGCAAGTGTTCTTTCTTTATCTTTAAAGGTTGTTGGATACGGTGGCTCACAATAAGCTAAAATTAAAACAACATGATCATCTTGTTTTTTTTTCTAACCGTGTTGACAGAATGTTCCTGTGAATTGCGGTGGGCATTTGCATACGCCGCTTTCATCGATTCCGCCGTTTTGACACACTGGGGATGAGCAAGTTGGTCCGTACCATCCTCCACGACATTGGCAAGCTCCATTGTTCAAAAATCCGCCATTGTTACATTGAGTGACTGGAAAAAAAGAAAAATAACTTGCTCAATTGTAAATGAATACCATATTTGGTGCAGAGAGCATTGGAATATCTTTCGAATGCATATCCATATTGATCAATACCGGTGAATTTGATTTCAAAGTCCGATAGACTTCCATCGCTGTCTGGACATGCAAATGGTGCCGAAATTGTTGAATAAGTGCATATTCTTTAATACTAGTGTATTTGTACATTGTTTCAAAACCTTATATTCCTACCTTTCACCGAGTGGTAGTGATTGCTTAATTGTTCCATTAGTAGCGAGAAGAGCGTAATTCAATCGTCCTTCCATTGATGGGTGAGTGTCTGGAGTGAATGGAGAAACTCCAGTTGCGAGAGCAACAAGATAATTAGTGTTCGACTCAATGTTGGCATATGTTCTAAGAGTGTCAGCTCTTGGATCTTGAACAAATCCGAAGAAGACTTGGATTTCAGATTGCGATCTTGCTTGAATCTTACAAGCGCCGGTGTTAGATTTGACATTAACTTTCCACATTCCTGGCGGGATAACATCTTAAAATTTAATGTTGGGCCTCTTCCACTATTTTTTTTTTAACTTACTGACTCCTTCACCAGGAACGAGACCTTGACCGTATCTATTTTTCTGGCAAGCCACAAAATTGTTCTCGTTCGGATCAGCTGGTTCCCATTTTCCGTCAGCATTCATGACAACGTGACTGAATTTCGGATTAGCTGGATCAACTCCATCAGCCCAGTTGGTGTATCCCGTAAGTGGTTGCGGATAATTGCTATCCGGAACATCCCAATACCATTGACCATTGTTGTAAGCAAGACCAATCCAAATTCGGTATGTCGACACTTGCGCTGAAACAAATCAGATATCTATGTGAATCCCCGCCCCCTCTCCTACTATGGATGTAGTCATTCGTGTCTTTATTTTCGATGTGAATCAAATACGCTTTTTCGTCATGGCAGAAATTCCAACTGTCCAGCCATGATTTCTGCAAGAAAATTATTTTTGAAAATATTGATCACAATTTTCGACCCACCTGTGTACTTTCAAACTCGTAGCAATTCTGTCCTCTGTGATTCCAGTACAATGTACCGTCGCACACTGAATTATTAAAAAACGTTTCATACACTTGTTTTGCTTCGACTTACTCGAGACATATTGGTTTAATTTAAGGTCTGGATTGTTAATTGCATTGATTTCGTAGTAGCTGTTCTTAGCAACTGTTCCGTCAGGGAATGTGATATCAACACTGTTCAAGTCATCTCCAGTAACAGCCAATGTCAACGATTGCGTCCATCCGTCAACTGGCATGTAGAAAGTAGTTCCTTGTGAGCAATCATTTACAAAGTATCTGTGAGAAACAGCAGATTTGTACATGCTGACGATGAACAAAAGAATCTGGTCGAGTTGAGTTGTCATGTAAACGTCTCCGTTAGTAGTATCAACGAGACTGAGAAGATATTCTGGGAAGTGCCCGTTGTTGCTTGGGTCGGTTGTTATAGAAATTCCATATCCAATCAAGTTAATCTATAAATATTAATTCGTCTGATTGAATCACATTTTATTAGATGGGATACTTGAATTTGATATTCTTGCGCAATATCGAACAACTGTAGCATGGAAGAATCATTTGGCCCATCAGAATCAGTGAACACCCAAACGGATGATCTTCGCTCGGAGAGCATCACAGCTCCGAGCATCGCTTGTTCCAACTGCACTTGTGCACTATCAGAAGGATATACATATTGATCAAAGTTTGTATAGAAGTCGTGCATTGCAGACACAAACTCAGCTGGCCGATTTGAATGAGCCAGCAAGTATGAAGCTGAACAACGATAATTAGCAATGTAAAAGTCAATGTGATTCACTATTTCCTGAAGCAACAATAAGAACCCAGCTGGATATCCATGTTGGTGAAGCGATTTGCATGTCACGAGTCATAATCTTAAAAATGCAAATTTTTAAATATCTGATTAAATTAAATAATAATAGTGAATAACCTGAATGTTATCATTGATCTTTCCTACGGCTTCCTTCATTGTGCTTCTACTCGAAATTACAAATGCAACCGATTGTCCTTCAAATGTTATATCAGGACTGGTGTTAAATTCAGTACATTGATCTAAACATCCGAAATTCATTTTGAATCAAGAATTTGAAAATAGTACAAAGTTCGCAGAAGGTTCCTCCGAGGCCAGTTGGGCATGCACACATTGATCCTCTTGGAGTTCCTCCGTTCAAACAAACAATTTTTTCACAGCTGAAAAATGTTTTATGAATTTAACTTCATACTGAATTGCCGTACAATTTTCCTTCAAAGTTTGGTGGGCAAATGCACGTTCCATTATTGTTTGGATCAAAAACTCCTCCGTTCTGACAAGTATTCGGTGGATATGGTGTCGTTGGTGCTAAAAATCATTCAACTACATTAAAAAGACATTCTATGCATACTTCCACTGCAGAATCCAGTTGTAGTTCTTTGAATTGTGAATCCCTTTCCATCATCAGCGTAAACCTAAATTGTTTTAGTTATGATTCTGACGATACTTTCTTTCATTATACCGTAGCGTAGAACGGTTGAGATATGAATTCGCAGAAATTGACGGCTCCAAAGTACATGTGGAATCCACATCCGTTTCGGTACTTTCCACTAGAGTAGTACAATGGCTTTTGGTAGATTTGATCGTTGTTGACATTACTGGTGACAGCGATTTCAGAGAAGAGTCTGAATGGATCGACAATGTTGTTCTTCAAGCCAGTGAGTTGAGCGACAATGTGACTAGTTTGGCCTGAATGATTCGACTTCCTTCAAGTTTATAGTGTTGATTACCAAAGACAGGCTCGGAGTCGCTAGCATCATCGCTAACGCCGGAGCTGGTACCAATAAAGAGATCATATTCCGAACGAGCTTGAACACGATACGAGCATGGTTTCTTGCTCTGAAAAACCATTAAACATTGATTTAAGGTAGCATTTAATTACAGCTGATGAAAGAAAAAAGATGGATAGCAAATGTTCTCCGACAACTGGATTTGGAATCTCATAGAAGAATGTAGTACCAGTGGTAATAATTGGAAGAAGAGTATTGGTAGCTCCATTTGGATCAGTTACGGTGACTTTAAGACCATCTCCAACCGCAAGAATCATCAGCTCAGTAGTAGATGAATCAACGAAGAAGACACGATCCGAGCTTAAGCAAATGCTCATATCATCAATTAATACTGAATTCATTTTGTATGCTGTTGCTTTGACAACGCTTTGGAAGATCTGAAAATAAAACAAAATAGTTCTCAGATATTAATTGCGAAATAATCTACAATTTCGAGATTATTTCCATTCGGTTGAAGGATCAATCCACCGCTGTAGTACGTTGCATACTCAATTGCCGCAAATCCATCGGACATTTCATCAAAATTGCAGCTTGATTGAGGGAAGAATGATGTATAGATCTAAAATTCCAAAGCATATTTATTGAAGGTTTTGTTTCAAACCAACCGGGTACTTTTCTCTAGTATTCATTTCAATGACAGTCTGCCATTTCTCAACATCCTTGGCAATCACATCGGTAAATAAGTAGATTGGAGATTTTTGGTAAACCGACTAAAGTATTCACGATGAAGTCATTTATTGGTCATGTTTTCTTACCACTTCAGTGAAAACACTTGCGATGGCATCAAACGTTGCGTCTTCGCAATTCGAAGCTATTGTCGATGCAGTGTTCAAATCAGCAAGGAAATTAGACGATTGATACGAAGCATAATAAGTGTTGTTATAGACTCCATTTGCGAATTTAATGAGAACGTATCCTTTGTACACGTCGTAATCAAACATTTGATTCGATTGGAGTTCCTTGTAAATCGCATTTGAAATCGATTTCAAGTACGGATTCATGTTGACAGTGTTATGAATGACGACAATAAGGGTTTTATAGTCGACAAGGAATGGCTCCCAGTTGATCGGACATGTTACGTCTTGACAATTAACTCCATGATATCCTTCAGCACAAGCGCACACAAGTCCTTCGTCCGGATCGGGAAAACCGCCATTCATACATTGAACCTAAAATATCCAAATTTCTGTAATCCAATTTCTTGTCGCCTACTTTTTCGCACTGATCTCCGGTGAACAACTCTGGGCAGAAACATGTCGCCGGACTGTTTGGTGGATTCAAAAGAGTTCCATTGTTATAGCAAGACGAAATCGGAGCCTTTGTAGTAGTTGATGGTGCTGGTGTAGTGATGTGCTCTGAAATAGAAATTTGATACACTTAAAGATGATGTCATCTTACGCAAACAAGAGAACTTTCCGGTTCTGCGGAATTTATAACCCATCGCATCAATTCCATCAACCTGAAACAAAATTTTGGAAATTTTGCAAAATATTTTCAATTAGTACATGGAAGAAGTAACTATTTCCTAGAGCGCATTGCCATTGTCCAGCATAGTATTCATAACCACATTGATATCTTAAATTGATATTCTTTTGATTTTACTCTCAGGTAGTTTTGCACCTTCTTGTCAGAACTGAACGGTAAACTGGTGTTAGCGATGATCCTTGTCTGATGGTGGTCGAAAGAATTTCTGAAACTGCTATTAATTGTCGCCCGATTCTTGCTATTTACGTGGCTGTCCTTGTTTGGTATCGACATGCGCCACAAAGTACATTGGAATTCCATCGATCGCCGATTCTCCGAATGGTGTATTATCCGATTGTGGTGATTGGACAAATCCTTCGATGATTTTCAAATCAGTATTGGACTGCAATTTTATACAATTTCCAAATTTCACTTTCACTTCTTTGTTGACACACATGAAAGTGTTTTAATTGCTTTTTTATCACTCACATTGACTTCAATGATGCATTCTGATGTTGGCACATTTTGGTTATCAACGCTGAGTGAATATCCACCGGCTGGAATGTTTGCATACGTTGTCAATGAGTAACCTTCTCCGTGGAAAACGGTCTCTGGCGCCACAATGACACCGTCGGCGTTTGTCAAATTCAAGTAGGGGACTCCAGCCGCAGAGACATGGATTTCAAGATTTCTTGCCGAGTCACTATCAACGGGAATGTAGTATTGTCCTCCACACGAATTTTTCAGAAAGAGCATCTCAATAAGCGATGTTTGTCCATATGTTGGCGGTGTGTCCGCACGATCACAAATTGGGTATTCACATGTTTGTCCGGTCCATCCAGCTTCGCAGGTGTGCGAAATTCCGAGAGCCGCGTATATTGCTCGTTTAGCTCGCACATGAATTGGTTCGGATGGTGTCAGCGATGGATAGAAGTTTGGAAGATGAGCAAAAGCGGCATGCGAATCTATGTTATCGCATAAAGAATTGCAATCAAATTGAGCGCTTACCGTAAGCGTTTGGCGCAGCAAGCGCGGTAGTCACTAGCAAGAGGAGAGCAGAAGGCAGCCGCATCTTGGAAATGCAGCACAATGCACTGCCGTATGCCTATCAAGGCGTTGGCGCCACATTCTTTTTCAAGTATTCAATTTTATTATTTGATAAGCCAATTTTCCAATTTGCACTGTGCCGACTGAGTTTGCCGACATTATCGTTCAAGTAAAGTATTGATAAAAATCATATTAAACGTGGACTCGTAATCTCTTCGCTCAATTTTTGATGAGGTAAATTGTTACACAAAACGAAGAAGTGTAAATAAAATGAATATGAAAATTTAATAAAGTAGCAACGTTTATAACTGGTTTTGTAAAAAAATAATAATTGTAAAAGATAAGATTTGAAGATTAGAAACAACAAAAGTAAAAAAATAATAACAAACATGATGTGTCAATGTGAAATTTTGTTTAAAAAATATGAGAAGAATGATTTAAACAAATAATATTATTTTGTTTTAAATAGAGAAAAATTCTCTTGAAAATTATTTCAAACCAACATCAAATTTTTGAATGAAAACGAATGTGAGTTTAACCGAATTTTGAAATTTACTATGAGAGGTTTCACTTATTTGCGTATTTAAGTTAGTGATTTGGAAGATGACCTCCCTTGATGAAAAAATTGATATGCTTAGTGAGTTTTTTTTTTGCCGATGTTAGGTGAAATGACGATTCGCATTACTGAGTGAAATTTCTAATCTTTCTGATATTACAAAAATTGGCAGCCAACAAATTCTAATAACAAATGATAAAGCCCGAACGGAAAACGGTTACACTGTAATGTCAAAGAAAACTTGCCCTATTGTAACCGCATCAATTTCAGCATTATATTTTGTTACAGATTTCCGCCAAAATAACAAAAACAAAAGAAAGCTATAATTTTTTTAAAGCTTATTTGAATTGAAGCAAAAAATATTGTTTGCGCAATCTTCATCAAATGTATAAGCAAATCTCCCATTCGGATTTTTAAAAATGTCACGCGTGTTTTGTTTTACAACTTGTTCCGCACCCCAACGTTCGGACGCCATTCTTTGAAAACGAGGAAGCGGTTTCTGCAAAGCTAATTTAATAAAATGTCTATTTATTAGTCTAGGTATAATGCCAATAAAATGCCCTGTTCTGTTCTTTATGATCTGCACTAAAAGAATTATTCCGGGCATTGTTTTAGCTTACGAACGCTGAACCAATCCTTCCCGATTTCTCGCTTATCTTAGGTGATAAACAGCAAAAGGCAAGAAAGCGACTAGGACAATTCAAGTCTTTCACGGTTTCTCCTCTTTTTCAGTATCGGTCATTTGACATGATTGCCGATCAACAGCTGGCTCTCATATCCGTCGAAATCAAAACATTTGGCGGAATTTCGTGAAGGGCGAACGTTTTAAAAAACAATGGCCGATGAAAAAGTAGGAGGAGCTACTCAACAAACTGAAGAAGATGTTGAAAGCGCACGCAACACAAAAAAACTTGCCCACACTTTTCTCCTACAGTTTCTGTAGGCCACTTGCCACTGCTGTTTCTACTGCCGACACAATTTTTTTTGTCTCAAGCTACATATTTGACGCAAGAATTTCTTATCCGCCCACCCACCGACATTATTGAATCCAATCATTTTCAAATGGTATAATCATGAAACTTTCAATATACCATGAGATCAACATTGTGATCAATCTATTATTCTTTGTATTCATTGCTAAAGGTAATTTCTGATCAGATCTTGCATTGTTATTGAAGAGAGACTTCCGTTTTTTATCTTCTTTTCATTCAATCAACTCTTTTGGATATCTCTCAATCGGCCAAAAACCTTTTTTCACCAACCAGGTAATAAAGTTCCAAGGTTAGGTGAACTCATCTGTTGAGATCGCATGAGCGTTCAAATGAATTTTACGTCAGTCTTGTCGATCAACTGGTTATGCATGCCGGTGCTTCTTCTAGTTTTATTATAACGGATAAAATGTTTTTGTTAATGCAGCTACATTCTTGTCGCTTTCGAAAATGACTAATAAGTGAATGCAAATTGCAATAGAATGTGGCGCGAAATTCCACGAAGAATTTTGATATATTGGTGAAAACCAGTAATGCCGAATTTTCGAAATTCGTTTCTCAAGATTTCGCGTTTGTTAAAAATTTTTCTGAGGCGTTGGTTTCTCAAAAGACGCCATAAAATGGTGACGTTGCAACTTATTCAGCTTACTATTCATCACGAGAATGCAATGTTGTTCCCAAAAAAGCAACTGACTAGTACAAAAACATTTGGTTGATTTATATCATACCTCTAGTTGAGATTACGTCAAAGCGATTTCGAATCTTTTCTTTCAAGTTGAAGACCATTTATTATTGAATCAAGATTAAACTGTTGTCGGGGAACAACACAGAGTCGAGTTGGAGAAAGGTTTCGCAAAATTTATCATATTTCAGCAACTTCTGAATGTGATTGTCCTGATGTAAATCGACCCGTTTGTGGTACTGATAATATTTCATATCGAAATTTATGCATTTTACAATGCGAACAGGTCAAAAAACCAGGTATAACCGCCTACAATTTCGTGAACACAAATATGTCGAGCGATTTTCAGAATTGTTATTCTTTTACAATGGAACATGTTGTCCTCACATTGAATGCCCACTAACCGAAAACTCATTATGCGATAATTATGGTTCGGAGAACGTCTATTAGCTAGCAATATGGAAGATACTATTTCTAGGAAAGACTCATATAAATGAATGCAAATTCCGGGCATTCAAATGCGTTTTTGAGAGGACGATGGGCCTAAAACTTGAAAAAGTTTAAAAAAAATACATGAAAAATTATAAAATAGTACCCATTTAGGTTTATGATGGAACTTGTAAAGCTCAGAACTGCCCCAAGAAATGTTCAGATGACTACGATCCAGTGTGTGATACGGAAAAGACAATCTACAAAAATGTTTGTGTGTAAGATTTCAGAATAGTCTATTCATTTCTTCAAGTTTTCATTTTAGATATGAAAAAATACGATGTGAGTTAGAAAAGGAAAATATAAAAATCCATCTTGCTAAGGATCCAAAGTTCTGCTTAAATCGAAGTAAAATTACAACTTGTTCGTAAAATCTCGTATTTTATTTAGGCCAAAAAGTCTTTGGTGTGGAAACTTATTCAGGTTATCTTGAAGGGGAGAATCCTATAGATGGTTATGATAATCCTACCCCAGTTAATGAAGCCGATCTCCCAAACTCTCATCAAAATCATATTGAAGCGAGCCACGCCGTCTTGGATACTATTCACAACAATGCAACATCCACAACCAAACGGCTTCAGGTGATTTTAAACAAACATTCAAATTATTCTCAATTAAATTAATCCTTCTGATTTGCGGCAACGATAAGAATCAACACAGTTGTCGTTGCTTTCGGGCGGGTATGTGTGAGTGTTTGAAAGGTTGCAAAGGTGAAAATAGCTCTAATGAAAATTGACGAGACAGCCGAGATTTTATCGGCTTTTCACTTTCGAACTACCTGTTCAAACTTTCATAAAATAAACTTTGCGCAATTACTCAAATTCTCTGCATTTTTTTCAAGGCATTTCAAATTCCAATTAAGCGCACTTGAAAACCATTGATCAAATCAATTTGCAGACGGCGAGTTTTCAACAGCCTTGCAATATTGCGGAATGTGATAAAAATTGGGATCCCGTATGCGACACAAAAAATCGAACGCATAAGAATATATGTCATTTTATGTATTATGCATGTAAGGTTAGATTTCAAAGGAAACCTTTTTACGGTGCAATTGAATGGCGTTTGATCTTTGAAGTGGCTGCTACTTGACTTTGACTTTTTGATTCAGGTAAACCAAATTGATGGAACTCTATTAGATATTGCGCATTTGGGATCTTGTCAGTTGGTAACATTTGCACCTATCAATTTATGGAAAATCAAATAATTTCAGCATGGTGCCACTTGCATTAGTTGTCCAAAAGATGAGAAGCCCATCCCTGTTTGTGACAATAAGAACATGGTAGATTATGTTTCACCAACGACAATTCTTACCGTAATTCCAGACGCATCCCAATCTTTGTTCGTTCATTCAATTCAATTGTAATTTGAAGAAAGGAGAGGAGGAGCGTGTTTTAGTACACGTAAAACCATGTCATTCAAGGAGTCCACAGTTTGAACTAAAGGTTTGACACTGGATTCGAACACATAAATCAGGGAGAATCTCTAGGATGAGATATGCCCTTCGTCGTGCAGTCGTGACGTCAAACCTGTGTGTGATGAGGCGAACAACACCCATCAGAATTTGTGTCACTTCCAACAATATAACTGCAATATGAGAAAGATTGGAGTCAAATCGCCATATCTTCGATATTTGAGGCCTTGCATTAAAAACAGAAAAGTTGACACAGCGGTGGAAAATGTTGAGCTTCAAGCAACGGTTACTCAAGTTCAAATGAAACCAGTCGAGTCCGAAAAAACGACATTTATATTCAGTACGCCAGAGCATTTTGTAAGACCAAATTAGTTTCGCAACTAGTCATGATTATTATAGAAAGAGACGAGTCAGTCCTCAATACCAACTCAACGTATACCTGAGCCAACAGAAACGACATTGGTACCAACGACTTCAACAAGGACAACCACTTTGCCTACTACGACAACTACAATCAATTCGTTATTTGATTGCCCAAAACCCAACTGCCCAACTGAGGGACAGCCTGTCTGCGATTCAGCTGGAAATCTTCATGGGTTTCGTAAATAGACAACTCTTATTTACTCAACTCTTATTTACTCATTTGTACTTTTAGAAACCTATGCGAATTCACATACTCACGTTGCTTAGCTGCTAGTAAAGGTGAGCAGCTGCAGATAGCGGAGGAAGCAAATTGTATTTCGGAGAAAGCTTGTCAAGTATTTAAAGAAATATTAATTGAAAAATGATTGTCATGTAATTCAGATGCCTTGTACTGACGAATCTCATCCAATTTGTGCTTCTGATTTTTCAACTTATAAAAACTTGTGCCATTTTCGAAAGCAGAAATGCCTTGACCCGACACTGGAAGTTTTGTTTAAAGGAAAATGCGCAGAGTGTTTGGATTCACCTTGTGCTCATCCAGCGTTCGATGCTCCTGATGATGCATTTGTGTGCGTTGAAGACGGTAGCACCAAATCACTCTGCGAATATCAAATGTTGAGTTGTATATTCGAACGCGGTTACGGTGTAAACCTTACAATACAATATGTAAATATTACATATCTGAAAATTGTTTAATGCTCGCTTCAGATTGGAAAATGTTGTCCACGAATTGAGACATGCGACGATGAAAAGCCGAGCCCTGTATGCGCCAACAACGGAGTTACATTCTTCACAAAATGTGAATTTGAAATTGAGAATTGCAAAAACGCCAAATTGGAAATTCCTCTTCTTGAGGTTGTGAGCGAAGGAGTTTGTGACAGGTATTGAATGTATTCAAACATGAAAATCGATTTTGAATTTCAGAACTCTACCCGATGGTTTCTCGAAACCTTTCGATGATGAAGTGTCGTCGTCTCAAATGGAATTTAAAAGAGATAATCGATTCAATTGCTCGCAAGAATGTGATAAAACCTATGACCCATTGTGCGGTACTGATGGAGTTACGTATAGCAACGCCTGCTCACTTCAACTAGAAATATGTCGAGTTGAAAAGTCTTGAAAATCTTCATAATTGTTTTTGTTCATTCATCTCAATTTCAGTTCAACACTCGAAGTCGCTTATCCTGGAATGTGTTGCGATATCAATTGTCCCAATGATTTCAGTCCGGTATGCGATAGCAGTGGTAAAACGCATCAGGTAATCAAGCAAGTCCCTCATTATTATTATAATCGAGAAAATAATTCAAATTCAAAATTTTTGTTAGCGATTACATGCTGACGTTTTGTAATCAGTTGTATATGGTTATCAGCATCTCTGATAACAATTTGCAAATGCTAGGTCGTTTAAACTTAAAAAAAAAAGTTTGAAGTTCTCAGCCAATAAAAGTCACGTAATAAAAGTTCAAAGAAAACAAAATTCCAGAACATTTGTCATTTTGGAGTTAATCGGTGTATTGCCGAAAGAACATCGGGTGAAGTGTTGACAATTGAAAAGTTTGACATTTGTAACGACGTTGCTGAATGCCGCGCAACCTGCCCAAAAGAATATTTGCCAGTATGCGCAACAAATGGTATTTCTAGCACATAATAAAACGAATAATGTTCGGTTTCAGGCCAAAATGTCATAAACCCATGCGAATTGAATCGCATCAACTGTTTACTACGCAATAATGTAACTAGTGGCGAAATTTTGATCAAAGATTATGATGGTAAACACGAATTTCGTCGAGAAATTCTAACGAGTGGGATTTTTCTCTAGGGGAATGTTGCCGAGAAACAGATTGTGCATTAACATTCTCGCCAGTATGCGATTCCAATGGAATAACTCATGCCAATGAGTGTATAATGCGGCACCAAGCTTGCATTCAGAAGAAGAAATTTAACAAGGAAGTTACCATTGCGTATCAAGTACCAAAACTAAGCTAGCTTAAGATCTTAATGATATCTTCGCACAGGGTCAATGTTGTAATCAACCTTGTAGTGATGAGTTTGCTCCGATCTGCGACGGTACAACAACTCATAGCAACATGTGCAAGTTCAAGTAAATATTTAAACTATGTACATACAGGGTGGCTGAAAATTACCCGGACTAAAATTTCGAGCCTTCGTGAGGCGCACTGGCGCTTTTTCAGCGCAATGTTTTTTTTAATTTTTTTAATTAGCAATGTTTTTTTTACTACCTCTCAAATTTTCATGATAATTGGTTCGGTTTTAGCGAAATGGCGAAGCAAAATGCAAACCGACCCGCAATTATCGCATTACACAAGTCCGGAATGAGCACATATGCAATTTGGAAGCATCTGGGAATTCCTAAAAGTACCGTCTACGATGCGATTTCTTGTTTCAAGGATCTTCGCAGAACCCAGGACCTTGCAGACAGAGAAAGAAAAACTACGGTGACGACTTCTTCGAACGTTAAGATCGTCCGAGACAGAATCGGACGAAATGCTCATCAGAGCATCAAAAAGATGGCTTCCGCCCTGAATATGTCACGAGCTTCAATGACAACCATTGTTAAAAAGAAGCTTAAGTTGACTCCTTATTGTGTCAGAAAAGCGGCCATCCTTTCTCAATCCAACAAGCTCAAACGGCACCAAAAGGCAAAACTTCTTTTGGCGCGCGCGCGGGTTGGGGAACATCTGTCGACAGTCTTTTCGGACGAGAAGCTGTTTACCGTGGAGGCCGAATTCAATTCGCAAAACCATCGAGTGCTTGCCCGAACATCCGAGGAAGCTTCAGAACTCGGCCGGACGATTCATCGTACGTCGCACCCCGTCAGCGTCATGATCTTCGGTGCCATCTACTCCAATGGCAAATGTCCTCTGATTTTCGTGGAAAAGGGTGTCAAAATCGACAACGACTACTATGTCAATGAGATTCTGAAGAAGAACTTGCTTCGTTGGGCCCAAAAACACTTTGGTGGACAACGATGAGTGTTCCAGCAGGACGGGGCGCCAGCTCATACTGCAAAGTTTACGCAGGAGTGGTGCGCCAACAATTTCCACTCCTTCATCAAGTCAACAGAATGGACCGCCTCGTCTCCTAACCTTAATCCGTTGGACTATTCCGAATGGGGGTCTTACAGAGTAAGGTCTGTGCAAGGCCCCACCCGAATTTGGACTCTATAAAGAAAGCGCTGGTCGAGGAATGGGACAAATTGTCGGTGGAATACCTGCACGCCACGGTCGACGCATATCCGAAGGAATCTTCGCGCCGTCATCAGGAACCGCGGAGATCGAATCGGACACCGATAATCTATTTATGTTTGTTATTGTAAAAATAAACTAAATATGAAATTTGAGTGTGTTTGAACAATTATTCACTGAAATACATTGGTTTTCATATAGTCCGGGTAATTTTCAGCCACCCTGTATATTGAACAAATCTCTCCGCCGGAAAACTTTATTTTCTTGAAGAGATTGTTTTTATGACATACATAGGTTAGCTAGTTCCCGTTTCTTTTAATTTACGTTAATTAATTAATGTTTTCCAAAATGACCACATTTTTGCGAAAAATGTAATAAGAAATTACTTCGGTTAATGTAGAAAAATGAAATAATATTCCTTTAAAATTATAAACCCAAATTATAATAATTGCACTTCTAGAATTGCTCAATGTGAAGCTAATCGATTGAACAAAACACTTTCGGTTGCCTATAATGGAGAATGTTGCAAGATTCCCACCGGTGATTGTGAAACATCTGGTAATTGAAACAATTTATTTGAATATTTTTCTTCTGTTCAGGACCTGTTTGTGATTCTGATGGTCAGACTCATTCGAATCATTGTGAATATCAACAACGAAAATGCATTTCACAGCAAACTCTGAATAGAAATTTAACGATTGTTCATACAGGTTTGTAGTCTTTTGAAAATTTTTTATCAAACAAAATTTTTAAAATAATTTTTAGAAACTTTTCGTTAATAATGTGTAATTTACACAATTTAATCATTTGGCAGGACAATCAATTTGCTTGCTTTGTTTCTGTTTATTTTCGTTCCATTAGAGCGCGTTTGCACATATATGTTCTTTTCACTTTTCATGCTCACTTTTCATTGGTACAAAGTGCAAATCATCAATGTTGGAAAATTTTGCATGCATTATCATATAGTGATATTCATGGCTGCAAAATTTTCAAAAAATCATTTCTAGGTGAATGCTGTGTGCTGGCGTCTTGTGAAAAAGTTGATGAATATGTGTGTGACTCTCTCGGCCATACTCATGATTCGTTATGCCACTTTCATAATTCGAAATGCATATTTGATAAGATACATTCGGCGAACACAACCTTGAATATTGATTATCACGGTAATAATCATAAAAATTAAACTATGGTTTGTGACAAAACTGTGTTCAGGAAAATGCTGTCCCGCTGGTTGCACGAACGAACTGAACATAAGATGTGATCAACATGGAAACGTTTATCGCAACGAATGCTATTTTAAATTGAAAGCGTGCGAAACTTGGAGAAGAACAAAGGATTCGTTATTACCGCGACCTTGTCCGTTAAGAAGGCATTAAAAGCTTTTTAATTATATGTACAATGTTGTTATATGTATATATTTCATAAACAAATATACATGATGATCTAATTTTGTCAAAAATTCGTACATTTTTTCCGAGAATTGCATTTAGGTTTATAATTAAGATTGTTAAGTTCTTTCTACAACCATTTTTCATTAACTGAAAAGTATTTGACCAAGAGATATTGTTTTTTCTGATTATGTGATTCCAATATTAGATAGTTTTCAATATCTCTGGAACCTGTATTTCCACTTCTCCTGCGGCGACTTCATGCCTTGGGCTTGAGTTTTTCGATTTTGCTTCTAACAGCGCTACTTTTGCTTCGAATTCCGTTAAGCGCGTGCCAAGAATTCTTAATAAATAAGTTAACTATGCAATTATTTTGTTTCTACTTGTTAGTTCTTCGTAAGTGCGTCAAGGCCATTTGTTTGTCATTAACCAAATCAAGTAAAATCGTTGTGATCGCTCGATAATCAGACTCGTCTAATTCGATTGAAACCGATGCAAGCAATTCGCGGACTAAAGTAAATCGTTTACAAAGTTTTTTTAATGCGCGAGATACTTTGTTTCATATTTATGACGGCAACGCTACTTCGTTCTTCAGCTGAAGGATCTTTGTCGTTTGAAGATTTGCTGGAACTTGGCTGCAACTTTAGGCTGTTTTATAAACATTTTCCAATTGCGCAAAAGATTGAGGCAAATAAAAAATGAAATGCAAACCTGTGGATTTCGAGCTTCCACCATTTGCTTATACTTTCTCAAAGTTGACTTAATTACTTCACTCTCCTCTTCGGCAGTATTCAGCCGCGATTTTAAGAACCGATTTTCGGCAATCAGCGAATCTAGATCTTCTCCAACCCTTTTAGGATCTCCATTTAACAAAAGTGACAACTCATTACTCAATCGAGAGACTTTTCCTTGAAGAGTATCTCTTTCAATCAACAATTCCTCTTTCACTCCAAGCATTGTGTGCAAGTCGGATTCCATTTGTTTATACTGAATATTTAATGGAAATATTCCACTTAACTCATTTTTTTACAACAAACTCTTTTAAGCAGCTCTTCGAATTTTCCGAGTTCAACACTTGTTCCATTTTTTTCAATACTTCCTGCTCTCTCGTGTTCGAGTTTTGCAATTGACTGACGAAATTTGGTGTAATCCTTTCGAAGCTCCTGCTTCTCTGCATAAAGTTCGTCATTTCGTGATTTGAGAAAATTGTTTTCTCGCTTCAATTGTTTATTTTCATCCGCTAATTTGTGATACTTCTAAAACTCATTTATTGTTATATTTTAAAGTTGTATAATTACCACTATCATATCATTTAATTCTTGTTCTCGAAACATCAAAGATTTCTGGCAACTCGAAAGTTCCGTTTGTAAAAGCTCCGACTTTTTCATGGCTTCCTACGATTGCGAAATATTCAAACGTACATATATGCATGCTTAAACAACTGAAAGGCCAATCGAAAATAAATAAATACCTCTCGTTTGGCTCTCCATGCTTCTAATGAGTCTTCAGGCCCATTTGTAACAGGAAACATATTGAGATAGAATGAATATTTGTTTTGCTCTCTTTATTCAAAAATAGTAGTTTTTCTTTGAGGCCGAAGCTAGTGAGAGGAAAAAAGAAAGCAGGGTCCCATTTCGATCGATTCGTTGCGCGCTCTTAAAGCTCAACTCAACAACATTTGAATCTCAAAATTTATTTCCAATAGATATTTGCTTTTTTCAATAAATCAACTCCCAAAAAAGTATTTATCTCCCATATTTATCATTTGTTACTATCACAAAAAAATAAAATTTATCGTATACATAAAAACTAGGCTCTATTTTTTGAAGTTAACACTGTTCGAACTAATAGCACAAGTGCTAAAAGCATGAACAAAGGTATAAAGATACAGATTGGATAAAATACCGACAGCATTTAAATAGTTAGTGAATGAGTGCACGTGGTGACAAAGCGTATTCGGGAAGATGAGTTGGTCCATTCTTTTCAAACAAGTGACGGGCTTTCGAGACAGAAACTAGATGAATAGTTTCTTCATCCTCATGTTCATAGTAATCATTCTAGAAATTCAACAGTAGATAATTTTGAAAATTTTCTTACCTGATGTTTTTCGAAATGAATATCATCGACATTATCCTTGGTAAGAGTTGATTGACGCGAGCGCTATAAAATTGTTGTTGAATATTTTGTCATGTAGAAGTTACAAATTCTTACTGGTACGATTTTATGCTCGACAGTAATTGCTGGACGATGAATGGTAGATTGGGTAGATTTGCGCGACGGAATCTGAATTCGAGCAATTACTTCTCAAAATACTGCTATGGACAGACCTCAATTCCGTTTCCAATTGAATGGTGCGAAGCAACCGATGATTTACGAGAATGCTTTAAATTGGACTTCATTTCCTTTATCTCGAATTTCAACTTACATTCTGATGCTGCTTCTCCTCTTGGAAAGTCAAAGGAGAAATCGCGCCTCTTGGAGAAGTTGGGAGTTTTGGAATTCCAGCAAACGGAAAGTCTGGGAGAGCAGTATGCTGAAATTACATATTCATTCATTTCATTGGTTTTTGATTCATTTACAGTTGCGCCAAAAGTGTTGACAAACTCGCGAACATTCTTTACGACCCGGATCGACTGATGGTCACCGTATGGATTTTTAATGGTTGGCTGAACTCTTTGAACTGGAGTCGCACTATGACCGGTGTTGGCCGTAGAAGTTCTTGAGCGAATTTGATGATGCTAAACTCAACTTTGTCAAATTTTCAATTCGAATTTTGCATACCGAGTTGTGATGAGCATCGCTAGCAATCGACTCATTATGATGTTGATGATGCTCATGGTGACCATGATGAGAATGAATCGAATGGTGTTCGCTTTGGACCGTATTTTTTCTCGAACCGCCGAGTTGAACATGTTCATTTACTTTCTATAAATCAATGGTATTAAGCCTTTAGTTTTCATTATCTAAACCTATTTAAATGAGTCGTGCAGGGTGAGCTTCAAATATAAATAAAAAAACCTATATGTGGATAAGAGGGAGAGAAGATGTGTTGAGGGATTCAATGACGGACAGACGAGATTCTGGATCTCGGCCTTGGAACCGGAATTCTTGGTTCATCAGGAATTACAAGCTCTCGTGCAATTGGCTTGACTATCTTGTGGCGCAACATAAATGTATCAGGCTCATCAGGAATACAATTTAATGGCTTCAGTTCCTCATTGCTGTACACGATATTGTTGCGAGCCACTCTTGGAGAAGGCTTGCTGACGTAACGAGAAGTGTATGGATGTTGATTTTTGACGAGAGTCAAATCTTCTTGTGACGTTGGGATATAGTTATGGTTTGAAATATCCGCAAGCACCTTTTCATGTTTCTTCTCAACTGGAGGCACATAATGATTTCTTCTGTTGATTTGTTGCGTTATTTCCTTTATATTTTGGGTGACTGGGACATAACTATGTTTGCTCTCAATTTTCTTATCAACATTATCGTGCTTCTTGTAATCCGGCACATATTGATGCGTCCTATCGAAACCATCGTTTACTTCCTGCCGATTAACTGTTGGTACATAATGATGCGTTGTGTCAATTCGTTTTGCCTTTTTTTCCTTCGGAACCGGTGGAAGATAATGGTGTTCCGATACATTTCCACGCTTCACCTCACTTTTTCGAACATCCGGGGTATAGTGATGCTCGTTAGAAATTTGTCGACGCTCTTCAGTTTTATGGGCAACTGGTGGCAGATAATGATGAATTGCAATGGTTTCCTGATGAATATCGGTTTTTCGAATTACTTCCGGGACATAATTATGCTCGTGGGCAACATCATCGCGCTCGCGGATTTGCAGCACCTGTGGCATGTAGTTGTGGGAGTGCTGAATATCCGAATGCTCCTCTTGTTTTTTTACGACTGGGGGAATGTAGTGATGAGAATCAAGCTTTTCGCGCTTCTTTGTATGCCGAGAAATGTTTGGAACATAATGATGCTTCTCCGTTTCAATTGTGCGCTGTTGCTCGTTTTTGGCGGGCTGAGTAGGCACGAAGTTATGCTGATGATTAATTGAGCTCTTCTTTTCTCTTATTTGCAATGTCGATGGGATGTACTTGTGATCATGTGAGATGTTTCTTTCGCTTTCTTCGTTGGCGTCTTTTCGAATCATTGGGATGTAGTTGTGGCCGTGAACTTCCTCACGTTTATCGTAGCGTTTCGTAACAACTGGAATGTAATGATGAGAAGAAGTAATAACAGTTTCCGTTGCAGATTTCTGGGGAATATTTGGAATGAAATGATGTTTGTCGGAATCCGCTTTATCCGCTATTTGTTTCTTCTTGATATCAAACGGAGGAATATAGTGATGCTCTTCAAGTTTCACAGTCTCTTTCTTGTCAGCTTTTGGAACTGCTGGAAGATAATGATGCTCTCGAACAGATGCCTCACTTTTTTTTGCAACATTCGTGACAACTGGAACATATTGATGATGCTCAAGCTTCAGCTGTTCCGTCGTTTCGCTCTTTGGCACATTTGGAATGAAGTGATGTTGCCTCTGAATATCAACGATATCAGATTTTTCAGGTATTTTTGGCAGATAACGATGTTGAGAGTGTGATTGTTTCTCTTGTTCACTACGTTTTGGGATGAAGGGAACATAATTGTGATGTTGGGTGGAAGGGGCATTGGAGTGTTTCTCAGAAGAAACGAGAGGAATGTAGTTGTGCTTTGTCAGTTCACTTTTGGATTCAGGTGCAGATGAAGAGGGAATAAGAGGAACGAAGTGATGATGCTCATGAGACACTACCTCATTTTGTGATGCCCTTGGTGTTGTCAGCGGAATATATTCATGTGAACTGTAGATGGTATGGGACGTTGGCTTCGCGTCCTTTGGTATCACAGGAATGTAGTGATGATCGCGTTGAATAGACTCGTGCTCTTCATTTTTGGGTGGCAGTGGAATGTAGCCATGCTCGCGTGGAATTTCGTGTCTCTCCTCATGTTTTCCAATTAAGGGCAAATAATGATGCTCACTCAAAACATTATTCGTTTTGTCCATCTTTTTATTGATCAATGGAATGTAGTTGTGTTCACGAGGAATTTCCTGTCGCGACGAGGAACTTGCAGAATTCTTTGGAAGCGGGTAATACTGATGTTGTCTTACGATATCTTCTCTTTCTTCTTTCGCAGGAATGATGGGCACAAAACTGTGCTCACGTGGAATTTCCTTGCGCTCCTGTGTTTCGCTAAATTTCGGAATGTAGTTATGGCGTTCCAGAGAAATCTTCTTGTTCTTCTCAGTTTTGGCTAATAATGGAATGTAGTTGTGCTGACGTGGAATTGACGGCTCCGGCGTTTTTTCAGGGGTAAGTGGAATGTATTGATGTTGAGTGTAAGTAACGTCAGAAGTCTTCGGGCGTTCAGAAACTAGTGGAATATATTGATGGTGGGCAAGATCAATTGTAGTAGCGTTTGAAGTTTTTTCTTCACCCACCAACGGCAAATAATGATGCTCACGAGCAATGAATGATTGATTTGGTTCTGTCTTGGGCGTCAATGGCAGATAATGGTGTTCTCTTGAAACGCTCTTATCGACATTTGCATCAACTTTGGGAGCCAAAGGCACAAATTGATGATGACGAAAATCAGTTTGACGTGTCTCGTTGGCTTTTTTTCGTATCAGTGGCTGATACGAATGCTTGCTTGTACTAATAGGATTTGTGGTGTTGGCACACTCGATCTTTGGAATGTAATGATGGCGCCGCTCAATTTCAACATGTTGTTGATTCGGCTCAATGGCCAATGGAATGTAACCATGATGAATGCTTCCTCGATGCTCCTTCTGCGTATTGCTAATCACCAATGGAATGAAAGAATGCTTCTCGTTTACATGATGCCTTTCATCCTTTTGATGCGTTGGTGATAGCGGAATGTATTGATTGTGCACATCAATCTTCTCAACTGACTTTTCCTTTGGGGATACCAAAGGAATGAACTGATGATCGTGCTTCACCTCCCGGTTTTCGCGACTAGTCGATCTTGTAATCGGAATATAACTATGGCGGTTATCTACAGTTTTTCGTTCCTCTGATCTCGATTTTCTCACAAGAGGCACATAGTTATGGGTTCGTATAATTTGGCGCTCGTCTTTTTCTTTTGGAACAACGGGAGGAACATAGTGATGATGCTCTGAACGTCGACTCTCACGTTCCAAATATCTGTTGACTTCTGGCACATAACTATGCTGATGATGAACATGGAAGCCATCTTTATTTGGTGTTGTTGGTGTTGATGGTACGAAATGATGAATATGATTGATCTCCTGATCAGACTTCATGGCATGAATTTCTTCAACGTAGTGATGGTGTGGATCGATATGACGATATTCAGTGATCACTTTGATTTGTGGAACATAATGATGGTGTTGATAATCCGAGTACAACGTTTCAGAATTCAATGCGACATCATTATGAGATGGAGTTGCATAATGACGCTCGCTCACGGATAAAGAGGACGTATCATAGACTTGAGACTCATAAGGAATATCATAATGGTGCTCACCCTGGACCCTACTATATTCACCACTACTAGAAGAGATGTGCTCGCCGACCTGAACATGATGCTGCTCATGGTGTTGATGGTGTTTCTTCTGCTCATGATGATGATGGACTTCATGATGATGTTGATGATGGTGATGATAATGATCTTCAAGTTCCGGTTCACCATTCTCGAACTTCTCACGAAGCGCTCGCACTCCTACAATATCAGATGAATCAGATTGTGACGCTCTGCTGCTACCTGGTCCTGCATAAATCTCTTCTCTGACAACAGTGGTTGACTTGATCACTTCAACATTCTTGGGATAGTGATGGGTTTCGTGAGTGGTGGTAGTAGTGGTGTTTGACGAATAGGGATCGTACACGTCATGGGTACGTGGTGGTTTCGCGGGTTGGGGAGGCACATAGGCGAGCACCGGGGGTTCCACATAAGTCTCTTCCTCCTCAATCACACTAGCTGGACGAAGCTCCTCAGTGATTCTCGGGCCTTGAGTATGAGCGAGCATATGGCGACTCTGATAAGTTGAGGAAGACTCAGAACGTTTCTGTCTATGCATATCAGAGTTGCGGCGCTCATGAATTTCAAAAGTGGACACGTCATAATTTTCGGCAATCGGTTCATAAGCTTGATAAGTTTCCACGTGGTGTTCAACATGTTTTGTATGATGGTCTTCCGGGACAACATGCGCAGTGTCATGGAAATACGTTTCTTCTTCACGGCTCGGCTCAACATACTCAACCTTTTCAAATCCAAAAGAATTTTCACTCTGATTATCGTAGTGACCCTGCAACAAATTTGGAATGATACTTTCGCAACATTGAAAGTATGATATTTGATATGAACATTGTCATATAACTTTCTTTAATCATCAAAAAATTTTCCGATAAAAATGTTGCTATTCGATTGATAGTTTTTCAGACAGTCGTAAAACGTGGAATGATAAAATCTCTAATAAAAAATGCCACAAAACTAACCGCATTGGCATATGAATGCTCATACGAGGAAAATACCAAATCACGCGTTTCCACATCATTCGCCTTTTTCAAAACATGATAATCGTTCTGAAAAAAATAATACCATAATCAATATTAACAAATTAATACCGTAATGATCGAGTTTGTCAATTTTGAGGGAGCGATGGAATCTACACTTCTATGGGAAGACAACGATACAACAGATTCCTCCTAAATAAATAAATATTGTTGAGTTCACTTCATTTATCGATTACTTTTCCATGAAGTTGCTTCATCTGCTCCAATACACGGTCATGTTCTTCAGTTTTCATCACAGCCACTGGAGTGTTCGGTTCCGACGCAATTCCATCACCAATCGTCTGAAAATCGAAAAGTTGTAAAATTCTCAAAATTAAAAATTTCTTACAACATGATTAGCTCCGACCAGAGTGTGTTCGGAGATGGTTGATTCGCTCACATGCGAAGCCTTGCTGAAAATAAAAATTGTTGAAAATTTGGAATCAATATTATTACCTCAAATGAGAGTTTTGAGATGCAATCGATTGGCGCTTTGCGGCAACAACATCAACTGGCGGCAAGTCGTATTGCTGAAAACATTTTTTCGATTTGATAAGGACGTCAATAGATTCAGAAACAATATTTTCTAGATTTTTCAACAATTTGAAAACTCTCAATTACATTAACTTCATCACTGCGCTTTTATCAATTGCAACCAACATTGCACAAAATAATTGTTTGATACATTTTCTAATAACGATTGAAAAATGTTAATTAATTGTTTATTTCTACCAAACCAAACTATAATTTTTATTTTTTACATATTGGTTGGTCGATAATTTAGCAAATAATTACATCATGAAAAGCATGATTAGATAAGATTGGAAAGAGTTGGCCTATTTACAAGATCATATCCCACACAGATTTAATCTTAAGGTTTCCCCTAAATTGGCCAAACCTATTATAGCAGCGTAGTGTAAAATATCAATTACATGAGCTTCAAGACTATAATTCTGAATTTTCGTACTTGTTTCAACACTCTTCAACATTTGAATACAATTGAATCACTTTTTGAAGGTATTGATTCTATTGACTAACACGTTTATTGTAATACTTCTATTATACATAAATGTTTACTTCGATTATTATTTTTATTTCCACTTATTTAAAATGCCGTCTCCTTTTTCAATTAAAAAAAATTGAACAACAAACGTTTTTTTTCCCTATATTATCTATATATTTTAATATTCTTGTTACTAACTCTCATGTAAGTGGCAACAATCTGATAAATCAGAAACGTTTGGTAGACTCAATCATCACATACAAAAATTATATTCTATAACACGTAAACATAGAACTTTTTTTTTAATCAAAACACTATTTCGCAAAACTTCGTTTTCCTAACACCGATTTATATCTCATTTATTTCTAACCTAACAATTTATATTTATTTATATTGGAATCGAAGTATAGAGTTAATCCATGGTCAATATGTATTAACAAAGCTTATGTTTAATAGATTTCAACTTCCATATACCATAATTATTTGCTTATAAGAGCAACTCTCCGCCAGGAATTAAAATTGACATGGATTAGTCGGATACACGAAATTTATCAGCCGTTGTACACTCCGGTGTATATACATATATAATTCTTCGAGATACTCATATGTTACTCTTTTCCAATTCGTGTCATTACACATTTAATTTCAACTTACATGAGCCGATTTTTGCGAAACACTTGAATGAACCGATACTGACGAAGCTTTCGAGATTGACGAAATCTGAAAGTTGTTTAGTATTTAATAATCCTTTGTCGCCCTCTGAATAATGACCTCAGATCGCTTATCATCTTCAAATTTGTTCTTGGTTTCATTTGTAATCGAGACACTGTTTCCGAACAATGTCTGTAATTCATGATTCCTTCTAATGGCTTCCATTTAGAGTTAAAGAACAGTTATTGATCTTTAATTTTTCGTGATAAGAATTGAAGCGCGGTGTTGGCAAGAGAGAATGTCGAAGATGGCTGATAATAAATTTTCAAAAGTGGTGATGCAACACACATATGAGCGCTTGCGATTTATAAACGAATTTGTGACGAAAAAAGCAAATAGTCGTAAATTTTTTTCAAATGTTTTAATGTTCAATAGGGTACGTAAACATGATAAAAAGTTTTGATTACTATGCTTCAATTTTAGGGACTGAAAATTTACATGGGATTCATGATGCTCCTCAATATGGTATTTCTCGACGTGTTGCTCAGATGAGAAGTTGATTTCCGGGAGTGTAACCGCGGAAAACACCTTGTCCATAATACCTAAATGTTTGGAAAATTTCAAGTGTTTCGTAATTTTGTTACTCACTATCGCTCTTGTCTCTAAAATCCATATTCGTATAAGGTCGGCGTCACCTGAAATAGATTGATTAATAGAATTAGTAAAAAGAATCTAAATCATGAGAAATGTGCTTAAAGCATAAATTCCAATTTCCAACTGAAATTCTATCTGAATAAAATAAATGACAAATGTGCATATTTAATGATAAAGAATGCCATCCTCTCGTTTTTAAACGATAAGACTTTATGTTGTTACGTGGTTTGCGAATAGAAATCATATTACAGTGCCCATCGTTATCAGATACAAGACACACAAAACTTTTGTGTGGTTTCCGGAACTATAGTCGAAACATATCTTGGAAGTATTTGAAGCACCACTTGGAAAAATATACATTATTAAATAGTAAAAAAAATTAGGATATAGCTCCTCATGAAAACTAATTTAAGGCTGAAATTAAAAAAAAAAAAATTTTCAGCTTTATAAAATTGAATTTAAAAAAAAACCGCAGCGATTAAAATTGATAATTAAAAAAAGTGTTTGTCTTTTTTAAATGTGGTACGTAATATAAATTTGTATTTAATTTTGTGAAACATTTTTATGAAGTCATCAATCGACTTTCTTATATTTTGAAAAGTTCGAATGTAACATTGACGCGTACGGTAGTAGAACGCGCAATCCATATGTCACACTTGCAATAAAATTACAGAATAAGAAATAAATTTCCTGCATTCGATGAAACATTTCTTATCTTACCAAATTCAACTAATTCGTTATATGAAACGGATGGAACTACTAATTTTTATTTTTCTAAATAACACATTTATTAATTTATTTACCAATAACGCCTAGATTATGACATTGTGTTGTTTTTTCAAAAGCTTCTAAACTGCCTCAAAAATAATTATTGTTGATTGTGATTAAATAACTTCATAATTATGCCTATTGTTAACAATTTAATGGTAATTAACTCTAACCAAATATTTCATAGACATTTTTCAAAAACATTGGTTGATGCATGTGTATCTTGGTTCTCATGAGACTTGGTGAAATTAAAAAATGTATTCGACAAGACTATCTAGAAATTAAATACTCAAGCCAATTAGAAAATTGGACTCTCCCAAAATATTTAGATTAGGATTTCTTTGTTGTATCTTTTAAGGTAGGTTCTTTTCGATTTTAATTTTTGCTCATGTTGATATCGCAAAAAGTGAATAATATTACATGTGCCAAGTGCACCTGTCCTTACGGCTCGATTTGAGCAATTTGAGATTAATTCCCTTTTCAGTTAAACATTATTCTGTTGTATCTACAATTTTCAATCAATTGTTGGCTCATCACGCAAAATTCCCAGCACCTGCAACATTGCGCAGTGATCGTTAGCAAAAATGTGATGACAGTTTTCCGGAAAGATGGATGTGTTGAGCCATACGCAACGCGCATCTGCTCTAGTATCTCTGCGTGTCATGGTACCGCATCCACCAAAACCACATTTTATTTCATGTATAGTTAGTTTTCCGCTTTAGAATTTCCTAGGTTCGACTTTAATTTTTCAATTCCTCACGTTATATAACCCTCATGTTGCAAATCGTAAATTTTCATCAACTAGATGACCTTCTAAGTGCAGATCAACGCTACTCTTACGAAACCGAGCGGCAAATTTGAATTTCCCGCCAAACGCTGTTTTATGCATACCATATATGTGAGTAGATAGATTTAATCATTCTTTTTATTTATTTGTTGCATTTAATTTAAATAATTGAAAAGTTCCTTATGTAATTTCATATTTCTTATCTTATCCAACAGTATTCTTATCATATTCAGTGATAGTTGAAAAAACGAAAATATTCAAATTTCGTAAATCTGTTATGAAATTTTTTTTTATCCTTGACAGAATTTGGAAAATGTCTTAAAAACATTGTATTCAATTTTGTTAAACTGATATTTTCCTATGCTTTTTTTATCATAGAGTCTCTCCTATGTCGGCAGTCTCCTGCTATCACTAAAGTGTAAACCCAACCAACGTAGTGTATCGATTCGATCATCCTGGTTATAGGTTCACTTCGAATTCCTAGTGTTACACATGACGTTGTTCAAAATCTATTATCACTGCATGTTGTCAAGATAAGTCACAGATCCTTATCAAAAACTTAGTTAGATCGTTCCGAATCGATTAGCGTTAGTCAGATGATATGAAACACCTGGAAAATGGTGAGAGATAGCACCAATGTTTTCGCACCTTATATGAATCCTTAGTCGAATGTGACAAGACCCAAAGATTTTTGGTTAGTGCGGGAAGGCGCAAAATGCGAGATACTATGGAAACAGAAGAGGGTGGTGATTTAACCAAGTCGCAGGGTTGGCGTCCGGCCGCGTTGCAATGCCATACTGCACAGCAGTCGACCCTGTAAGACTTAGACAATTTCTAGTGTCACTATTTTATTTCAAATATTAATTTCGCGTCTTCATTTCGACGTTTTCTATTTGTTTAAAACACGCTAAAGTTGAAATCTCATATATAACATACTTTATTTGTGTTATACCTCAAATTATTGATTTTTTCCACTAACTTGTTTAATTATTTTCATTTTTTGACCGCCATTAATTGTTTCACAAAAGAGACGAAAAACGAATACACATTTCAATGCTTTTTCACAAACTTCCGCATTCCCTAATAAATATACTTGACAGTTTCCTCGTCCCTTTCAATCTTCATTGAGGCAATTGCGCTCCAGGGACAGTGGTAATATTCAACACTGTTTGCCACGGAATATGTCTTATTACTAATACTTTGAAAATGTAATATATTCATTAGAATGTTTTATTACCAATTACGAAAGCACGAACATCGAAATTGCATGGACATGATTACGACTCGTAAGAGTTTCATTTAATTGAAAAAAAATTATATATATATATATATATATACATATATATATATATCCAAAATTATATTGTCGTGGACGGACTGTTATAATAAATCAGCTGTGACTGTATGGTATTTGAAGACCTATTAGGAATACATTTGCCAAATATTTCATTTATCCCCCATTATGAAATCGTCGTAGACATGGCAGACCACGCCTTCTATCCGTCTTCGGCAATACAATCCTACGACATATGCCGATTTCACATAATGTAGGATCGAATTGTTTAACATAATTTCAATATTCAATCGTCGTTTTCTCGTTTCTTTTTTTGTTTTGCAATATTATGCATGAAAATCAATATTTATACTCTTGAATGTTTTATCGTTAACCAATTTGATGTAAAATTAAGAAGAAAACTATTCTTCATTTTCAGAAACAATTCTAATTTTTTTGCAGATTTATTCAGAGAATAAAAGGATGCCCAGTAAAAGGAAATCGAAGAATGGCAAGGAGATTGTAAGAGGAATGAAAAAAAGAAAACTTCAAGAAGTGACTACAATTGATGAGCAGGCCTCAACAAGCACACCGAGAATAATCATTGACGACGACTCAGATGAAAGCGTCGATTGGACAACAATACCAAGATGTTCGGCCCCGACGACTCAATTTCCAGTATCAGTTTCCCTTAGCCCAGCCGAAACTCATACACTTAACAATGAAATTCGCGAAGGGACGACTTCAATTTTACGTTTTTCAAGACGTTCGAGCCATGGAATCACACCATCACGCACAGCAATGGTTCAAGAGGATCAAGAAATCATTCAAATTTCTTTGGACACTAATTTGCAACCGTCCAATTCTTGTTCACCGTGGCCTAATCAAGCACCACAACCACCAAATTTTCGGCTTTTTGGTGTTGATGGAACCCTTTATCAAAAATCGCGACTTTCGGCGAGTGCAAAGAAACGAATGAAGTATAATTGGTGGTCCGAATCAGATGTAATCAAATCCAAGAGATATGCATTGCATCCTCATCCATTCAACTTCGAAACGGACGAAATTTTGAAAATTCAACATGGGGCCATTAAACCAATGAAAACTTCACACGCTGAGAAAGTGCGATCAAAGGTGAAAAGGATGTTGACAGCGGTAAGTTAAAACAATTTTTTTTTGGATTACATAATTGATTTTAAGAGACGAGATAATAATTGCGTTGTCAGCGACAATGATTATTTCGCTGTGGAATTTTTAATGACTAAACGGCAAATCTCCGTACGGTTAACCGAGAGTCGAGACGTCCCTGAAATGGACTATCCGCCGCTTCTAGATGCCGGCTATTTCCCATTTCAATGTAAAACATACAAGGAAAGGGCATTATATTTGAAACGACGTTATTTGGAGGACGTGTCTAGGATAAAAATGAGAACACCGTAAACTCATTATTATTTGTGTTCAGCGATTATACGAGTTTTTTTTCAGAACGGCTCTACGAAAACGTGATTTTCCGTTTCCTTCAGTACGGAAAACGATGCCAATTTCGACATTGTATGAATGGCACATGGCTGGTCGACATATTCATGGTTTTTACCAACCAATGTCTCTTGTTGACGATCCAGAAAAATTCTATCTAGTCGATCAATACAATTTTTTTTATTTTCCATTATACGTGGAATATGAGAAGTGAGTTGAAGCTTATGAATTATTAAACAATGCTTTCATTGCAGATGGGACGCGAGACTCAAGTTTGCATACGATCTTGTAACAACCTATAATTTGCACTTGTCTGAAGTTATTCACAGGTACTATTCATTTTTACGGCAAATTGAGCGAATTAGTGATATTTTTTCAGGAATTTTGATCACTTCGATAGTTTGAACCTTCTCGTTCCATACGATTTAAGAAATACCGTCGATCATCAAGTACGGTTTTGAATAATTCACTTTAATATTTTCATTTAATTTTTAGGGACCCTATAAAGTGCGAGAAGACAATGACCTTCGAACTTCCGAAATTCGAAATCAAAATATCGACGTTTTTGATGGAGTAGTTTTAATTGTCGGTGGCTGTAAATTATCAGTATATAAACACGACTACAAGTAATTTTCACGAAAAAAAAGGTGTTTTTAAACTAATCGACTTCTATTAAGACTTGACAAAATTTCCAACGATGTGGTTCATGTGGATAGCAATGATTCGTCTGATTTGGAGATTTATCAACCTGAAAATGTTACGAGTCGAGTCTCCAAAATTAACACTTCCGAACCATCTACAAGCAAAGATAATTCGGCCAATGTTCAGAAAGAAATCGAACCGGGAGAATTTGTGGTTTGTTTATTGTCGAAATTCTCTGAATATAAACTTTATTTTTAGAACACTAATCGTCAGCGATTTGACTTAGATGATTATTCTCAACAACATTCGATGTTAACCAATCTCAACTCTTCATTAATAGTCGGAGAGCGGGAAAAGAATGCGGATGATGATGAATTATTCTTCGATGAATATGTAGAGATCATGGACGATGATTATCAAGGAATCGGACTTTTAACTACACCTTGGAAGGATAAGAATGATCATGGTTCTTCATTCATTAATCAAATTCGAGAAGATGAGCAAGAAGCTGGTCCTTCGGAAGATCCAGATAGAAGCCAAATTTCATTGAGAAATATGAACAGTGACGATTCGCGAGAAATTCATTCGTCGAAGACTCTCGATGATGTTCAGAAAGAAGACTCTTCGCGGCAAAACTTGAGTCATGAAACGGAACGAAACGTTACACAACATAAGGGATCACCGGACGCTCAAGAAGTCAGCGATTCATCGAAGACTCAAAGCGATATTCAAGAAGAAGCTTCCTCAGTACGCGACGATAGAAATGAGAATGTTAACGAAGCTGCAAAGAATTCTGCTGACATTATTCAAAAAGAAAGTTCGTCGATTGAACATGTCATTCATGGAAATGAGCGAGATAATACAACTTCGGAAGTTCAAGAGAGCATTCAACAAGACGCTGGAAAAGAAATGACATTGACAAAAGGAAAGGAATACGATGAGGTGCAAGAAATGTCTTCCTTGAAAATTCAAGATCTTGAACCACAAGAAGGCTCCTCACGACATTATATCATTCCGAACGGCTGCAACGAAATGACTCACGTGTCTATCAATAATGGACGACGACTATCTGCCGAAGCAGGTGGGTCACCTGATCCAGTGGAAAGTTTCTCATTCTCAAGCCAAAGTCGTGAAGATGTATTAGAAATTCTGCCATTGAATACTCGTGAAAACATACAACATGACGTTTCAAAGAAGAATCAAACTATGACTGACAATGACAAACGCGAAGTTCTTCAATCGCCGTCTAATGATGGAATGGAAAAGGCTCCAGAATTCCACTTTTTGAGGAATAATCTCGAAGTAATTGAAAGCGATGATTCAGAGGAAGAAGAGGCTATATACGAGAGTGGTCATGAAAACGAGCGAGCGGTTCTCCAATTTAACGCACGAGAAGACACTGGAATTGATAGTCACGCATTAGATGGGTTGGAAGCGAGTTTCGAGGCTTGTCATATGATTGAAAATAGTGCGCAGTACAAATCCCAAGAAGCAACTGAGGCTGGCCCTACAGAAGCTACAGAGGAACATGTTGAGCCCAGTAATCAATTGTTTGAAGAAGAAGCCCCACAAGATAACCAATTGCCGTTTTCTTTGTTGAAGTTAATCAATGATGAGGAGCTGAAACGTACTTATGGATACTTGCTCAAAGAGCTACCTTGTGCCTACGAAATATTTTCAGATGAGGTGCGCGTTTTTAAGACTAACTTAACATTAGTGGATTTGTTTCAGATGTTTCTACAAAGTCTTTCCGTCATTTACTCAACTTCATTGCTTCATCTGAATTCTTATGTTATGTCTTTGAAAGAATCGGTATGTAAATTGGCTACAAACACGAATAATTTTGAAATTTAGAAACCACTGGAAAGGAAGTTAAGCGATCAAGCCCTTCGACTTTACCATGCACTTTTTGATCAAGTGTTTTACAAAAACGGCGCATGGTACTTTTATAGTCATGAAATACGTCAAAGACATGGTCTTAACGAAGAAAAAGTATTCACGGACGTAATCAGTGAGTTGGAGAATTAAAAAAAAAACAAATTTAAACATTTAATTCAGTTTCTCGCGGCTTGTCAGAAGAGACTTCAACCCAAGAACAAGAAACGGTTGCCACAGAGTTGCCAGGCTCCACAAGTAAATCGCAAAGTCTTATAAATCCACCACAATCCGCGTCCGTCACAATAACGAGCAAAGTGTGCAACTATGCAAAAGCATCTTTCACAACATCGATGCGTTCTACCGCCATGGAAGCAAATCTCACAAAAGTGCCTGACGAAGAAGAATGCGTTCTCACAATTAGAAACGAAACGCCTAAACGGTACTCATTCAATGTGAAAGAGGTGCCATATGCTCATCAAGAATGTGTCGGCGCGTTTGCATGCATTCTTGAAAGTAGCGCGATTGAGAAGGTCTTCATGGTGCCGCCTCTCGATTTGCCATCTTGGAAGCCACCGATTGATGAAGATGATGAATCGCACCAAGCACCAACATCGCACAGAATATATCGACTTGAAAAAGCGTCGCTCACGGTGTCACTTCCCAAAAATTATCAGACAACCGAGAAGGAACCGAAAAGGGAACTAATTGAGCCTGTGGAAGAAAAACGAACAACACTATCGGTTAATACACGACTTTTCGACGACCAAACACTTCTTGATTTTGATTGTGAGATGGTCCCATTGTCAGAAGAATATTTCTATGATAATCGAGTGGATGAAGCAGAGAATGATAATAACTATTTCGGATATTCTTCGTTCAATCCGTACGACGAGATCGCTAAAGGCCATCCAACATTACCTTTTGATTGTTTACGCCCAATATATAGAATAGAAAGTATGTAATAACAAATTAAATGCCATTGAAACATTTCATATTTCAGCCGCCCAGTTGGGTGTTACAATTCGACCAATGATCGTAGATCTCGATTTGAAGATTCCTATAAGTGAGTTTAACACATTCATTGTTCAAATTAATTAATTATTTAAAGTGTACAAATGGAATGAAGACAATTCTCGAGAGCCAATAAAATTTGAAGATCTTAAAAGTGAGTTTCTGCATTATTATTGGAAAATGCGAGCTGTTTTAGATATCATCACCGACAACATTTATCAAACACCATATGAGAACGAAACAAGTAAGAAAAACCGTCTTTAAAAATAGTGACAACATGGTTTTTAGATGTTGGATGTGTAACCAAACGCGTGTTCATTTTCTTCCACAAGTGTAACTGCAAAACGGTCAAATACCTTGAAAGAGGTCCACCAGTAGTGATTCGGGACGTCAATGATGAGACCAATTGGATATACGAAATGCAACCTATCAATAGGGTAATGGTTTTAAGCGATGCTGACGAACCTCAACACTACATTGGCGCATTCGTTTGCAAACATGGATACAGTGAACATTTAACGCTATCAAACACTATTACATCAACGGATGCCGTAAGAATTGAGAATCATATTAGTTGTAATTATTATTTTCAGTTCACCGAGTATATCGATACGATATCTTCTTGCACGATGCTTGATGAAGTGCCAATGAAATTGAGCAGGATTGTACCGAAAAATGTACCGCATCGCGTTCTAACGCTAATAAGGCGTGTTCTGGAACGCGCCGAACTTCTTGACCATTTTTTCGACAATGAGGATTTTCTGAATCTTTTCCTCAAGAAGGAAATGGACTTGTATCGAATGCTGAAGTACGGAACAACAGATGAAGGAATATTGAATGAAAACGAGATGAAAATCTTCATTGAAGAAATAAAGCGAATGGAGCTTTTAGCTGTTCAAAAAGAACTACGGCTTTCGATTGAATGCGACCAACCACCGATAGTGACGAAGAAAATTCTCTGGAATTTTATCAACGGTTTTGTTCATTACGCAGTGTGCCAATTCTTTCAATCGATCACTAATGACTCAAATAATGTGTCGTTTGCTTCGAAAATGGATACACCGGCAACATCATCAATTTTACGTTTGCCTATCATTCATACGCCATCTCAACAAAAAAGGCTCGAAGAAGAAGGATTGCTTCGAAATTCTGATGATCGGAGAAATCAATCGGTTTCTCTCATCAAATCTACACCAACGCTTTCGATCCAATCCTCAGCGACACCTCGTCCAATGACTTTGAATGAAACACCGCAGCGTTCGAGCAATGTGTTAGGAAGGATTTCTATCCAGACCAACGGTCAGCAGCTGAATCAACAAAATTCAAGGCTACCACCTTCTGTGCGAATCAACTTCCGGAAGCGACCCGATTTCGTCACCCGCGCGCTAGAATCAAAACAAAAATCGCCGCCAGCTCAATGGAAATTGAAATTATCTACGCTGCAAGATGCACAACAGTCTATCAACCGCTTGGGAACAAATACACAAGGATTAATGTCTCGACTTGAAAAGACACCTTCAGTTATAGTTCTTGACAATGTACGACCGAATGTTACGATGAATGCTCAAGAGAAAGCGGTGCAAAAATCGAGCTCTAAAGAAGGCAGTTTCAAGCGGATGACTCCTCCAAACTTGTTAGGCAACGCTGCAGGACCACAATTGCAAACGCCCCGTGCAAACCAGCTCTCTCTACAGATCTCTAGTCAAAACTTGAATAAGATTCAACAAAAGAGTTTGGAAAATCAACCGAAAAAAGTGATTCAGTTGGATGCTGCTTTTATTAGCCCAACAAAAACTGTTCCACATACAGCGAAGAGCAATTCTAATAATGATACTGTTCGATCAAACGCACGAAAACGAAAAGCATCACAGTTTGAAGAGGAGATAGTTGCGAAAAAACGAAGAAAAGAGCTATGCGTAAGAATTCGACACGCCAAAGTTCCCTCGAAAACGAACGGGAAAAATGGAAAGAAATCTCTAATTCAACTTGCAAGAGAATCATCAAGTACTTCGATTGAAACAATGAATCAAGTCAAGTTCACAAGATTATCAGAAAAATTCTCTGGAAATTTAGAAGACGAAACAACGAGAGAGGTATAACTAACGTTAGAATTGTTTACAAATTTTCCACATTTTTTTTCAGAAAGAACCAATTGTTTCGAAAATCATTGAACTTGCGGCTTCTCTACGAAATTTCGGATTCAGAAAGACTTCAAACAGATCCGCTAATAAGCATTTGAAAAGGATCTCAGCCACAGCAACGACACCTCAAAAGAATACAGTTCGCACAGCTTCTCCTCCAAAAACCACAATCCGTACAATATCACCTCCACGGATCACCGTCCGTACAATTTCACCTACAAAAATCGCTGTACGCACAACGTCACCTCCAAGGATCACAACTAGTAAAACTTCGCCTCCGAGAATCCCTGACGTTTCAACTGTCACGAAAAATCTTCAACAAGTAGCTAAAACTACTCCAATTGACATTATCAATTTAATGAAGGATTCAAAATTGGAAGATATCAACGTAGGTGAAAGTCGCCTGAATCAAAATGAAGATTTTCTGTTTTCAGACTATTTACAAAACTACGGAAATCAGTCAAGTACCGCGTTATTTTCCGAATAATGTCGAACGATTCAAGGTAATAGGATTTCTTAATTTTTTATGACATTTAAACTGATTTTTTAAGCATATGTCGGCTGAAATGAAAAAGAGAAAAATGTTTTATTATGGGCAAGTTGGCTCTTTTGATGATTTGATTTTGCTTCGTGGTTGTCCTTCCAAACAAATTTCAACTCATTCACAAGTAATTGCAACTCATTTACAATAATCAACAACAATTCTGAAATTTTAGCGACGAAGATCTCAATCGTGTTCCGAATTGGTTGATTACACACGTCATTTGGACTATAAAAATTCGTTTACAGTCAAAGAAGAAATTAATCTTTGCTTTAATGTGCCGCCAGAGGTAATATTCGCCACGGTTTTTTTTTAATCAACGAATTCTTCATTTAGATTGTCAATGGGATTGTAGAACGGAGGGGTACTATAAGATTCCCAAGGCTTGATAACGGCATTCCCGATATTTTTTCTCATGAAGAGTACAAAAAATTTGCGCGGTTTCTTATTAAAGACCAAAGATATGCCTATTTGCTCGACGAGAAAACCACGGATGAACACATCATTGCGATTGCTCGTATTTTCAACGAAGCGACACTATTTCAAGCCGGCTGCATGCCTGGTAAATATTTATATTAATTAGCTAATAATTAAATAATTACACTTATACTTTTAGCTCCACAAAGCAATTATGAATGCGTTTATCAGAGTTATAGTAGATGTGTCGAGGCAATTCAAGATGTTCTGCAATTCGCTGAAGGACAAGTCGTCAGCTTAAGTGTAAGCTTTTTTTTATCATTCCCTGTTTAAAAATGGTTTTTAGAAACGCAAAAATCGTCGCAATTTCTTATATCACGTGTTTTTCGATCACGTGCTTTTAGTCTGGAAATGCTACATTCCATTCATTGAAAGATTATGCCATTGTGTGCTTAATAGGATATTCTCAGTTACTGCTATCTATTACTGTTCGAAAAGGAAAAATGCGACACCTGTAAGTTGACATATCAAATTGGCGTCATTCAAATTGAATTGCAGCTTTTAATTTTATTTCGAAATTATCTGGATTCAATAAAAGATGTGCTAAAGGCGATATTCGATTTGCAGCCTGCACTTGACCTTTATGAGCAAATTCGCGGTCTTCCAAAGTACGTACATTTTTGATAATTTTTTGAAATTCTTTTTTTTTCAGCAATGTTTCACTTGATCGACTACAGAATACAATTTATGGCGTAGGAAAATTGTATATTGAGCGACTTCGTCCCCCACAATGGACGATGGACAGCGATATCAATATTTTGTGGAAATACAATATGCCAGATATTAAGCATTCATTAGACCTTTTGGTGCTCAACAACTTCACCGCCGTGAATGACCCACGCAATGATATAGAATTTGACGCGTTAAGCGTAAGTTTGAAGAATTAGACATCAATCATGCTAGATTTGTCAATTTCAGGAAAAGTTCAACCTCCCGCGTTTCAATCATGAATTCGCAAATCGTATTGCGCATGTTGATCGCCAAACTTTTATGAAGAAATATTTGGTGCGAGCGTTTTTCCAACAAGCGGACATGTTTATGGAAGGCCTGGAAAAGGTCACGGGATGTGAAATCGACCTTCCGGCGGCAAGACTTTATATATCCGGACACCTAAGGAAGATGTTGGACGTTGTCAGTCATAGGAGAGATGTGCCGGCCGATGTTCACCCATTGTCCCCAATAACGTCTTCTTATTTGATATATTCTCAACTCACGTATATCGAGTACGAATACGACGAAATACATGCGATGCATCAATTGAATGAAGAATACGAAGATCTTGTCAGAAGATGCAACTACGCGCCAATGGTTCAACCACTGAAGACGAGCTTCTTTTTCCGCGAGGAGCCCACAATGATTGTGTTCTCGGTCATTTTTGAGGAAGATATAAAATTGATACTTGATAAAAGAATGCGTGCTGATCGGGTTGCTCGAAATGAGAAACGTCTCGACTATTCGATTCATCGCAGAATCAACAACATACACTATAATACAATGGTAGTACTTGTGAAGAGTAGCAAAAACTTATCTCAATGTTTTTTTTTTCAGGTGGATATCGACGAGGATAAGGTGTGGGTGCAATTGTCAACAAGCACTGGAGAACCGATTAGTCGATCGTTTCCAATAATTGCGCAAAAATTGAAACCAGGGCCGCATAACGTTATTAGTGAAACTTACGTATTAGAGAGAGCAGATAAGATAAAAAAAGAGACGATATATACGAATGAGGATACACAGAAGAAATTGTAAGAATATTGTACTGAGAAAATCTTCAAAGTGTTATGTTTCAGGCGCCCACCAGGATATATGAAATTGTTAAAATCTAAAGAAGTCTTTCCGCGTCTATATCCTAAAAGGTGAAAACGATTTTTTCAAATATAGTTGAAACTTCTTTTTTAGAATGAGTGTTTTGACTCGTCAGAGAGAGAAAGTAGTGCTGGCTTCGACGGAAGGGCATTACGCGAATGGTTATTTCAATACTTTTGGATTGGCACTGAAGCACCTTAGTATAAAAGAGAAAGTTGTGGACACGATAGGAAGGTTTGAAATTCATCAAGAAGCGCTTTATTCAGAGCTATGTGTTTTCAGCTCATTTGTTTGTGTTCATTCAAAAATTCCACACCACCTGGTTCAAAATTATTACACAATGGTTTATCCAAAGCCAGTGGAGAGGGTAACACATTTTAACAAAAATGAAAAAAAAAATTTTATTATTTTTCAGAAGAAAACAAATGTTGGCCGAAAGAAGAAAATTGATCATATCATGATTGAGCAACAAGAGCACGCCGATGGCCCACCAACACGAACAACCGAACCATATGCGCAAAAAGAATACCACTTTGAAAATTATACTGGATATATGAATGAAACCAAAAATGTACATGAATAACCAATTCTGTTTTTCAATTCTTTTGTTTGTTGTTGTTTATTGTTGTTATTTATTTAAGGGTATTCTCTGATTTACGGGTAGCTACAATTTTCAGTGAAACTAGTTAAATGCTTAGAGAATTATCGTTGTTCATTGTGCATCATTATTCTTTCATTTTATTTCAAATTGTGATTGGTTTCTCTTATTTCCATTTTTGCGATGAAATTGCGTATAATTACAACACTCATTGTATAATTGCATTCACTTGTTGATATTTGTTATCATGTTATTTGTTGTTCTTAATAAAAATTATTTATTTCATAAGATTCGCATAAATTAATAGCAATTTGATACAAAGTGCAGAGATCGTTTTGAATAATTCATAGTACATATATGCATGAATATTTACACAAAAATTTCGCAGTCGACTTGATCGCTGACCATTGCCTCAAACGTCATACGAGTTTCGTGTATATGAAGTGATGCGGAGCTATTAGACATGCCAGAACCTCTGAAAATATATGTGTTGCATAATTTAGATAATTACATATGTCTATCATTACCTTCGCTTGTCATTGCTACTACTTGAAGGAAGTGTGATGCCGCCAATAATTTCAGAAGACGATCGCCTAATGCAGTCGTCAGATGATCTTCTAAACAATGAAAACAATCAATCATGAAACAATTGTCTCAGGACAACCTAAAAGTAGTATTGCCGCCGGCTGAAATTGAAATTCGGTTTGGAGAGATTTCATCAATAACGATCTCTGGCTTCTGCACCGATATTTTGCGATTGTTCATTGGTCTGAAACCTGATATTTTAGTTGGCTGAACAAATTTGTAAAATATCTCAATCCAATATCAATTCTAAAGGTTATTGATTCTTTAAAATATGTTTTACAAACAACAAGCAAATGTCATTACAATATTACTTCCCAATTCGCGATTTACTTCATATGATGTAAATACACAATTGCCATAGTATGAATGTAGTTCACATGAGAAAACTAAGCAACATGCGTGAGATTATTGCTAACACTTGGCCATAATTTATGATCGAAACTTCTTACTACGAGCATGCACACACGCTACAAAATTCCCATGAAACGCCTAAAACCTTTTCATTCTTATTTTATTCGGCGATGCATCCGAGTTATTAGAACTGAAGTGATTAAAACGAAAAATGTGCTCAAATTCATAATTCGTTGAGCAACTTACCCAGCACTACTCGTTTTTCTCAACGGACTTTTTACAATTTTGTGGAAACCGCAACCGCATTTTGCCGGACCACTGTAAACATCCGACTAAATTGATAGGATATTAATGATTACCGGCTGCTATCTCTTGGCGGAAGCATCCAGGATTTTTCACGTTGGCGACGAGACGAGCGACGGAATCCAAGAAGTTTACGGAAAGAATGGCGGAATTTCTGAATTAAGAAAAAAAATTTTTCATTTCTCATCAGCTAATTTACCGGATTGATCGTTGAGTAAATGAAGAAATTCAGCGATGAATTTAAATATCCCAAAGCAGTAAACCAATGGAACCAAACTTCCAAATCAGACGACCAAACATTGAATATCAACTTGTAAATTTTAATCATATTCAAGGTGAAGAATGGAAGCCAGCAAACAAGGAAAACGACTAAACACATCATATGATAATGCAATTTTTCAAATTTCTAAGTTTTACCCATCACAGTAGCCACAAGTTTCGTTGCCCGAGTCTCGCGGCGAATTGCCATTCCTTGTTTCGATTTGAGTTTTGCGAGAAGATTGAGAGCCCAATCTTTTAGACCAGCTAATTTTTTGCGAGCAATGTAGACGCTCTCACGCCTTGCATATAAATACATGTTGCTGATTGAGCTGCGTGATGGTCGCTCCCAATCTGAGATCATTTCGGATAAGCGTCTCATCTTTCGCTTCTCAACCTGAACACAACATTTTGTTGACAAACGAAAAGAATAGAATTTGAAAAGCTGAAAAATCAATTGCAAAGCAAAAATTGTTGAAATATCGATGCATAGATTTAGAAAGCGTTAACAAAAGAGTTTAACATATTAATTTGCCCTGAAAAGCACGCATATCTTTACATAGGGAAAATTAAAATATGAAACATAGTAGGAAAATCACATGAAAGCCTTTGGCCACTATTTTTGTTTAATTTTCAATTTCAAAACAGAATACAAGCGATTTCACAAAAGCAAAAAGCAAGATATAAATCAATTTGTAAAAAAACCCATGCATTTTCGAAAAATGGGCTGAATCAGTTCGAATTGATGCACCATTCACAAAGCTAATAAAATGACTGAAAAAACTTATGAATATATTAATGTTACTCACAAAACCATCTTTTTGATATGATGACGTGATAGGAAGTGAGTTCGATGGTTTCTAAAAACTAATTATTTCTAAACCAGAACTTAGATGAATTCAGAGAAAAAAAAATGACAAGTGATAATTTCTACGCAAATCGCATTTTCACAAATGTATTTGATAACAAACCAATGGTGGCTTCAAAGAATGAAGCTTCTTTGATTCCTCTGACGTCACAACTTCACGATTTCCCATTGGCTGATGGGAATGTCGGCGTTTCCTTGAGTGATTTCCAAACGACACCGATTTCATTCGTCCACGGTGCGAAATTGAGTTGACGGCATCCGAAAACCTTCGAGACATGCTTCAAAACAATTCACTATTTTTTTCGGGTTTTGAAATTTCTCAACTTTTTGGTGTATGTCGGTCTTGGAATATCCAAAATTGGGCCACTTGTGTCAATCTCGCAGCGCAGTGTGACTGCCTCGAGCAAGACTGATGGAGGACGATCGGGATCCTCTTCAATTGTGGTATTCTCTTGGCTTCCAGTTGACGATGGATGAACGGCTTCGAGAATGGTTTGGAGCTGAAATATTTTTGGGTGTTTGTTAAATCTATTTTTTTTCATCTGGTGCACTGGTTTGTAAATTAAATTTGATCCCATTCGAATGTGGGTTGATGACGTTATATAATTGTCGGAAGAACCCTTTGAGAGTCACATTTCTAGTTGTAAATTGACCATATGTCAACAGGTGCAACGCGCGTCACTAATCCTTACAGTACCGCGACTACATGGGGTGGCAAATGTTTCGCAATAAATGTGTCATCTTTTTCTAGGGGACCACTAAATTTTATCATTCCAGATATTCATTATCTACCCTTAATATGTATTAATAGGCAGCATCGAGGCACATTAATTTCTCACAGAAACGTTTATACTAAAGTATCTATTTTATTATTCGCTTCACTCTTTCAATGAATAATATTCCCTATTCCAGTCTATTGTAATAACTCATAGGCTTTTGCAATCTCGCTATTAATAATGTAGAACTGGCGTGTGAGAAATCGGGATTCTTCACTTCATCGGGTTGCATTCATGACGGAGTTATGAATTTTCGATACCTGCTCGCGCTCACTATCGTTGAGGGAGCTCGCGTGCTCTGCTGCAGTTTCCTCAATTTTTCGCAATAATGGTTTCTCCCATGTGATCATATTGCGATTCTTCGGAGCGATTCCTGAAAACGAACATTTCAGAATTTTGTCATCGATGCCAATTTATACCAATAACTGATTGGATTGCAGACGTTGTGATGTTACCGACATCCGCGCCGAATCCCAAAAATTGACCTCCGGCCATTTCCTACAAGTTTCCCTCATAAATTTTTAATTGAAAATTTTGAAGAAGAATATATTTTGCTATTCAGCGAGAGTGCGACCAACCTGCAGTTGGATGGCTCGCAATCTCTTCCGCAATGTGTAGAAAATGTAGCCATAGGTGATAATCATAATAAAACATGGAAGATAGAATGCGAAAATGCTGCTACCAAGCATGTAGATCGGGTTATAGATTCCACAATGATGTTCAATTAGAAGGAAATGGCGAGTTCGAGTGTTGAATCCAGTTCCTTGAAATTCATATTCAAAAATTATTGAGAAATGTCCGGAAAACCTAAAGGAAGTGAGAGCCCAATGCTGAAAATCCAGGTAATCGCAATCGCCATATAGACACGTCTACGGTGCTTGATCATTTTGTACTCCGCTGGCTTAGTAGCAGCCACAAATCTGGAATAAACCTTCCTGGATCCAATTGCAGCTCGTCTTTGATTACCGGTCAATGCTTATAAGTACCAAGTGTATAATTGACGATGTACTTGCAGCCACATCCAGAACACAATAGAAATGACAAACGAACAGCGGGAGATGCCAATGAAGACCGTTGATCTTGATTTTTTTTTAAGTTTTTTGACATATTGTGTTTACTTTGAGCAAAAAGTATCATATTTTAATGACGATCATTATTAGCTTCGTTTCGTTTGACCTTTGTTCATCTCAAGATTTTTATTTTGGGCCAAAATCCACAAGCACTACTTTTTGTAAACAAAAAACAAAGAAAGCATAACAACCAATTATTTTGGAGATTTTTAAGGAAACGCGTCCTATTATGAAAAAATGGGAGATTTTTCGTGCCGGATATCATAATTGGAACTAGTGAAATTCGGATGACTAATTTATTTTTTATTCAATTTTTGTTGTCTAGAAATTAACACAAATCCAAAGAACGTTAGCACTTTTTGAATTGTTCTAAAAGTAAAATTTTATCTCAACCATGTTTTAAACATCAAACTGATATATCTGATGCTCGTATGATCGGATGATTAAGCAATAATATCGTAATCCCCCTATATCTCACGAGCAACTGGAAAAAAAAATAAAAACATGTGTGAAAATAATTCCGAATGTCCGAACGCAAAAAATTATATATGCCTATGAACTTTAAACTGAGAAATAAGCGTAATAGTATTTATATATCCAATTTTATCTTTTAAACCCTCATAAAATCTTCTAAATTTATATTTTAAAAAAAGTAGCAAAACAATATATTGAATATTTCATTCAACGAGGAATTCAATTTTGGTTCTCTCTCAAATTTATATATTTCTTATTCAGAGCAAAAACATCTTTTCAGTTTTCTTCTGCTCAAACAGAAAAGTAAAAAAAATGTTCAAAAAATACCGAAAGGTAGATGCTGAATGGCATGACAAAAGCGCCGACAATGAGATCAGCCATTGCCAATGAAACCTCAACGAAATCGCGGTTCGAATGCGCTGATTCGATTGCCACACTTACCAGAAGATGATTCGTCGGTGTTTGAAGACTTCTCGTTGTCCAAACCGCCGCCACAACCATACAGTTGCCAAGGATGCAAAACAATGGAACGATGGCCAAGGCAAGATAGGCCCAATCCGGCTGAAGTCGCTCATCCTCAACAGCGATCGCCGCCAGAGCGGTTAGGTAATCACTTTCGTTCATCATTGAAAATGACTGGAAGAAATATATTTAGAAAGAATGGAGGCTGAAAATAATAATTACGAGTAAAGCAAAAAAAATAATAATTAGTTCATGTCTTATTATTTAAACATTTACATGAAGTATATATATGTTATATCCTTCAACATATGAGCTCCTCAACATTCGAATTATTCATCTCTTCAAAACACGCCAAATTAGCGGGTTGTGGAGATGCGAAAAGTTAATTATAAAAAACAAAAGAATCTGTTTGGAAGGAAAGAAAAAGAAACTTGGGAATATGCACATTTGAATTTCAGGAGACAGGTGAACCTTGAATAGAAACAATAGGAGCAAAATTTGCACATATATGCATATTTGAAAAAAGAGACAAACGGCGGAGAACAAAAATCGCATTTCTTTTTTTTTCGCAAATCTGAGCAGTCACTATTGGAAAAAAGAAAGGAACTCGAAATGAACAAGACTCGATATTCAGATGAGGTTTTTCCGTGCTTCACAAGAGCAGCTTAAGAAACAACAAAAACGCGACGCTCAATATTATGATTGTATGTGGGAAGTTTATATATTGCCAGCACTTGTTAGGGATCAAAGGCGCGTGATTTTATATGAATATTGAAAGAACTAGGTAAACAGATGAGGAGTAGAATTACTTACTCACGAGGGTTTTTAATTTGTATTCAATTATATTACCGATGGTGACGAATCGATGTTTCGATAATTAACGCTATTTCGTTGATTATCTTATCAGTTATACATTTTTTTTGCCAGAACTCTACAAAAACTACTGGATCCTGTTTTTATTTACGTTGAAAATGTTTCAAGAGATATATAAACTTACTATGATGTGTTTATGTTTGCGCATGAAAAGCACATTTCAAGAATATTAATTGTACGTACGTAGCCCTAGGATAAATACGTATGCTTATGAATGTGAATCTAACGAGATAACATTCTAGAAATGATCGGTTTAGCTGGCAATATTTATGGATGCCACGACTGGAGCGCGAGGTCTGAAAAATCCTCGCGTTGCTACTTGCCACCATCTTCGGCTTTGCCGCTCTTTTCAATTTTTTTTTCTCAGGCCAAAAGTGGGTGGAGCTGCGCGGCAAAAATGCTGGCGAACTACGGTGGAAGTACGACGTGAAACAACTCCCCCCCCCTTGAGCTGAGCAAGAAGTAGAAGAAGCAAAAACGAAAATATGAGATTGAGTATGGGAATTTATTCATGACAGCCGTATCACGTGCAAAGGTGATGAGCATATTTGATCGGTTTGGAATACGAAACGCGTATGGTGACTGCAGCGGGTGGATGTGTCATTTGGGACCAAGAAGTCTCTTTTTTTTTGCAAGAAGTTGAAGGGGGAAGGTTGAGACAAATTCAATTGGTTCCGTTGCCCCCTTTCCTTTTCTTCAATTGCCAATAAAATTTTGGAGAGCACTCCCCTACTTGTTCTTATTCCCCCTGCCGTCCATCCGTCTGACTTTTTATGAAATAAATATATTAAAAATTCAAAGAATACATTGAACTTTGATTCAAAAAGGACATTGAAAAAGTATAATTTGGCAATGAACAAGAGGGGCATGAAACATTGTGAGAATTTAAGTAGGTGGAATTAGTTTTGTTAGCTCGTGGTAATTCGAACTTTACCCGATGAAAAGGGTCCAATCAAAATACGCGCGTGCTTCGCTTGTATCAATACACAAAGTTTAATGGCGTCATTAACTTTTTTGAATGCTGTTCGCTGAGAAAGTCTTATAAGTCATTTCAATTATTCTCATGGAAATTTTCAACTGCGAACTCTCAGAAAGAATTTATCAGCAAATAGTGGAAAGTCAAACATGTACATTCTTCAATATATGATGAATCAAACTTCAATTTATCAATTGCACTTAATTGAAAGAATTTCTGCAACATAAGCAATGCAATAGAATTTTTTAGAAAATTAGTCATATATTGTTTGATGGGTATAAAATATATCATGCTATTTATTTGAATAAATGAGCTGATTGAGGCGAATTAAACAGAATTGACTAGATTTTTTTGCGACTCGTTGAAGAGCCCATCGAACAGCGAGCGCGATTCTCTCCTAATCCATTCATTAATTAGTTTGTTCACACGATTTCGTCATGTATTTCAATGCAAACCTTAATGGTCGAAAATTGACGATGGAATGGATTCAAGTGGTATCAAAAAAAATTCTCGAAAATGTGTTAGAATTGCGTGAGCACTATTTTTGGATTCGTGAAACCTGTCTTCCACAATTTGTCTAGACATCGTTCAATTGTATACATTCACAGATGATATCAATTGGTTTGCTTCTTTCACCTTTTTGAGTATATGAGGATTTTTTGTGTTTGTCTTGAAGAGAAACTCGTCAAAAGTAAAGTGGGTGTTTTGTTAGCGATGCGTCGCATTCAATTACAAAGGATTCGTTATACTTATTCAATGAAGTTTGATCCGTACGTGAATCTTGGGATGATTAAGCTCACAGCTACCAAATTGCAATGCAAAGAAAGTTGTATCTACCATAGTATTGTAGGCGATGACATACAAAGTTGATCGACGTAATCTTATGCGCAACAACTTTTCTGAACAAGCAGTTTGAAAATGCAAGGGAAAAACGAGGGAAACAAGTGCTAGATATGGCACACCGTTGTCATAGGTGCCACTACACTTGACTTTTCCCAGGGATTGTTTTTCGGTTTGTAAATTTTTGAGCCTAAGCAAACATAGGAAGTGTTGCGCTTTCCTTTAGAAATTTACAGAAAACCCACCATTTTTGCTATTTGATTCTGTTTTTTTTTGTTAAAATGTCTGCAAGTCGTCGGAGCCCAACAATTTAGGATACTCGGAATTTTTCCCGTTTTCATTATGCTTCTTCTTTTATTCGACGCGCAATAAATTGAATCAAAGAGTTGCGAGGCTCCCGATTCACCGATGTTCTTCTGATTAGGCTAATCAAATTGGACTCTGTCCCTTTCTTCTTTTTACGACAATAAAAGAAGGAAAAAAAAACTCCAACAAGTTAACGTCAACATGCAATCCCTTTGAAAGATACGAGCCACAAGAGCAAAGGACAAATAGTATGAAAGGCTAAAAAAATTAAATTCTTTGACCGGACTGAATCCCCAAACAATGGTTTTTCTTAAAGCCGATAAGAGTATTATGAATATTTGTATTTCCAACGACAGCGATTGACGGCAGCGTTTGTTATTTCCTTTTCGAGTCCGGACCACTTCCCACAATTAAAAAACGCTATAAATAAGAGTAGTCTGAATGTTCTGAATGTGAAACCAGCGATTATGGTAAATTGTAATTAAAGCTAATATTACAGAAATTGTAAAATAAATCCACACTGAACAGAAATAATAATTGTTTTGCAGATATGATTTTAGCAGTTTTAAATTACAACTACAGAAACTATAAATAACGTTAAAATACGAGAATCTTAAAAAAACATTTTTCAAATCAGATTTTAGTTCGCCACATTGCTGAAATTTTCATTTTCCAATTTTGATTCGTGTCAATCCCCCAACAATATTATACGTATGTATATTAATATGTAACAAAATGCCGAACAATAGAAACGTTGAAAAAAAAATGGCAGTTGTTCAAATAGCTTATAGCGCGAATACAACCATTATTAGCAGAAATCATTTTGCCGAGTTCATGCTGTCTCAATATTCTGTGCACTTTACAATAATATGTCTAGCAATTGTAAGTTTCGAGTTCATTTGTTTAGTTTAAGAAGTCCTTCTATTTCAGACAATTTACTATTTCGACTTTCTAGGATTTAGATCAAAAGACGAAAAAGACATCGTAAAGGAGGTGCAACAACATCTATTAGAAAAAGTTTGAAAACTTCGCCAATCATCAAAACTCGTTAAATTTAGAAGTTTGTTGTACAAGGAAAGGAATGCATTCCTGATACGAATGTATGTTTTCAAATTGTGGATTCCTACATGATTGAGTTCGGGCAGTAAGTCAAATACCGTACCATATTTTATTGGAAGCGCACACGCATATTATACATATAATATTTTATATCACGTGCCAACTACCAATTACTTTTTTCCCATTGTCTAGATTCGTGGCAAAACGCGATTTGGTGCTTTCCGATTTCACGGAATACTCGCTGACCGGCGTCGAGATCGAGCCAACAAAACGTGAGAGAAATTCTTGTTTCATCGATATTTTTCTGAATCGTTAATTCATTACTCATTCAGCGTTGTCGTGGGAAAACGTGAACTCGCGCGAATGGCCCGTCAACAAGTTGGTTATCAATGCAAGATATGCGCGACTTTTGATCGCCGCCGGCTTTTTCATGGAAGTTCGTCGATTTTTCCTTTTTTTAAATTCGAAAGCATCACGAGGGGCGAATGACAATGCACACAAGCACATATTTTCAGAGTATGACATTCGACGAGAATGAGCCGAAAAAAGTGTTGATTGCTGGACTTGGTGGTGGCGTCATATCGAATTTTCTCGGAGAAGTCGCCTACCTCAATGTAATCGTTTATGTTAATCAAAAATGCAGACATGTAATTCCAAGTGGTGTAAAATTTGAAAAAAAAACATCCAAGATTTTACGCATTTTGAAAAAGTTTTCGAAAAGTGCCTTCTAAAACACGAAATGATGAGAACAGATGTTCGTAAAAGGCCAAAAGGAGAATAGTGTTCGTTTCAATATAATCGTTTTTTTATTTTATTGATCAGCGCGTTCACTATTAAACTGTTTTACTAACTCTTGCTAGCCTATTTTCAGGTTTTATCAAAAATTTTAAACAAAACTTACAATACATTACGGTTTTAACAATTTGTCGATGATTTCTTTTTTGTTTCAGTTCGATTTTTCTTAATATTGCAATTTTTAAATTTGTGATTTTCGCCGTTAGTTCAAAGTTTGTTGTCAGTTTTATAATCAAAATTTTTTGTGAGCTTTTTGCCATCCATATAATCAACACTTGTAAATTTTCTTATTTTCATTCGCATCTATTACATAAAGCAAACCGAAGGAAATTAATATTATTTTTGTTTCCATTAAACGATTTCAAAGAACAACTCGCAACACCCACTAGAAGGTAGAAAAGAGAAAAGAACATAGTATCAGCTCAATTGTGAATCTTTCTCGGAAATTTTGATATTCAAACATAAAAATGTAAACGTAATTTACAATCTACCAGTCATTTCGTTATCATCATCAATATTCCATCACGTTTGAGAGATCATGACGGTGCTTTAATTTTACCATAGTTTCGTTAGGCTTCTAATACATTTTTCTCCGATTCGATTAACATTTACCATCTTAAAAAACCCTTTTTTGAAAAATTTTTCTTTTTTGAAATAACCATTTTTGGTAGCAATTATCTAATCGTCATATTTTAGATAAAAACCACTGTTGTCGAAATCGAACCAAAAATTATCGAAATTGCTGAGAAGTACTTTGACCATGAGCAAACTGCCGATGTCAACGTTATTCAAGGCGATATACACAATGTGCTTGACAAAAAAATTGGTACGTTTTTGCAAATACTATTCATTTTTATTGGCCTTTCGTGAGAATCAACCGTTCGTCTGCCGTTATTTCCTAGCATTTATTTATGTTTTTACGATTTTATTTGCAGGCGATGAACGTTACAACTTGATTATAATAGACGCCTGTGAAAATCGTGTCGCTGACATTATGTGCCCTTCTGTTCTCACACGAGATTTCGTGAAAAACGTAAAGGATCATTTAGAGGCGAATGGTGAGCTCATTTTACATTATTAATCAATTTTTCCCATTCAATTTAGGCACGGTTGCTGTGAACATTTTCATCACCAGTGATCATGATAAGAATGAAAAAATGATTTTGAAATTATATGAAACCGAGTTTGATTCCTGCTTTTTTATGGAATATATGATTGATAGAAAGGTAACACTTTTTTGGCACAACTACGCTCAATTGGACATATTTTCATTATTCAGGTGCTTATCTGCACTCCACGCAAAAACTGGACATGGGACGAAAATAAAAAATCGATGCATAAACGTCTCGAAGAAGTCGATGATATATTCGAGTTCCAATTGCATCGGTTCTTCTAATATCGCACATTTGCCGCGTTCGCACTAGTGCGTCTTCGCGTCTGCATAATTATGTCGCGGTGTTCACATCCACGCGGACTTTGAGGGGGATTTGGTGCGATAGAAACAAGTTTTTTTGCGATATCTCTTGTTTTACCCCCACACTGTCTTCACGTTTCGACCTTTATCTTATCTCATCGATTTTGTTCACTTCGTTTTTTTTCAAATTAATTACTTCTCTTTTTCTAGCGATAAATGTTACCCTTCATTCTTGTATTAGTGTTTACACAATCAATAAATGTATCCATTTTAAAACAATTTTTTAGGCGACGTGTCATTCGGTACAAAATCATTGCAGTTATATGGATATATCCTATAATTAAATGATATGTAGGAAACTGAAAGATTTAAAAGGGTTCATAACGTGCTTATTATAGGTTTTTCGCAAAGACGAATGAATTCGCTGCCAACAATGATTATAGCCTTCCGCCCAGATTAACGCCGATTGAGCCGGACAATATCCCACGAAACGATAGATTTCCAAATCTTTCACACGAAGTACATTCATTTCCGATTTACAGTTTTTTTTATATCTCAAACTCGTATTTGTTTCAGTCCAAATGTCGTTATGCGCAAAAAGTGAAAGCGGCTCTTCAAAGTATGGAAATGCTCGGCCTGCAGAGTGATCCGCGTTATTATAAGATGAAAATTTTTCTTGCACAATTCACAGGTATGCCTAATTAATAGTTGAATTAATTAATTATTGAAATTTTGCAGAAGAAAAGCTGGAATCATTTGAGACGCCACCACGCAATGGAAAAGTCAAATTCACCGATGTTCAAATGAAACAGCTAAAAGCGCAGGTATTTTTAGATATTTGAAAATAAAAAAATTGAAAGTGAATATGTCACTATTCATATAAAATCTAACAATGATATACACTCATTCATCCCGCATTCAATCACCCCCCATTCGAAACGCAATTGAAAATCACGCGCCTATTTATAACGCTTATGCTCCACATACATGCACACATAAATGAGCAACCGAATTGCATACAATATTTTATTTCAAACAATGAAATAAAAATGATAAGATTCTAGGAATGTTATGGGATTGCGTAGATGAGGTGCATAATGATTTCCTGTGTATGATTGAAATTTTTAATGCAATTCATAAAATTTATAATTGTAAGCAAAAAAATGATAGAATAAATACATTGTGTATAACATTATTAGCCCAATTTTGCGAAACATTTATAATGGGTTGAGAAAAAAAATATTCCTGATTGAAAAATTCTTGAAATAATTAAAAGAATAATCGAATTGATACATTAAGGATTTCAGAAAAATGAAAAATTCATTTCAGATTGCGGTCTATCACATTCTGAAAAACAATGCACCTCTTAGTCAGGAATTACGAAAAGATGCCATTAGCTATCCTCCTCAGGAGCCTTATGTTCCTGGATCAAAAGGAATGGTGTCATATCTGAACTATTTCGAAGTAAAAATCTTTTTTTTTTAATTTAAAAATTTTGTTTTTCAATGTCGATTTGTAGAAGTTCACCCAAATTACACGAGAATTACCGTTTGTAAAACGCGATGCCATCGATTTCGGAACAATACCTGCAAGAGATATTCAGAAGGAGAAAGATTTGATGTAAAAAATGCATTGATAATAGACATCAATTTATAATATTTCAGAATACGTGAACGGTTAAAAGAAAAGGCCAAATTAATTGAGCGCAACTTGAACAGATTCCCACCTGAAATGCAGACGAAGGCTAAAATTGAAATGCGTGCTCTTCGATTAGTCGGATTTCAGGCTCAAGTATGAAAAACCAACGAAGAATAATTGATTTTAATGTTGTTTTAGGTACGAGACGAAGCAATGGCTTATGTGAAAAAAGTGATACCAAAAGAGTTCCTTCTCAATCCATATTCAATTCGACGATCGAAAGAAGAATACCAAAAGGAATTGAAAGGTTGCCACTGGAAAATGGTTTTGGAGAAGCAGCGGCGTCAAAAGAATAACAACTTTTTGCACGCGCTTGTTAAGCATGCGCGCGAATTCAAAGATTTCCACAAGTACTTTTTTTTGTATTATTTTCCAGTTTTAAATATGTTTTACAGACAAAATATGGCAAAACACAACAGAGTTCGGAAGCAGATGACTTTGCATCATCAAAGCATTGCACGCGAGAAGAAACGAGATGAGATGAGGAACGAGAAGCTTCGTATACAGAAACTCATTCAGGAAGATGAAGAAGGCTACCGAGCAATGCTTGATGAGAAGAAAGTAAGATTTGTAATTAAAGAAACAGTTATGAAAATGAACAGAATAAATAATATGGACGTCCATGAATTTTGTTAAAATATTCGGACACCCATTTAATTTGAATAATTCAGGATCAACGCTTGGTGTATCTGCTCCAGCAAACCGATGTGTACATTGATAGTTTGTGCACACTTGTCAAGAAACACCAAGGACATGATGATCCTAAAGAGCCGTCGCTTATGGAGCGGAGAAGAGATGAATTTGCTGGTCTCGATGCCGAGGAAAAAGCAAAGAAAATTCTCGAGAAAGCACGACAAGAAGAGGATGAATACGAGGTGGAAAATCCCAAGGATCAAATGGAAAATTATTATGCTACGGCTCATCAAACGCGCGAGGTCATTACTGAGCAACATTCAATGATGGGCGAGGGAGATCCGAATTTGAGATTGAAGCCCTATCAGGTGACTTTTATACATAGCAGCCAATTCTTTATTTTGATCTTTTGTAGATCAAAGGGCTGGAATGGCTTGTGTCTCTTTACAATAATAATTTGAATGGAATTCTTGCCGATGAAATGGGATTAGGAAAAACTATTCAAACTATTTCGTTCATTACATATTTGATGCAAATGAAAAGAAACATTGGTCCATACCTTGTGATAGTTCCACTATCTACAATCTCAAATTGGTTCAACGAGTTTATTAAATGGGCTCCAAAGGTTCAAGTGGTAAGGCGACAAAATCGCGAAGCTTGATTTGCATTGTATGTTTTATAGATCGTTTACAAAGGAAATAAGGATTGCCGAAAAGCGACAGAGCCGGCTATTAAAAGCGGAAAATTTCATGTGCTATTGACGACATTTGAATACGTCCTTAAGGAAAAGGCCTTGCTTTCAAAGGTAATTTATTTGGTTACAACAAAGGCATTAATGAGTAATTTTTAAGCTTCGTTGGAAATACATGATTATTGACGAAGGTCATCGATTAAAAAATAGTAATTGCAAGTTAACTTCGTTGCTCAACACTCATTTCCAAACTCAACATCGGCTGTTAATCACAGGAACGCCGCTTCAAAACAAGGTGACAAAAAAAATTGAAACCGAAAAGCAATATTTTTTATAGCTTCCTGAATTGTGGGCTTTGCTCAATTTCTTGTTGCCAACGATTTTCTCATCATGCGGCACATTTGAGCAATGGTTTAATGCGCCATTTGCTACTACTGGTGAAAAGGTGGAGTTGACCGACGAGGAAACAATGCTCATTATCAGAAGATTGCACAAAGTGCTACGTCCATTTTTGCTCAGAAGGCTCAAGAAAGAGGTAATCTTATTTCAAACAAATGTCTATTTTATTAAGTAGTTTGTTGTTGTTTAATTGCGACATGTTCAGGTGGAATCACAACTTCCTGAGAAAACGGAATATATTGTCAAATGTGACATGTCAGCCCTCCAAAACGTTTTGTATACACATATGCAACAGGGACTTCTGCTTGATGGAAAAATGTCGACTGGATCGAAAACGTTAATGAACACAATGATGCATTTGAGAAAATTGTGCAATCATCCGTTCCTTTTCCCACACGTTGAGGAATCCTGTAGAGTTTTTTGGAACGTGCCCGAAGTGTCCGGGTATTGGCATCATTTTATCACCATTGGGAATCAATAAATGAATTCAGATATAATTTGATGCGAGTGTCTGGCAAATTGGAGCTTCTCGATCGGATCCTTCCTAAACTTCGAGTAACCGACCATCGGGTCTTGATTTTTTTCCAAATGACGAGTATGATGACTATTCTTGAAGATTACCTGACTTATAGAAGTAATTTTAATAATCCTTTTTTTCAATTTCATATATATATTTGCTTGCAGAATACCGCTATTTACGGTTGGATGGTAGCACAAAGCCTGATGAAAGAGGGGAATTGCTCAAAAAGTTCAATGATCCATCAAGCCCATACTTCCTATTTTTGCTTTCTACAAGAGCTGGAGGTCTTGGTTTGAACTTGCAAACTGCAGACACAGTTATACTTTTTGATTCGGATTGGAATCCTCATCAGGTAGGCATTGCTTTTTCCTTTATCTCTTTAAAATACTCATTTTCAGGATATGCAAGCACAGGATCGTGCCCATCGTATTGGTCAGAAGCAGGAAGTGCGAGTACTCCGATTGGTCACTGCCAATTCGGTTGAAGAGAAAATCTTGTCGGCTGCAAAATTCAAATTGAACGTTGACGAGAAAGTTATTCAAGCCGGAAAGTTTGATAATCGTTCAACTGGTGAAGAGCGAAAACAAATGCTGGAGCAGATTATCAGGTATTTTTTCAATCTAGTTGCTCCTCAAATTTCATTGTTTTATTTTCTTGCAGAGCTGAGGCTCAAGATCGAACAACAGCAGAAGTGCCAGACGATGAAGCAATCAACGACATGCTAGCAAGAACGGAGGAAGAAATTCAAATTTTCTCCAAGATGGATTCTGATCGGTATAAGGAGGAAAAGAGAATGTACGAAATGTTTTGATTAGCTTTCCCATTGATGATTCAATTTTAGGAAGCCAAGACTTCTTACTCAAAAGGAAATACCTCAAGATCTTCTTCGAGCGTCCATTGAGGTTAAGAACCAACAAAAAGCGAAAGAAGAAGGAAAACTAGTTCAATATGAAGTGCTTCCTGGATCGAGAAGAAAAAGAAAAGAGGTAATAAATAAATCAAATAGTAACTTTTTTCTATTTTCATAATTTATAGGTGGACTACTCATTGGATTCAATGACCGATGAGCAGTTTGATAGAAGAATCAACGGTATCGCCTCACCTCCAAAGGAGAAAACACCTCCGCCACCTCGTGTTGTTGATAAAGAAGGATTCGTCGCACCTTTCCCGCCGAAAAAACGACGACGACTTTCGAAAAATGGTGAAATGGAAAAGCAGCTTCTGGAAGAGCGTTCGAGAAAGGAAAATGAAGAGAAGGAGAGAAAAGAAAAGGAAGAACTGGAAAAGAAAGAAATGGAAGACCGTATTCGTCGACGTCAAGAGAAAATTATGCGCAAGCGCAAAGAAGAGAAGAGGATGCTGAAAGAAATGAGGAAGAAAGAAAAACGAAAGCATCACGGTGATTTGGATGAGTCGGAAAAGAAGAAAAAAAGAATGAAAGAGAAGAAAGCTGAAAAAGAATCTGAGAAGGAACGTACGGAATCTGAGGAAAAGGCTACACTGAAGAAAATTACCATTCTTCCTTCGTCACTTTCAAATGCTCCTTCGCGACCGCTGCCAATACCCCCGCCACTACCCAAAGCTGCTCCACTGCCTCCAGTGCTGCAAAAAGAAGTTTCGGATGCTTCGACACCTCCAAAGTCTACACCAGTTCCGCCACCTCTTCCGAAAGCTGGCGAAACGCCGTCACCGTTGAAAAAGAAGCTCATTCCACCACCACTACCGCGACCAAGGCCAATCCCTCCACCGCTTCCAAAATCTGTAAAGGTTGCCGCCAGTAAAACGAATCAGGAAGAAGCTGTTGCAAAACCGGAAAAATCCGATTCTCAGCCAAAACTGACATTGAAGTTGCCTTCTGCAAAGTCGACAGAATCGGAAGCCGCTCCAAAGCTAAAATTGAAGATCCCATCGTCAAAGCCAACAGAAGAAGATCATCTCCTGAAGCCGAAAGTAAAGGCTCCTGCAGCGCAAACTGCAGAGACGGAATCCATTCCAAAGCTGACGGTGAAGTTACCTCCGCCAAGAACGACGGAAAACGAACCAACTCCGAAACTGGCAATCAAGTTGCCTGCACCGCAGTCTGAAGAGACGGAACCTGCTCCGAAGTTGACCATCAAGCTGCCTGTTCCAAAGAAGGCAGAAGCCGAAGAACACGTTCCGAAATTGACCCTGAAGTTGTCAATTCCGAAGCCTGCCGAAGCGGAATCTCCATCGAAGCCGTTTAACGTAGAATCCGTTAAAAATCCGACAGAATCGGACTCGATCAACCACCCGCCAATTCCAAAACTCAGAATTCCACTCAAACCGCCAGTTGTTGACCAATCGCCACTGCGCATCAAACTAATCTTGCCGAAACCACAAACGCTTGATTGCGAGCCAGGACCATCACCAAAACCGGAAGTGAATTCAGGATCACATTCGGAATCCTCTTCAGGATCAAAATTGAAGAAGTTACATTCAAAAGCCGGACGAATGACTGGACATCCAAGAGCTGGTCGAATGACAGGAATTCCGAAACACGGTAATAGGTCGCTGCATCCGAGAGCGGCACGAATGACGGGACGTCCGGAACACGGCCGAAAATCGTCAGAACTGAAAATTGAGCCAATCAGTCTAGAAAGGAAAGAAGAGCCAAAGCCGGATGCCAAAGAAGAGCCGAATGGAGAGTCATCATCAGTTACGAATTCACTCGTCATTTCACATCCAGACAAGCCAACGTTGAAGCTGAAAATCAAACTGCCAATGTGTGAGCCATCGGTGGAAACTGATGAAACTTCGGACAAGGAAAAAGTTAAAAAGGACAAAAAGAAGAAAAAGAAGAGGAAACATGAATCGTTGGACGAGGAAGCAGAAAGAGAGAGGAAATTAGCGAAACGTGCGAAAAAGGAACGTGAAAGACTTCAACGTGAATTGGATGATTTGAATGCCTAGTGTCTTGTTATATATATATATCAAATTGTCAAATGTCAGAATTCTATTTTTTTGTGATATTTTGTGTAATGTCTAGTCAGATAGATGTAAATCAAACAATTTCTGATGAAAATCAAATGATGCATTTAATACCCTCATTCTTTTGTCACTCAAATTATTGGATCTCAACATGATGTAGCACTCTAAATTCAAACTATTTCATCTTCGTGTGCCGTCATATAAAATTTGTGTTATTTCATCAATAAAACCATGTTTGGTTAGAATTTGCGTTATATTATTATCAAATAAACTTGAAGACGAATGATATTTTAGTTCTTCGAAAAAGGTCAGATCAGTTTGGTTGATATTGACACAAATGGAGGAGAAACACATATTAAAATTCAAAAACTCCCATCGCGTGAGACCGATATACTTTGGTGATTGCAGACGTTTAAGCAAGCTCAGTGGATTTGAATAGTGATTTCCTGAAATAATAGAGTGGACATTGTAATATTTTTCGACAAGAGATATCATTGAGGTTTGCAATGTTTGAATACATTTTCATAAGGGTCGATTTTCAAGAGTATTTCTCCGCTAAGAATTTTCTCTAGCAAGCACCCATATTTCCGATGCAGAATGCTGGAGGTTTAAAAATATGCGAATTTGAAGAACGCAAAGTGGTCATATTTTAAAAGCCATTCTTTTCGAAATTGTTTATTGACGAAAATTTGTGAAGCGCTCACTTTCTCGCGCTTCGTTGATTACACTTCCCATTTGTCTTTTTATTATAATTTTCACTACTTCCACATTTGTTTACATTCATTGAAAAAAAAAACATGTCAAAATCCCTTGTGTAACATCTTCTGATTTAATTTCGAAACTTCGTTCTCTTACTTTTTCCACAAACCTCCAAATACTATGTTTTCTTACTATTATAAATTGCGGAAAAATATGTTATTTCTTGGTATCCAAATTTTACAAGCAAGAATAAAAAAAAAGTTATTTGCCGCCAGCAGGGGTCGAACCTGCGACCTTGGGCTTATTAGACCCACGCTCTAACCGACTGAGCTATGGCGGCACACATTTGGACAATCGACGGAAGCGTATAGAAAACGATCGTGTCACCACACTATCTAACTATCTCTTGTTGCGAAATTTCACTAAGGAACAATTCTCGTGAAATACAAGCGTTTCAACTTGTGGTTCATCCAACTTATAAAAAAAAGTTTTAAAATGACACTTTAGTCAAACAAAAAAAAGCGAAGAGGTGGCTCCTCAAGCTTCAAATATTGATTCATGTCTTTCGTGTGTTTTTTCGTTATATATCCGTTTTCCCCTCGGCATTTACTCGTGTTGCAAAAAAAAAGAAGAAGGACCCAATAAATAAAGTCTATTCATAATTTTCCCTCCTCTTTTTTTCCTCCTTTATTCGGCCATCTTATTTTCGCGTTCGGACACATTTATTAGTAATATTTGATGGGATGGGTTTGCGTTACTCACCAGTATTTTGTCTTGCGTCATTTCTGTCAGCTGAGCTGAGCGTAACAGTTGCGCCGGTTCGACGACAAAGTTCATGGCTACATTGTATGCAATGCGGTGTCTCCTCGCACACTCCGCTCTTCTATCTGTTGTGTTGTTCTATCGAATTTCTGATTTTTTTTGTCTCCGTTTTTTCAAACTCTCTTGACACAACTTTCAACCCATAAAATTTCATTGAATTTTCGATGACTCTCAACCAAATTTTGGGCGTTCTTTGCATTCGTACTCACCAATACCATATTTGTGTTTGTACACGGTGCGCCGGCTCGATTGTAGCCACACCGATATTATTCGCAAGTCGCGCTAGAATTGATGATTGAAGGTTCCAACCGTGAATTAGATTCGCTTTCCACCTTTGTTTTATGCATCTTTTCCAACTATACGTTTCGTTGTCTGCCCATTTCTGGATGCGGTTTTCTTTTCGCCCCGTTTTGTTCGTTTCCACTAGAAATTCTTTGATGTTTTATTCATAGCTAACCTGCATACCTTTCTTTTGAACATACTACAAATATCTACGCGTTATGCAATATCGAGACTCTTAAAAAGAGGCGGAGCCTAGTTGAATTCATCGAGATTTGCCTTTGCATTTATCTTCTTCCACTCTTTGAACGAAGTATTTCTATCCAATGCTTTCTTATTTCACTCTTCACTTTTACATTATCGATACAGTCCTCCGATTTTGTTCCATGAGGTTTTGTTCCTATTTCTCATACTACATACAGGATTAGACTGAATTGTGATTAATTTATGAGGATTCTGGTTAAAACGCAGATTTTTCCTAGTTGTTGGGTCATCATGTCTTCATTTTCAATTTCATCGCCTAATGTTTAATCAAGGATGCGAATAAATATTTCATCACGAGTAACAATAAATAGGCTTCGTCTTCCGTCTTCACCCTCCCTCCAATTACGGAATTTCCAAAAATAATTGGTTTCATTTAAAGAAGCAAACATGGGTGGTTATATTTCGTCAAATCCAATTCTTTATCGAAAAACAATTGGCCGTTATCAAGTTGGCTGCCAAGATTTAATGGTTGACGGGTCAATTCTTGGCGATCGCGGACTTTTTATGCGAATATACTACCCAACTGAAGATCAGGTAATAATTTTAAACATGAATGTGCCGACATTCCTTGTTTTTAGATTGATGATTTCAAAAGTTGTCCGTTGTGGCTTCCAAAACCGCAATATGCTCACGGGTTGGGAGAATATCTCGGACAATCACAACACAAAATGAACATAATTACTGGGCTAATTGTTGGAGAAAAGAGGTGTGTGCATGGCCAAATATGAAAAGTGCAATACGAATTTTCGTTTAGAGAAGATTGCCTTGAGGGCGCGAGTCTTGCGACAGCTGAGGATAAATATCCCGTAATTGTATTTTCTCACGGACTTGGTGGCTCCCGTAACTTCTATTCCACATATTGTACTTCAATGGCTTCGCACGGTTATGTTGTTGCCGCTGTTGAACACAGGTTGAATATTACATGTAAGACAAGTGTGAATAATGACAAATTAAGGGACCAATCTGCTTGTTGGACGTGTCAATTAGTTGAAAAAAATGGCGAATTGATTGAGCAGCCAATCAAGATTAAGATTATGGAGAAAAATGAGAAGAATGAATTTAAGATTCGAAACCAGCAGGTTCAAAATTTTCACATCATATATCTTATCCACAATTTCACAGGTCAATAAGAGGGTTAGTGAGTGCGTCAAAGCTCTCAACGTACTTGAACAACTCAATCTCGGCAAAATTCCTGAAAAAATTTTGATTGGCACTGAATATAAGTGGAGCAGTTTCAAAGTAGGGACTCCAGAAAAATGCTTATTTATTTTCTATGATTCATCGTTCTAGGGTCGATTAAACATTTCAAATGCAGCAGTGATTGGTCACTCGTTTGGCGGTGCGACGGCTCTCGCTTCATCGGCCTACACCACCGATTTTCAGGTTCATTTGCTCATTAATCACGTTTCACAGCAATTTTGCCACAGAAAGCCATTGTTCTTGATGGATGGACATTTCCATTGGATGCAACGCAACAGGAGCAATCGAATCAACCAACCATGTTTCTCAATGTTGGCGATTGGCAGTGGAACGAGAATTTGGAAGTGATGCGAAAGATTCTGCCGCATAATGATAGAAACGCGTTGTTCACATTGAGGTGAAATATTCGATTGGAGTTGGCAGCAAAAAGGACCCCAAGGGATTTGTATTGTGTGAGAAAAATGCAACTTGATATTCCTTCATAATTTTGAAAGTGCATCCAGCTCATGTCTCAATAAAAAAGACAATTCGGAGCAAGGGTTTTCGTGGTGTATTGAGGGAAACTAATTTTAAGGATTTCAAACTACACTTATAATGGCGTCATATTCCAACAAATAGAATTTCTTTGAAAAACATTTAAAAATTGAGCCAATTTATTTTCTAATTTGAACTGAATTTTTATTCAATATTATTTATTTTAAATTGCAATAAGAACTATAATTAATTTGATTAAAATTGTTGTTTCAGCGGCGCTGTTCACCAATGCTTTTCCGATTTCCCATTTATTTTCCCTCATTGGCTCGCGAAAAAATTTGGCGTTCACGTAAGTCACTTTCATTCGCAAAAATGAATGAGATGTCGTTTTAGGGTTCAACCAATCCTACAATATGCATGGAAATTGCAATAAATTTATCGATTCAGTTTTTGGAAAATGGAAAAGACGGCGCCGAAAAGCTGGCCGCCGAGAAATACTCGAAATTAATTAGTCAGAAAATATACGGACGTGAGCATCTCAAATGTTAATATTTCTCCAGACTTGCCTTTTTTTTGCAAATTGACAGTCAATCTGTGAACGATTTCCTTGGTAATAATGCAAACATTTTACGTGTGATTTGAAAAATCAAAATAAATCTTTATTAATATTAAAAAAACGTTTTCATTTAAACTAGATGACACACCCGCAAATCTACACAATCTAGTATGAACGGGTAACATTTTAAATACAAATTACACTATTTATACAGTTTATTTATATGGTTGGGACCCGCTATAAAAAACATATTTTGGGTATGCGTGATAAATAATTGAAACGAGACTTATATATTCTTGGCGCTTATTTGAATTTTCTTCCAGAATTCGGCGCGTTTTTCATGATAAACTGTCTTCATTTCGCACTTTTGGTCATTTATGGCAAGAAATCTGAAAAATTTTGCATTTGTTTTTCTTGAAAACTCAAAACGTTGAAAATCTCACTGTGTCGGCTCTTCTTTGGTGGTTGGCTCCCATTTGAATTCGAAGACTGATGAATCGGGATATGGCCCATTGGGATTGCCATATTTTGCGAAATTTGTCCACATACGAGTCATTAAATCCAACATGGCTTTGTCGGTTTCATTATACTTATAATTGAACACAATGGATGTGCCAAAAATATAAGCGAGCTCGGTGCAATGGGTTGCAGCTGTAAAATTGTGGATATCATTTTCATTTAAATGAATGCCAATTACCTCTAAATGGGGCACGAAGCGTCAATATTCCAAAACTGCGCGGGTTGCAATAATCAAATGAATACATGTAGACTTTGTTACCAAGATTGGTCATTTTTTCAGCATAATAATATGTTCCGTTATTCACGAAAATATCGCTGTACAGCTGAAATTCAACAAGATTACTCGAGTTTTTGGGTAAAATTGATGTACTTCGATATATCCTCTGGCTTGCGCTTCTTTATCGTCTTCATTGTTCTCATTTTTCAAATAGAGTTCCTTCGCTTCTTTTCTGAGTTCTTCAAAGTTTGAATGATTCTCTTCAGTGATCAAAAGTGAAAGCAATTTATCAATTCCCTTCTCATCGAAATGCGCCGGACCCAAACTCGCTGTAAAACGATGCGGTTTCGGAATATCTCGAGGTCGCGATTTATTACCAAAAAGCAGACCCTCGTATTCGCAAGTTCCAACCATTATGTTCTTCTTTGGCGCTTCTTTGCGGAGTTCGTCAATTGGTTTTGGCAAGAAATCGCTGGGTTTGTAGCCGATAACTGGAGCAAGATCGAGTCCGATCTTGGAAACATCAACACCCTTGAAAATTTTCAATGAATACTCATCAATAACGCTTCTAATTAAACCTTTCTGGTTAGTAAACGTTTTTCGAATTCCTTTTCTCGGCGAGTACGAAGAAAAGAAAGCATACTCTCACTCGGATTTTCATCTAATTAATAAAAGGATGTTGATTTAATAGATTTGCATTAATTACCGGGAGTGTCACGCTCGTCCCAACATTTGCGAATTGCAAATTCTCGGCATGTTGCGGTCAATCGTGTCTTTCCGACGGTGCTCCATGTGCATTCGCCGTTTCCAGCCATTGGAACGACTTGGTGAAAAAGATCTGATTAATCTCGCATTATTATTTGATTTCCAAGTGCATATAAAAAACCTCGTGAATGAGGACTGATAGCGAGAAGATCAACACTAACACCTCCGGCGCTCTGCCCAAACACGGTAACTTTTCTTGGGTCTCCTCCAAACGCATGAGCATTGTCTCTAACCCATTGAAGAGCCATTGTCATATCCCAGAGTCCCAAGTTTCCTGGGCATGATTGGTCGCCTGTGGAGAAGAATCCAAGAAGGCCAAGGCGATACTGGATGGTGACAACAACAACGCCGTGTCGGCAAAGATATCTGAATACCAATCTCATTTCAAAATTGCGTGTTGTTTTCCAACTTTGCAATTCCCTCATCTCCATATTTGACGGCCGAATCAATGAGAAAACCTCCGCCATGCACATAAACCATAACAGGATGGAGCTAAATAAACAAAAAAATTGGTTGTGCATTTCGACACACTTTGCTAACTCCGTTGGTCGCCTCTTCGGCTTTCCAATTAGGCGAAAATACATTCAAATAAAGGCAGTCCTCGCTTTTACCAACGCCTAGAGTGAAACGTTCCCAGAAAAAGTCGGCTTGCGGTGCGCGTGGGCCGAATCTAATGCATTTTCGTACACCATCCCAATCTTCGGGATGTTCAGGGTTCTAAATTAAAACATTTTCTAAAGTTCCAAAACATAATGAATTTAGAGTCGGCTCTAATCTTCTACCTTGAATCTTAATGAACCAATCGGCGGCTTTGCAAATGGGATTCCCAAAAATATATCGACTTCTTTTTCGTCGCCAATATTCAAACGAAAACCCTCGACGAGTCCGTTTCTTGTGCGAACCTGCATTAATCATTTATATTTCTTTTGAGCCGAAAACTCGATGAATGCACCTGTTTACTGGGAACCAGACTGTTCTCATGGTGATGCCTTAGCGATATGAATGAGATGACGCCACCCATCTGCAAGTTACCAAATATTAGAAACTCGAATGGCAAATTGTGTTTCAAAAAAAAAAACGTGACGAGACACCAGAAATGTGGGTGGGAGATGGAAGCAAAGAAAAATCTGCAACGTGTTTTCGCCCTCAGCTCGCCATCGATCAGTCAGTGTATGTATGTAAAATGAAATATATTCCTTTCATGAGAGTATCTTCTTCTTCTTATTCTTCTTCTTTCTTCGTCATCTTTTTTTCGCTTTCGTTAACTCGATTTCACTCGCAACAAAAAGAAGCGTCACTTTACTGTGAAGCAGAAAAGAGAAGACTGAATGTTCAGCTCTTTGAGCAATTGCAAAACATTGTTCGCTCATTAGCAGAATTGAACATGAGGGTGCAAAGTGAATTGCAAATGAGTTTCCAAAACAGTGAAAATGGCCGAAAATAATGGAAATATTTGATTTTGATAACAAAAACGATTTGAAATTGCGTTCAAATGTTCATAGATTAATAAGGCAATGCTATATTATCAATACTTCACGATAAAATATTTGACGATTACAAGAAAACAGACGGCATGTATTTCGAGAATCATTCGAGAAAACCGTGGCAGTCGATATCAAAGAATATTCTCGAATTAGGCTAATTTTTCACAAACGCTCTCAACACGTCATCATACCATATAAAATTATGAAAATATAATTCGGATAACTTCGGGCACGCGCTAACCATAGAGATATCGCAAAAAAAATATCAGCTGTTTGGGAATTTCATAACTCAATTGAGTACGGAGAAAATATGTGGTTATGTGATAATATTTATGAAAAATTCTTACGAGAAATTCCATTGTTCTGACGTTTACCAATAAGCACATATTTATGTGTATGTTTCTAAATCACAATCATAAACGTCGTTTTTATTGTAGTCAAAAAAAAAGAACGAAAAAAAACCAGTGAGAGGTGACGTTTTGATGGGCCATTAAATAGAAAAATAAATAAGTGCTGGTTGTATGAACCTGAGCCGAACAGCTGTGCGAGAACCCGTTTCATTTCATATTCGGGAAGAACACTTTGTCATCATCTCTGGTTCTCCTCATTTCATATTATCTTAGTGGGAGGCGAAGGAGGGGGGGGGGGGAGGATTATGAGCAAAATGTGTTATGAGTTTGTCTATCTACTGAGCAACGAGAGAAGGCCGAGGAAATGGAGGCGGCGAGGGTCAACAAGTCGAACGGAACAAGAATAGTGAAAATAACGAGGAAAAAACGCGTGACTGGAAATCTGGCTGAAAATATGAACCGACAAAATCATACGGGATAGTTGTAATATTGACGAGAACGGGAGAATGACCATATTTGCACACAAAACTGACTGCTCAAACAATTTTTTTAAACCGAACCTGCGTAGGCTTCTCCTACAAACGCTGCTATTGTAAATTTTTGAAGATTCATGAGAATATAAAAAGCGTTGTTCAAATATTTGATAACACGCGTGAATCATTTATCTGTATTTTTGCTATTATCTACGGAAACGAGGTTGACTCACAAGGTATACAAATGCATTATAGTCAAATTAAATATATGGGTGCTTCAACTACATTGTATGCCATTCATAGTATATAGGTGAAGGAAACATTTCGGCAAATCCAATTAGAAATCCATTTGAATGTTTTCGAAATTTCGCCAACTTGCCGCAATTATTTTCTACGGCAAACAAAAAATGAAAAGAGAGACTGGCGACTTGAAAAAGCAATTGTCTGGCATCCATGAAAAAAAAGAGTACAATTCTTGAATCCTTCAGCCAAAATGGACAACATTGAGAATAACAATGATGGTAATTACGCAGTGTTTTTTTCTTGCGGTGCATGTAAAACAATTGCTTTTGTTTTAAAATCGCGAGAAAAAAAAACGACAATTTCCAATTTTAATCCTTGCGAACAATATATGGGAGACTTGGAAAGGATCATTTGTGCGATTAAAATACACATAGTGAAAACTCCCGAAACTCCATCTCTCACCCGTTTTTTGTTTGATAATCAGGGTCACGGTTCTTTTTTGAACTCATCTGCTCATTCATTGTCCCAACGAACACAATCAACACAGAAAACACACAGTGACTAGAAAGAAGGAGGGGGGGGGGTTGATCAGAAATCACTCTAATGATCTTCGACGTATGAAAAAACTGTCACCAATATTACAACCAATGTTGAATTTGGCATACACGAGGTGTGACCTGAACCTATTATAGTAAGTTCTAGAATAAATGTTCTATTTTCTTTGTGCGTTTTTTTTTATACTTAACAATATATGTTTATAAATAACATGGTTTTCTAGCAAAAATATAATTTTTTTGCATCGAACAATAACTGGGCAATATGATTAAACCTCACTCTAAAGCGTCTTCAAGTCGTTCGTTTGGTCAAAGAGATACTTATTTTCGATTTTAACTTTTACTTACAAGGGGGTTACAATACTAACAATTTCTTGATATGTTTGTGTGCAAAATTAGAAAAAATTCCAAACCACTAAGTAAAACACCTCCATTGTTAGAAAGATAGCGGTTAGAACATTTAGAACGTCAAAACCACACAAATGAACTCTTTAACAATTATCTTGGAAAATAACAAACAATAAGACTTGACAGTGAATTGGTTTGAATTTAAAAGGTCGAAGCGAAATGTAGATATGTCAAAAAGGCGTTGCAAAATGCTTAATTGTCGTCGATTAATGACAATCACAACGTGTGAGGTTTGTCATTTGGATAGTGATTTATTGCGTGATTATTATTGCAGGCATTATTTGGTACACGTTTTCCCGGTTCGCAACCTGTTGGCGTAATAATGGCAAACCGGATGAACACCAGAAGGTTCAAAATATATTCGTAGAAACCAATGAGAACAAAGTATGTAATTGTATAGTGTGCTGGGTCCTTGAAATATCACGTTTCGAGTCAAAATTGAATTTATTTCAAATGGCCAAACACCGAAGCCAATAGTCAATTGAAATTGTGAGTTAGACTTTTTTAATGGCTTTGTACCCTAAAATTATAGAAACTAACCTTTTTCCATAAATGTCTTGCACGCGATTTGCTACGCTTCTCCTGGCTGTCACCCTTCTCAAACGATAGATTTTCAGAAGTAGTCGGCATTCTGAAAACGAGATATTCCATGAAACTTATACATATATTGGGGATAAGGGAAATTCAAATAAAACGACGTCTATCGGTATCACAAAAAGGTCAAGAATTCATAGAATTTTGGTTTCACTTCGAATGGAACATTCTCGCTGGCAGCAGTTTTACGACATTGTCTAAGCGAGTGCCACTCGACTAAAATTGGCCTCTTTATCACATTTTAAAGTCAAAACAATGGTTTTCGAAATTGTTGACATGACGAGACATTAGCGTCTACATTGTAGTATTTCAGATGATTTTAGATCAAACAATTATTAATTATTGAAACAGGAATATGTGAGTTTTTAAAACCTCTTTTTTTGAGAAAATAAATACGAGGTATAAAAATTTGCCTTACAAGTTTTCGACATAGTTTACTCTATTAGCAATAACTTTTTTTCAAGGTTTTTTTTGTGATATTAAAAGTAACTGGTATTGGGTGTCAGCCATGGAAGTGGACAGCCATCCAGCAATTATAACGAAATCAACGCCCATTGGAGTTATGGTTGACTGCGCGAAAATGCAATTTTGTGCTGAACTAAATGCAAATATATAAATGTATTCGCACCTAATACGGCGAACTATTCAAGTGGATTTGCTTAAATATGACAACAATTTTATTTTAATTAAAACCGACAGTAATTAATGAATTACGCCAAAGGTATGAATTGAAAACGCAACATGTCAAAACATTCAAGTTAGTACAACATGATTGTAGTAAGAAGGACAGTGGAAGACGTCATTCGGATCCGGAGGATTGATTTCGACAAACATTGAAACAAATATGTATGCAAACACTCATAATGGGAAATCGAACTATAATACTTTTCGCTTTGATAAGAATTGGGGAGGAATGCATGAGATGAATAGCAAATAATCGAACCATTCACTTCCGCCGTGAGCTCTCAAAAAACTCGGCGTTTTGCCTCAATTCTCTTTCTCTCAATTATCTTTTCTTCATTATTGTTTTTTTCTTGATGGAATGGTCCGACGGAGGTTTTTAATGGGGATAAAATGAAAATCTTGACTGATATTGAGTATTTGATTTGGGCCTTTCGAATAAGAACATGGGGTGCATTGAAAAAGAACGGCGATTAAAAACCAGTCATCTAGCGGTTGCTCGAGAAATAAGGCGCCAGCGGCATAACAATTATTGGCTTGATCTTCAGCTGATCTTCTTTCGATAATCTGTCTTGGCGGATTTTGAATTGCCATGTCGTCTACGAAAATACGCGCCACTTTCGTCAAATGCCTGTCGCAAAACCAACAACATTCTCATGTATACAGGTTTGTCAACTTTCAAATCAAACAATTATTTCAAATTTTAGATAATTGATCCAAACTCGTCAAATTTTGGAGCTTATCCTTCAAGACTATCGACATCGGAATTTGATCCGGTACTCTACCGTGAGGAATTGATACGGAAATCATATTTATCAACATTTCCGATTGACAGGTACGTCTTGAAAATAGAGCCAAAAAATTGTATGGAAAAGGAAAATGTCGTGATTGATTGCAAAATTATGACTGTAACAGGAACTTGAATGAATTGCACTGAGGTTATAAAAAAAACCCAAACACTTATAGAACTATTCACTGCGAAATTGATATATTTCGAGGAAAAATAGCGCCAGCACGAAGAATAGGAATTCCCACCTTGTGTGCAAACTTATTATTATCGCAAAAAAATTGCTTTTGTCAAACAAACAAACAAAATTCAAAGCCCATTGGCTGTATAGTTTAACAATAAAATTGTATTCGCATGAACAATAAAGGAACCGTTACAAATGAATAATTGAATAGAAAACTGAAAAATAGTAGTGAAATGTGAATGCAAACACTCATGATGGTTTTTAGCTTTGATAGGCCAGATTATGTACTGAAAATAGGGAATAACAAACGGACATGCTCGACCATAACCCTAGGTTTGCTCTTGGACATTTGTATCTTGAGCTTTGTAATGCGAGTGTTTCAGAAATGAAAGGAAAGGAGGGCAAATGTAAGCAATGTCACCTCCAGCCTGCATTTATAATGGCTTCATTTGCTATTGTCGCTTTATTTTTTATCATGTTGTATGTTTATATTACTGGTTTCGTGGTAATACACTGATATGAGTTATAATATTTTATTGGAGAACGCAATAAATAATAATTGAAAAACAAGGAGAGCAATTAAAAAAAACCCATACATAATAATATTTGTCATCAACAATATGAACCGGTTCTGAAAAAAAGGGGTGTTGTACTAAGTATGTAGTAAAATGGAACATTTGGGGTTTGTACAGGTCATTTGCTTTGAACTCGGTTGAAAATTAGTAGTAAGAAATGGGATGATTGAACAAATTGAAAAGTTTGTACACGTAAAAAAAAGAAAACCAATTCGATGATTTAAATAAAAAATCTCCTAAAAATGGGGATGAATATTATAGTTTCGTACAGCTGAAATTTTAGTTTCATGGTGAGTTTTTGTTCCGTTTCTAGATTTTGAACTAAGATCTACAACGTCATGTTCCTTTTCTTCTACACTATGCGGTCCGCCAAGAATATGCGGTGATAAAACCTGAAATTTTGTTGTAAATTTTTGTATGTTTATTTATTGTTTTCACCTCTACAATAAATTTTTCTTCACTTGCGATACGGGGCGATAAAATATTCGGACTCAAAATGATCACTCCAAGCGCCTCGAACGACGCTACATGTGGCGATAGGATTCCAGGGCTCAAAACGTCGATCACCATTGCTTCCGGTGAAAGAACTCTAGGCTCAAGAAATCTTGGGGATAAAACTTCGGCGACCTGCATCAATCAATCAATCCATCAATAAATCTCATATTATTATGATGTTTACCAATGCTTCCGGCGACAGCACCCAAGCTGTCAAAGCTCGAGGCGAAAGCACTTCAGCTCTGAAAGCGGTTGGGGAGAGAATGCGGGCAATCAGAGCTGATGGGGACAATACTGTTGCGACAAAAGCTCGTGGTGATAGAAGGTCAAGCTGAAAATTTGGCAAAATTAAAATTACATTAATTACTTTTAATGTACTTTCAATGCTTCTGGCCTCATAATTTCTGATATGAATGCGTGTGGTGACAAAATTGCAGCTTCCATCGAGACACCAAAATTAATTAGGTTCGCAAACGCGTAAGGCTTAAATTGACAGTTTTTTAGTGTCACAGCTAATTTCAAACCTTAAGGGTCATAAATTCGACACCATTTATAAATTCCCCATAAGGATAATTAGGAATATTCACACTAGCCGATCCGCTGCCTCCAGCTCGTTTCACACGTTTATTATTGTCCCAAAACGGCCATTTAGGTCTTCCCAATGCTGCCAATTTACGAATATCGGCTTCAATCCTTTCATCTCGTTCCTCAATGCTCAAATCGGTGACAGACGAAAATTGTTTGGATTCATCTGGAAAAGGAATTATTCGCAAAAAAATCAGAAATTAATTTCGTATTCAAAGCAAGTGTAATTTAGTATATCGAAATATTCGGAAGCTGATTCACAGCGCTGGCATAGTATTAAAGGGACAAATGGATAATATTCATAATACCATCATAAAGCATTTCCAATTGTTCTTTGGTCAGGTGAACTACACCGTAGTCTTCATATTCGCGCCATTGCTCATCGGTGAACATCTGTCGGGTTTTGAGCCATCGGATATCCTCACGGCTCATTTTTTGAACCAATGGGTATTGCACCTCTTCCATGAACTTCATGCTCGGTTCCATCTTTTCAAGCAACGCCTGTCAAGATTAATGATAGGTTATTTCAACGCGGCAATCACACCTCAATAGCCGAACCGGCGCCACTCAAATCAAGAACAGCTTCAAGCATCAGCTGTTGATATCGCTGATTGGAGGAAACGATCTGTAATAGATAAATCATACAATTTCGAAAATCAACAAACTTCGAAAAGATCGGGAAGCGAAAAGAAACCATCGCGATGAAACGAAAATATGGTCGGCGACAGTAGTCGATTCTTTCGCTGACCTTCAGGCATTATGGATAGTATTCGCGGTGAAAGGAAAGAAAATTTGTTTTGTTTGGCAAATTCGCTACTCTGAAAATGGCATTCAATAGTCTTCACTAGAAATGTTCGGTATATCAAACTTTAAAATAATTATGCGAAGAACATTTTGAATCATCTACCTACCGTGAACTCGTTAATTATTTCCAAAATTTCATCGATAGCCGAACGCTGATCATCCAATATTGGAGGACGACTGTTAATTCCGAGATTCAATTTATCAAAAATTCTGAAATCATGAATTGCAATCCAGGGAATCGTGCTTTTTTTTCGTTTCACTGATCTTTCTAGTTTTGTTCCGATTGGTCAATTTCGTCAAAAAAACTAACATAATCCGATCGAACGTGCGCTTACTTTTTGTTTTCATCGTTCATGAGTTTGAAATAGCCGTTACACTTTTCAACGCGCTGAAAATGATTGCGAAAGCGTCGAATGTTGTCGAGATGGTTATGTGGAACGTTGTTTCCGCCTAAATGATTCGAAAAATTGTTAGGTAGATGGTTAAATAATGCAATAGTCACAACATAACCAAAGGTTATTGTACATACCGACAAATTGTCCCAAGTACTTGGTTGCCAATTTTGGGAAGTCAAAGTGTGCCGAACTGAACATATCTTCTAAAAACTCGAATATTTAGGCGTACACGGTAATTTCAAACTGACTTATTTCTCTTCTCTTTCTTTCCGGAATCTTCATATGCCTTGGTAACCCGAATAAGTTCCTAGAGACTTTGCTAGTTAACTCTTTCACTTCATTCCTTTTCCTATTCAAATCTTCTGCTTTTTTGAGAGCTCTCTGCTCTTCGAGAAACTTTTCATAAGCTTCCATCATCTCATCCCTTCGCTTCAACCTACGCCTGATCTTTTGCCTTCGAATCGGATTTCGAATCCATTGCTGCTTCATTGAGCTATAATAATACTCCGAGCTATTGCTGGGCCTCTCCATAACAATTTCCGCCGGTGATACTCGAATCTTCTCAATTTTCAATATCTGAGGAGTTGATGGATTTGGAGGTGATTCAATGCTTGAGCTGAGTTTTGCGTCAAACACGCGCACTGCGCATTTCGATAATTCCACCACGGTTTTCGCATCTGATGCGCATTGTTGAAATACAATTTGCTCAATTTTCGGCAGGAACTTCAAGGCTTTTCGCGTTTGAGCCTAAAACATTTTGAATCAAAATGTTAAGTTGAGATACTTACTTTAATTAATGCTGTTGTCGAAGCAAACTGCCAATATTGCTGCAGTTTTTTATTTTCTATTTCAAATACTTGTGTCTCTGTCTCAACTTCTTTGCTTGTATGCTCTTTATTGTATACATTGCTGGCCACTAAAAAAAAGTTATTTGTAGATATAAAAAGCTTATATGCTTACCCATTGAGGCAAATAGAAGTAGTGATATGGGACAGTACATACATTCACTACTTGAACAGAAAAATGGAACAGCTGAAAAAATTCGAACCTCGAAGATAAACAATGTTTCTGCGTTCCGAACAGTTTAAAGACAAGCTAATAGAGGTCATGCTTGACTACGCAATGCCATGAAACGATAAGCAAATACTTGACGTAACATTTCATGGATTCATATATAACGATATTGGAGGTAAGCGAAACTTTGGCAATTATTTGAAATTGATACGTATAATAATGACGGTAGCCGGCAATACGGCTAACTGAATATTTTGAACACGCGCGCCGGTCATTTGGCGCGGCAAACAGGCGGGGGAATTGGATAAAACTAGAATCAACTATGACCATTTCAACTCCGTTCAAATGCAGCAGACCATCAACCGATTCAGCTATATAGAATGACATTGAAGGTAATAGAGTCACAAAAAAATTATCCATCGGCGAATGTTATCTCGACAATCCGGATAATGGAGTTTATGGTCATCACGTCAAATTGATGATGGATTTAAATTGAGAAAATGGTGTGAAGTGTGAAATGAGCTCAGACTAGTCCAATAGCTTATGTCACTCCAAATACTAATCAAAATGTTGACCAATTTCAAAAAATAGAAGTACACATACGTTAAAGTGCAATTCCGTTCGATGGAAATATGCAGTTTTCAATTTTTTGAAAAACTCAAGTCGTGAAGTTTCAAAAGCAAGAAATATTTTTAACAATTCAGTAATCAAAATACTTAACAACCGTTTTGGCTAAACCGATTTTTGAAATTAGAAGGTGTAAACACTAATGATTGTATCAATTGCCTTTCAGTATAATTAAAATGATTTTCAAAAATATTAAATTGCAATTGACAAATTCAAAAGGAAATTTATTTTCGCTTTTAATATATGAAAAACTTCGAAATTTTTTTCTCTTTATTATAAAGAGATTTCTCGATATTCTAGCTAATATAAAAATAATGTCAAGGGTACATCTTAAATTAATGAGAAGCAACTAAAATTCGAAGCATCATAGTTCAAAGCAGTGGGCGTTTAGATTTGAATAGGAAGTTAAATGTTGACAAAATTGAGGCGGACAATGATGTTTCCATTTTATACTCAGTTTTTTTTTACCTTACAAGCCCCATTAACGCGAGGATAGGCGGTCCGGCATTTGGAAAGGATTAAAAGTGCTGTAGATTGTAACACCAAGATTTAATGTTTTTTTTTTTCACAGGATTAATGGGTGGAACTCGTAACCCCAGCATTGGATTAACCCACGATCCGCTAACGTATTCCGCCCAGGATTATTCAATAGTTGAGAAAGTTGGTTGTGTCATCCGATGCGCTCTATTTAAGCATGTGAATGAATTCCGGAAATGGTTCCTTTGGTGAACTTGAAAAGCATTAGAGTTAAATGCATTTTATTATTCGGAAATGAGTTTCAAAACATTGCTAGCAACCGGTTTACTTTGCTTATGCGGATTGGTCAATTTTAAACAGCGTGGCTAGCTACATATAATTCCCAGATTTTAAATGACGTGTAAAACCACAGAAAAAAAAAACAAATAATTGAATAATTTCTCGAAATTTCTCATGCTTAATTTTTTTTTTCATATCAGATAGAAAAAGTTAAAATGAAAAATCAAAGTTTATTGTCGAAAAAATTTCCTTTTGCATATTAATATACTCAATTTTATGACACGTGTTTCTCTTTTTTTCTTTGAACTTCAAAGTTCAAAGTTCCATATATTGATAATTTGAAAAGTGGAAGTTGCTTCGAAAACATTTAAAGCGAGAATACTATATTTTGAACAATGACTCGAAAAAATAGGAAATACATATATGAATCCAAACACCGCTAATAACTTGTATAATCATTCAGACAATTAATTTTTGTTATTCTTATGATATTGAGGTCTTCAGTCCGAAACAATTTATTCGAGAGGGTGAGAGTGTTTTGCTGAACAAAATCACTTATTAAAAAAAATCTTTCCTTCGTCATTTAGCTTTTGTTAAGCGATACGTTGTACAAAAACGAAACTACCACCAACTTTCATTTTGCTTTTTGAGTTTTTCTCTTTCTTGAATTGCAATCGAAATTTAAAATCAGCCGTTGATTGCAAAAGTTACTCATTATAATCTTTTCTGAATTGCCATTTCAAGAATTGAGGCGTTGCCGAAACAATCAGTGGTGTTCCAAGTAGGTCGCGTTAACAACTATCTCTGTACTTTGTGTTCTCTCTCGTTTGTGATGTGTTCACTTCTGCGTCTCTCGACACTCTCCAAATGGTTGTTGTCGTCTAACATTGCACTAAATCGAGGGTGGTGAACAAGCGAAGTATTGTTATTATTTTGGCATTGTTTTCACTTCACAATTGGTCTACTTGTCTTTTTTTTCCATGCCAAATTCATTTTTTTTATTCCAGACAAGATGATTCGATTCATTCTAATTCAAAACCGTGCTGGAAAGACGCGTCTCGCTAAATGGTATATGAACTTCGATGATGATGAGAAACAGGTTAGAAAAATTGGCAATAAAAATTGGCAATGGCAAATCAATTTGAGTTCAAAAATGTTCAGAAACTCATCGAAGAAGTGCACGCTTGTGTGACAGTCCGCGATGCAAAGCATACTAATTTTGTTGAGGTAAAATTGTCAATTTTTGAAATATTTGTCTTTAATTTTATTTTTTGTAGTTCCGCAACTTCAAAATTGTCTATCGTCGTTATGCTGGATTGTATTTTTGCATTTGCGTCGACATTGCTGACAATAATCTTTATTATCTCGAGGCTATCCACAACTTTGTCGAGGTAATTCGGTTATCCAATTATTGAAAAACAATACAAATGATTTAAAAAACACTGATAATCAAAATCTTCTTTTTAAAGTAATAATGCAACCGAATACAAAACTTATTTCTAAAATAGGAAAAATGAATGAAATGGAAATGTTCCAGGTGCTCAACGAATATTTTCACAACGTTTGCGAGCTTGACCTCGTTTTCAACTTCTACAAAGTCTACACCGTCGTTGACGAAATGTTTCTGGCCGGAGAAATTCGAGAAACCAGTCAAACCAAAGTTCTCAAGCAGCTTCTGATGCTCACTTCACTTGAATAATTATTTTCTACTAGAACTGATTTTACCGTATTTGCGGGTCGTTTAAAATTGTAAATTATTTCCCATAATTTCAAATCGCAACATTTTCGGTTGGTTGTGATATTATTTCATTCCTTGTGTTCTATTCTGCCATAATGACTTTTTCGATTTCCATATGTAGATGTGCGATTCTTTATGTTATTTTTTGCTAATTAGACATAAATACATCGAACGATTCGATTTTAACCAATGAAAATAATGTCCACAATACAAAATTTTGAAAACCATCCATTTGTGGAGTGAATAAACTATGGGACCATTTTTCAATGCTTATTAGTAATTACCATGTTTTTTAATTACCATGGTTTTTGCAGAATAATTTTTGAAATCATTAATTGAGTTTTCTTTTTGAAACAGTTAACTTTCGTAGACTTTAGTTATTTTGTCCATATAAGTCTATACAAGAAGAAATCCTTACTAAAAAGACGCGGAAACCTCTATCTCCTTTTCATATTCTCTCTCGCATTTGATGCATTTTTCTCTATTTTTCTTTTCTTTTCCATTTTCTCGGAAGCGCTCCATGTTTTTCTTTTGCGCTAAATCGAGGTCTTTGCCTAAATGTAGTATCGTTTTTTGCATTATTTTCTTCGATTTTTTTTCTTAACAAACTTCTTGTGGTCTATCTCATAGCTTAATTTTAAGAAAATAGATTTATTTTATAGACAAAATGATTCGATTCATTCTAATTCAAAACCGTGCTGGAAAGACGCGTCTCGCTAAATGGTATATGAACTTCGACGATGATGAGAAACAGGTTAGAAAAATTGGCAATAGCATCAATTTGAGTTCAAAAATGTTTAGAAACTCATCGAAGAAGTGCACGCTTGTGTGACAGTCCGCGATGCAAAGCATACTAATTTTGTCGAGGTAAAATTATCAATTTTTGAAATATTCGTCTTTAATTTTATTACCTGTAGTTCCGCAACTTCAAAATTGTCTATCGTCGTTATGCTGGATTGTATTTTTGCATCTGCGTCGACATTGCTGACAATAATCTCTATTATCTCGAGGCTATCCACAACTTTGTCGAGGTAATTCAGAAACAGTAGGTTAGAAAAAAATCAAAAATAAATACTCAAAATATTCATCATTTAAAATACTAAAGATGCACTTTATAAAATTTACTGTATCATTAATTTTTACAAGAATTTACTTTTGAAAAGAAACTGCTTCATCTCTAATCAGTTCTAGACATGATTCCACGTGACATCTATGTTTTGCTCGTGTTTTTGGGTCAAATTCGTTCATACAACAACCATTTAAACCCAGATTCGACGATTTTTGTGGGAATTAAACAAAAAATTTACATTAGTTTATACTTTTTTTTACAAATTGTTCTAGGTGCTCAACGAATATTTTCACAACGTTTGCGAGCTTGACCTCGTTTTCAACTTCTACAAAGTCTACACCGTCGTTGATGAAATGTTTCTGGCCGGAGAAATTCGAGAAACCAGTCAAACCAAAGTTCTCAAGCAGCTTCTGATGCTCACTTCACTTGAATAATTATTTTCGATTAGGAAAAATTATACTACCCGTGCGGATGTCTTTTCACGATGTCAAAGTGCATTTTCCGAATATTTGCAATACCATTCCTCTGGTTGTGACAGTATTTCTCATATATGCTTTTATTTATTCTAGTAAAATTTATTTTTTAATTTATTCTAGCATAATTTATTAATTATACCATAAATTAATTTTTATTGTGAAAATATGAATGTAGTAAAGTGAAAGAACGACACGAATCAGATGGCAAAATTCCAGAAACCGTATTAGAATTAAAATATGAGGAAATGATGAAGAACTCAATAGGTTATTTCCAATAAGCGACAGTTTGCTGTTTGCTGGCTGCCAGAATACCACTTCCTGTAGGATTCCACGATACGGAGAGAATAGAACGACTGAAAAGTACTATTGAATTTCTCAATAGTTAACAAGTCTCGATATTATTATGAAGTTTAATGCCAAAAAACTTACTCAGCAGATATAAAAAGTTTCTTCTCCAGGCGAGTACTATCCTTATTCCAAATAAAAACGCTACCGTTCGACGATCTGAATTGTTTCACAGTTAAATGTGGTTTGAGATGCATTTGGCACAAACCCGGCACAAACATAATCACCTCCGGGTGATACCGTGCAGCGCGAGAGATCGGTACTAATATGATACATCTCAGTACTTAAATAATCATAGTTTGCCAAGTTTTTGTTATTTACGTAATTTAGTAATACCTATAAAAATGAAGTGTTCTGAACGTGCGTAGATCCAAAAGCGACAGAAGATCGTCTCTGGTCGACACTAGCATCTCCAATCCATTGGCAAGTACTGAGAGCGATGTGACACGAGCATCCATAGTTACATCTTTTACGTGCTCCTTGGCTCTTCCATCCCAGAAACGAATTTTTTTGTCGCAGTGACCTAAAAAGCTAACGATTGTATTTTGAGTTATTTCTTCATTCTGCTACCTGAGATAAACATTGTCGGGTTCATGTCAATTTTGCCGACAACGTCAAGGACAATCGAACCCGGAAAATATGAGCGAATGCCTACAAATTTCAATTTCTCCCTTTTACACCGTATTCTTTCATACATCTCGGATTTTGCAAATCCCAAATCTTGATCATCCTATCATAACTTCCGGACACGACGTTATTCGTTTGATAGAATTTGCAGCATGAAGCTTTGTCTTCATGACCGGAGAGAGTTGACTAAAACGCCTCATGTACATTTTTCGTTTTATCGAACCGTTATTCTTACAATCAATCTTGTAGTGTCCGCATTCCAAAGTCGAATGTTGCGATCATTCGAAGATGCCAATACTTGACGTCGATCTCTATCATAATCAAGTTGAGTCACCGCAGCGTTGCACCCGAATAAAGTACACCTAAATGCAAGACGATTGATCGGCTATCTCATTCATTTCTCACTTCTTTGCACATGTGCCTGTTGGTTCAACTCGCCAAACTGTCACTGCCCTGTCGCTGCCGCCGGTTGCAAAGACATCTCCGTGAAGCCATCGAACGTCATTGACTTCTCCTTCTGGTGTTGCCTGCAAGACACAAATAATTAATCAATCTAATATGAAAATCACCATAATTTCGCATTGTCTTTGAGGAAGAACGTCTCCAATCAAACCATCAATGATACCAAAGTCGGTAGGTGTTTCGTTAAGTGCAGCCTTACTGAAATGGGAAGAAGCTGCATTTAGTATTCAGATAATAGCCGATAACGCTCAAATTGGCTATTTCAAAATTAAATCATTACACTTTTTCATCCAGCGAAGTGTCCGCAGCTGCTTGGCCGATCAGCTCTTGCATTGCTAAATCGTTTTTCCTAAAAAAAATATGACTTTTTAAAATATTTTGCAGAGGTTTTTTTCATTCGCCATATCAACCTGATTTTTTCTTTTATTTTTACGTCACAAAACCAGTTTAAAAGTGTTCAAAACACTGTTCAATTAATAAAAGAACATGCAAGATAACCAATATGTTCACAAATTTGTCCCCAGGCTATATGAATCTTGGCAGAATTAAATATGACGCATATTAAACAAAAACGTGAAATTCGAAAAAAAAACTTCTTTTTGCAGGTTATCTTCAAAATGCAGTTTTTAATCATCACAATCAAACAGCCATGATGTTTTTTTTCTCGGTGTTCTTCAAATTTGTAGTTTTGTCTTTTTCTCGGTGTTCTTCAAATTTGTAGTTTTGTCTTTTTCTCGGTGTTCTTCAAATTTGTAGTTTTGTTATTTTCTGTTCAATTTCTTCAAATTGAACAAATTGAAAGCATTTTTTATAAATGTAAAAAATGTACTTCACTTTTCTAATAATATAGAAACTTTAAAGAATTTTTAGTTGTTGCCAAATTTATTTCGAATTAGTAAATTTACGGCGAACTCAATGCTTGAAACTACCCAAATTTAAGTAGTTTTAAGTGAAAATTCTAAAAAAAAATTTCCAGCAAATTTGAGAATTGCAAAGATTTTTTAAATTCTTAAACTTTTTCTATTTCACAAATGAAAAAAAATTTTTACTCTATTTCAATTCTCTCCTGCTCCTGCATCATATCCATCCGTTTATCATTGAGCTCGCGTATCTTGCTCATCAATGCTATACGCTCAACTTCCAATTCTTTCTTTTTGTCATTCAAACTGTTTGACGTGACCTAAACAATTAAATGCCAAATTATCATTGAAATTGTTTCAATTACCATCATCGCCAATCGTTCGTCATTAACAACAGTGTTGTCATGGCGCAACTTCTGAAGATATACTTCAAGTTTTGCGTACTTCGCACATAGTTCTGAATGTTTCACCGTAAGCTCGTCAATACTAAAAGAAACGATTTTGGCGAGAGATGATGATCGTATCTCTTTACCTTTCTTTCACCTGCGACAGCTCTGACTCATATGTCATTAATTTCCTGTTGGCTTCTATGAGTGTTTGGTCATTCTGGCACTTTTGTCGATAAAGGCTGTTTATTTCCTCTTTGACTTCAGCAATTTCCTTCAAAGTACCTTCATCAGTGGTTATTCTGCAAAATGTTAATTAAGCACTGCCTAATAAGACAAATACACTTACGAAATAGTTGATGGAATGACATTTTTTGACTTGTTAACGCCTTCAGCAAGTTTGGCATCTATAAAAAAAATTAATCCAAATTTCACACATAATTTAATTAAATGCCTACAGCTATTGAAAAAATCACAAATCTGTTTGTTCTTCGCGGCTTGCTCTTCTAAACGCTGAAGAATTATTGTACGATAATCTTCCATCTTCTGAAATCATGTGAAATTGATAAGAAAATACTTCAAAGTGATGAACAGAGCTGACGGCAGTGATTAGTCATAACAGAAAAGAGATAAACAATTGTTTTAGAACATATGCGACCGATCGCGCGTCAGAATGTTAATTGCGACGCGCATACTAATGTCGCATGATTGCAATTTTCGAGAAATGTTTCGCATGTGTGGTTGTATGTGTGTGCACAAACGCGCTCTATGGCAAAACCCAATATCTGCTTACCTCAAATAAGCTATTTATGTGTATTGCCTCTGATTTGGACGATTCAATTCGTTCCATCCGATTTCCTACATTGTTGCCTAGTTTGTACGGAACGAATCCAATTTAAATTCGCCTTCAACAGACCATTCCATTTGCCCTACATGGCCGCTTTTTTTGAATGAATTCTCGTTGACTTGAAAAAAGCCAATTAATTGCAGAAAACGTAGATTAATTTTTGCTTCTCGACATTCCTCCATATCCCTTATTTGAATAGAAATTTAATGTTGAATGCCATATGTTGTTGAGCAATGTGAATTCGAATTGTTTTCAATAGAATTTCTCGAAAATTCGCCCGACGCACCTGTTGCGCTCAACGCGCGTTGCGCGTTTTTTTCAAAATTATTGCCAACACCATCTGCTCATTTAACATTTTGTTTTGGGAAAACGCAATTTAGCTGGTTTTTAACGGTTTCAACGAGCAAAAAAAAAGATTTGAATGTGGGTGTGGTCGTAAATAGCCATGACCGCGGATGTTTAAGAACAGTTGCGCTCTGTTGATTTCTTTTTTTTCTCTTCCCCTTTTGTACTATTTTTTTCTAAATAATCTTTCTTTTGATTATTTTTTCTCGTGCAAATCGGAATATAGTGGTTTTCTTGAATTTTTCAATAGTTTCGTAAGGGTTTTTGAAAAATTAATTTAAAATTTTGACAATACTTTTTCAACTATGAAAAATAAATTTTTTTGTGAAATAAAGTAGAAAAATATTTGAAAATTGCAAAAAATTGAAAAAAAAAGGCTGAAAACGTCACCTTTTTTCAAATGCAATTATTGGGAAATGGCGAGATGTGAAACATTATTTATAAGTATACTTAAATTGTATCTTTTAAATACATATTTTTCATAAATGAGAAAATTATTTTGTAATAGAAGAAAGTACGACTCATGATGGAAACTTTTTTTTATTGCTTACAAACTTAGCACGATTATCAATGTGAAATCGATACCCGAAATTCTTCCTTTATTGTGCGTTAATTTATCGCGGTCGTCTGATTTCCCATTAAATACTTGCGTTCATTAGTTTAATTAATAGCTTTTACGCGCATTTCTGAATAATGTTAGCCCCAAATTAGCATCATTTTCAACAACAAAAAAGTGCTCTTAGACTTTCGTCATGTTTCAAATGAATAATTTCGTCGCAAACCCTTTTCACATCGACTATAAAAACGCTTCATTGAAGTTATTTACCGTTCCACATAGTTTATTTTATTCGTATAGATTGCCGATTTTCCACTTTATTTGCGCAGTTTGAAAAAAAAGTGAATTCGTTTCTCATATCAAAGAAACATTTTAGTGAGAGAAATGTCCCAATATATCTTTCTTGATTGTCATATTATTGAAACTTCTTGTGAAATTGATAATGAGTTATTGATTATACCAAACTCCGCGAGGTGTTGAATGCCAAAGAGCAGCAATACTGGTTGAGAACAAAAGCGACGCTATCATGTTTGGGCACGAGTATCTAGGGTCTCACACTACTCCGGCATCTATTTTTTTTTATTGTATTGAGTATACGCTGACCTTACCATCTGGCCACGATGAGTCTCATTTTTGATTCACATTCGTCAAAAGTTATTTGCCTTGTTCTAGTCCATTCCACTCGCCTCAGTAATACAACACCCAATATGAATAATGCGTTTTTGCTTTCTGACGGGGGGAAATAAAGCTCATGTTAGAATGTTTCCGCAGTTTTGGTCGCTGTGACACGAATTTCGTCATCGATGAAGAATTCGAAAGATCTTATCTCGTAAAGCGGCTAGTGTTTTTTAATAATACACGCGAACAATTGCTGACATTCTTGGTGCATTCGCGATTATTTCTTCACTCGTATTTTTTCTGTTTTCGCACTACACCCGTTATTTTTTGTGTTGCGATAAGCAAATACTATTGATTTTGTGAACATACATAGTTTATCTAGACCTTCTGCTTTCTATTGACTTTCGCGTTTAAATGAAGTACTTTGCGCTAACCGCAATAATTTTTTTAGTGCGCACGCCAACGTATCAACGGGACCTGCAATGGAGGCCTATGGAGAGCACGACTTCACGGCAACAACGCCAGATGAGCTCTCTTTCCGCCGCGGCCAAGTGCTCAAAGTATCAATTTCATATTACATATGCAATAAAACATCAATTTCTGTTCAGATTCTAAATAAAGATGAAGATCCTCACTGGTTCAAAGCCGAGCTAGATGGTAATGAGGGTTTCGTACCGTCCAATTATATTCGAATGAGTGACTGCAGCTGGTGAGGCAACAATTAATATTCAATAACTTGGTCATAATTGCTGCAGGTACCTCGGAAAAATAACCAGGACCGACGCCGAGACACTTTTAAAGAAGCCAAGCATGAACGATGGCACTTTCCTTGTGCGACAGTGCGAAAGCAGCCCTGGAGACTTTTCAATTAGTGTGAAGTAGGATATCCAATTTGAAAGAAAAGAAAAGCAATTCTATGATTGCAGATTCCAAGATACAGTGCAACATTTCAAAGTTCTTCGCGATCAAACCGGCAAGTACTATCTTTGGGTGGTCAAGTTTAACTCTTTAAATGAGTTAGTTCAATATCATCGGTAAAGAAGTTTCTAAACTCTGTGCTAGTTATGACTCAATTTCAGCACTGCCTCAGTGTCGCGAACACATACAATTCTTCTTCAAGATCTTGCTGTAGAGACCAAGTTTGTGCAAGCATTGTTCGACTTCAACCCACAAGAGAATGGCGAACTCGCATTCAAGCGCGGCGATGTCATAACATGTAAGTATTTGAAAATGGAGATCTTGCTCAAATATTTGAGCAGTTAGACTAGCTTAACAGATTTGAAGTGTTCTTTTTGTAACCGATAATGGAACGTTGAGAAGATCGTTTTTTTTTAGAATAGGAGACCGTAGGTTTTAAAATGATACGAATTTTTTGAGTGAGTTGAAGAAAATAAATACATTTAAACGAAATAATCGCAATTGTCCGCTATTTTGAACGACAGTCAAAATGGGTGTGTTGAAAAAAAAAGATGTTACCTAAGAAAATGACGCATAAGAAAAATTTGAAAGTTCGCAAGAAACATTACAAATTGGTTTTAGTGATGAACAAGGACGATCCGAACTGGTGGGAGGGCACGCTCAACAATAGACGTGGAATCTTTCCAGCAAACTACGTGTGCCCGTACAATCGAAATCCGAGCAACACAAACATGAACTTCACGAAGACTTCGTAGATCTATTTCTCCACACACTCCCGCCTCTATCTTTCTCTCATTTTCCTAATAACGCTAATAATTAATAATGGGTGATCTAATAACAAAAGTTAGAGAAAATTTCTTTAGGAACTACATTAAGCGGGAGTTTGTCGCACATCGTTTCATCGTTGTCAGTTTGTTATTGTTAGGCTGTTTTTATTCTCGTCTATATATTTCCACACAAGTTCTGAAATTTCATCTTGCCACCATTCGCCGTATTTATAATTTTGATTAATCTATATATATATATATATATATATATATATATATGTTGTCCTATCTAATCGTAGTAGAATGGAGAATTGAATTACTCTGACGAAATAGTCGAAAATGTCAAAACTTTACGGATCTGTATATTATGATTTTTTGTTCGTTTCCTTCTTGTTCTGAACCGAAAACATTCTATCAATATTTCAATTTTGTTTGGGTTTCATATACTTTTTATTAGTCTCTTGCGAACATCATGTTCTCTATCTCTATGATCGGTGCATTGTACCGTTCCCTTTCGCTTATTAGTCACTCGATTTAAATGAATCTGCTTTCGAAACCCTCAAGGAAACCTTTGAAAATCTTGCTTTTTTGTTCATTTGCGTTTCAGTTTTAACCTTTTTTTCAATGATGTTTTGTTTCTTTTTTTTTGCAATAAAACCGTTTCCCTTTTTTTTTAATCGAATTTTTATGCAAAAAATAAACATTGAAAAATGTTGAGATATTTCAAATACAGTTTACAGAAAAGAAAAGTGTGGTAGAAAAGATTTTCAAAGATGAGAGGGAAGAAACTGTTAAAGATTGCCCAAATAATGGAATATATGAACGACTTAGGAAGTATTCAGGTTCATTAAACTTGGAATTCTTCTGTAAGGATTTTTTAAAAATATTGATGATATGCAAATCTTTCAACTTTTTATCAAACCTATTTGAAAATTTTTAATTTTTCAATTTAGTTTTGAAATTTATTAAATCTGCTAGAAATATTGTTAAGTTCCACGTGATATTTTATGATTTCTTTTGCTATCGTGTCGCGAAATGTTCAATCTTCGGTTTCTGGATGTTTCTCTGAGTATCACTGCAAATATATCTCTTTTATCTTCTGCAGAAATACGCACGTGTCACCTATTGAAACATTTTCTCGCCATGTGTTTTTTTTCAGAACTAAAAAAAGAAAGATGCTTTCTGACGACGTAATGTGGCAAAGCTAATTCGAATTGTTTTTGAGACCCTAAAAAATAATTGAAAAACAAGCACGCATTATAGGCTTTTTTCTTCAATTTTTTTTCAAACCTCTCAATGTGAGAAGCAAAAAGTACTCAAGTCGCTATTGCTCCCATTATATTCTCTACCCGTCGAATCACTTGTCGCTTTTCATTTTTTTTTACAATAAATGTACTTTCAGAATGACATTCAATCCCGAGAAATCGCCGTTTGATTTGTCAACATTCTCGGGTAGACTTCGACATTTTGCAGGGATCACTGACCCGTTGATTGCTTTTGCACCAACCTCAGAGCTTGTGAAAGCATCGGAACTTATGCAGAAATGCCGGTAATAAATATTTGAAATTGATTGAGTTAAAAAAATTAATTATTCGTTTAGATTTTTGGTTAAACTTTTAAACCGCTGAGAGTTTGTGTTTTGCAAATTTTAAGGCCTACATTTTGAATAATTCTTTAGTTTCTCGATAAATTTTTTGCGATTTGTTTCCAGAAGTGGGGAAAAACCAAAGGCGACGCTTGAAGAGCTTCATCGTGCTCAACGTCTCTACCAATCAGCGTTTCATCCCGATACCGGAGAGCTACAAAATTTTGCTGGTCGAATGTGCTTCAATGTTTGGGGCGGAACAATGCTGTGTGGAGCAATGATGATTTGGTATAAATCGACACCTGCTGTCATTTTTTGGCAATGGGCAAATCAATCGTTCAACGCGTTAGTTAATTATACCAACCGGAATGCCAAGAGCTCATTGACGACGAAGGTTTTCGAGTGTTACCAAAATTATCATGGAAGAAACTTTAGGATCTTATTGTGTCTTATACTACTGCTGTTTCGGGAGCTTTGGGAATGGCTATTGGGTTGAAAGCATACTTTGCAAAAAAGCAAAGCAGCCCATTGGCTCAACGACTTGTTCCACTTGGAGCAGTTGCAGTCGCAAATGCTATCAATATTCCAATGATGCGGCAAAAGTAGTTCATAAAACTAAAGCCGGCGCCATGATTAAATTACAGCGAACTGAAAAACGGAATGACCGTCACTGATAAGGATGGAAACAACGTGGGAATTTCGAGACTTGCTGCGGCAAAAGCGATTTCCTTGGTCGTTTTATCCAGAAATATTATTGTTGCCCCTTGCATGAGTAAGAATTCTTATAAATTTTGATCTAAAATAAATTATGTTCTATTTAAGTTTTAACTCCGATCATCATGGAAGGATTGAACAAAGTTGCAACGTTCCGTAAGCATTTCAACAAATTAAACATTCCAACTCAGCTAGGATTGACATTTTTAATGTAAGTTGCCACTTTTTAAATTTTTCCATTACAAGAAAGAACCAGTTTATTTGCGAAATATTATATATATATATATATATATATATATATATATATATATATATATATATATATATATATATCGTCGGGGCTAACTTTCTCCAGAACCAGTTTTGAAATGTTCAATTTTTTTCAAAATTGTTATGTTCTATGTTGTTTCCAAAAAATTACAAACTTGAACAACATAAAAAAAAGATCATGCCATAATCACGTACTGAGACCCGAACATTTTTACAATATTACATCAAATCTACTCTTCAAATAAAATTAGCGTGAAAATCCTTAGTCAAATACTTCATTCATCTATTTGTTTACCTGCTTTGTCCAGCATTCATATTTGTTTGCGACGCTTGTTTACAATCAAACCTACATTTACTGAAAAACAATCATCTAACAATGCAATTTCAGCTATGGCGCAATGATTCCAGTAGGATGTGCAATATTCCCACAACAAAAGTGAGTATTCTTATAGGAAAATCGCTGTTGAATTTCGTCTCTTTTTTTAGTTCAATTAGTCTGTCGACTTTGAAGAAATGGGAGCCGGAAGCTTATGAAAAGCTGAAACATGTCCCTGGTGGACGCGTATACTTCAACAAAGGATTGTGAATACATATTCAGCAAACTTTATTATTATTAATATTATTATCATTTTAACAAAAAATCAATCCCAACGATTTGAATACATTTTACAGTAGGAGTTTCACATTAGTATATTATATATTAATTTATATGTATGCATAAAGCAGAACTCATTATTACATTATATTACAGGTTGTACATTGAAATTGAATACCTAGGTGACAGTTAATAGGGAATGTGTAGTAGGTTTAGTCGACCATATTAATTCCAAAGATGACGAGATAAGGAATGGCTTGCACAACAAACAAGCTCTACTTCTCGTTGAAATAAAGCATATTTGTTATTCATTTTTTAAGCGGTTTAAAGGAGTGGGAATGCAGACCAAATATTAATATAAAAATACATTTATGTACATGTCAGCGGATTATGTCGTTGTATGACTTTAGAAACGCTTCTTAGCAAACTTGCGGCAAACAACGAATCTGAAATGTAAATCGAACTTATTTGATGTTTGGTTTTTTTCTATCAATTATATGTATGTGAATAATTGAAGAAACTGAAGAAAATAATTACCCGACAGCTGCGCCAATTACGAAACTGAAAAAGTTTGAGACAAGGAATCCGAAGACCGCGCGCACGCTGAAAATTGATTCCTCGAATGGGCTCATGTTGGCAAGATCTGGCTCAGGGGAGTTTGGTGGAGTTGTCAAATTCGAGCCATATTGTCTCATTCGTAAAGTTCTATAATCGGTTGCTATTAACTATTCGCCAATATTGCAATGTTTACTTTGGTGGGATGTATTCTGGCCTGCTGCTCCAGTCCCACATCCAATCTGTGTTTTTGCCAGGTGGCAGCATTTCGCGAACAAGACGGTACTTGACCTGTTCCAAACTTTCAAATTCAACGTGTGGAGATTGTATGGAAATTGGGCTAAAAACAGAAAAAATAATGGAACGAAGGTAGATAAAAATCGATGAAATCTATATCCTACCTCAGACGGGAATCTTTATCTTTTTCATCGGCCATTAAGATCTCCACACTGCTGCACAAACTGGTTCGACTGGGTGCAATATCAACCCAAGACTCGGACATCACTGAAACGAAGTTCAATAAGATAACAAGCAGAAACGAATCATCAAACCTGGTGGGAGGTCACTTGCAGGCGTGATGAAAGGGTTGCTGGTGTTGGACGCCTGCGCCTGTTGTTGATCATCTGATTTTTCAGTCTTGGGGTAATTGTTGAATTTCATTTTCATCTCGAGCAACTTGGACTTGTTGAACTCAAAAAACGACGCCATTCTGTTGACCCGTGCCTAATCAATAAGAATTGGTAGAGATTTGAGGCTATTGTCGTCGAGCAGTTATTTGAGCACATATAAAACGAAACGGAACGAAATGGTTAAAGGAGAAAACAACAAAAACAGGACAAGTGTTGACAGAAATTATTTAATTGTTGTCCTATTTCACTTTGTTTATTTGTTAAGGAATTTGCGAAATCAAAACCAAATAGATACAAGAAAATGAGTTAAATTGCTAGTTAAATGGATGTCGGAGACTGCCTATCTAATTCAGTTACCTAATTTGATATGGAAATGATGATACGCCTTGGAGAAATAATTGTTCACCTTCAAAACGTTGCCGATTGGTCATGCTCTGTTGATGTGTTGCGAGACAGAAAAAAAAAAACGCGCCGCACACGTAACAGAATGGAAGGGCATGCGACTTTCAAGTAAATCATGTGAGACCGCGTTGGTGTCCACATGACACGGTGCGACGCAGACGCGACGCACCGACAAAACACTGCCCGATTTGCGTAGGGAAGAAGGACGCGCGGAGTGCTAGCTGGATCAGCTGATGTTTAAAATTGGGGTTGTGCGAGAGAGCGAGCGCGTGTGTTTATGGGGGGAGTCTCAACAACATCGGGTGTTGGTCATTGCTGCTCGAGACAAGGAGGCAAAATGCAGATGCCAATATGCACGAGAATCGATAGCGTCCCCCAAGCAAAAGTATTGAGTTATAATTAAGCAGAGAGACAACTCGCTGGTTAGACGAACATGAGGATTTGATCCGGGTAAAACGCCTCCGAACGAATTGTTTATAAAGCGGTAAAATAAAAAATTTATTAGATTATTTCTTGCATACAAATAGCGCCATTTTTAATACAATCATGTGATGTAATAAAAAGCAGTGTTCCATGTTTATGTTAAAGCACGTGTCAAAAGACTTTATAGCTTATCAGGTCGTAAATTTCAAAACTTTTCTAAGCGTCCTTTAATAACAGAATATGACCCTGAAACTGTATTTTGGAATTTTGGAATTCTTATCATTGAGCATTCACGTGAGCAGCATATGTACATTTTTTTGGTCTCATTAATTATTTTCACCAATTGAAAACTTCGAAAACCGTTTTGAACGCTAATTTCAATAATTTATTACGTTGTAATACATGCGATATATTGAATAAATGAACTATCAAACGACAGTAAGTATAATAAAACTATTAAGAGTCTCATCGTTCGATGAATGTACATATCGTTTCGAACAGCAATATTTATGATGAAAATATAGAATAAAATGCATTGTTTTCGAGAAATTCGAAAATCTTCATTTAAACGTTTGAAGCCCCCAACGAGTCAAAAAGGGTAATTCAAACAAATGAAGATATTATGGTTGGAATTGTCAGAAATTTAGATGGTTGATGATACTTCTTTGAGCTACTCCACGCGTTGCAGAAACTGAAAAGAAAAATGTCATTAATTAAACATGACATTCAGTGGAAATTTGTCAATTTGAATAATGAAATGCATATCGCATTTTCTCGATAGCCACGTTTTCATGGACTATACATGAGTAGTTTTGTTTTAAAAAAATGTACCGCCGCCGGGATTTTGAGAGGTCTTGGCTGGAAAATCGAGCGAAGTTCTTTGATCAATCTTGGCTCCTGCAAATTGACTTTTTGATTTTGACGGAAATCAAAATGTTTGTGCTCACATCCTCCGCATTTTCGGCTTCGAGGAATGGCGAACGAACAGGAGAATTGAGTTGGATAAATTGCGGGGGTTTTGGTTTCGCTTGCTCTTCTTGTTTGTTAAGCTAAAATTAAATTTTCGGGATGACTGTGAACTCAAATATCTTGCAGCATGAATCACTCATCGAATTCAATGGACATTGATAAAAATAAGAAAATTCGGACACGGAAATCAATATAAATAATAACACGTATTGCACAGAAACATTTATCGACACTCATACAAAACTCAAGGTTCCACATGCATACACAGAATTTAAAAAAAATCATTCACATCGAACATATAGTAGAATTAACGCTAATCAAAGTATGTGGGCTTTTCCGTTCATTCCTCTTCTTCCTCATCGGCTGCTGCCTCTTCAGTCTCCTGAACACCAATATCAATTTTTACACTTGTTTTTTCAGTGTACCTCAACTGGGCTGATTATTTTTTCGTAGACAGCCGGTGGTGGAGCAACTCCCGGGAAGCACGGATGAGCATTTCTCTGTTGAAAATAAATAACACAGTATAACACACAGGACAACACAAACTTTATCAAACACAGAGCGACGTTCACGGAAGTTACGACGATCAATTTGACGGTCATACTTGGACACGATTTGCACCTTTGGCTGAAAATTGAAAAATTCTCACATTTGAGAAAAGTTGTTTGCACTCTATAAAAGAGCGCACGTCGGATTTTCGCTCATACTTTGAGACAATTGGCTGCTTGGGCTAAAAAATAATAAATAATAAACAGATTTCCTCTATTCCGTTAAAAAAATGTTTCATAGGAAATTAATTTTACCGGGTACTTGGAGTTTCCAACTTCGGCTGGGTCAATGCCTTTTCTGAGGGCGGCATTCCGAGTGACTTGACGCTGACGTTCGTTCAGCTCTTTGAGCTGCAAGTTGTTTTTCTATTTGCGCACTGATTTAATTGCTCTCTTACGTCGTACTCCTGTCTCTCGTGACGCTTCTCGAGATCGTACTTGTCCGCTTCGAGTTTGCAAATTCGTTGATGAAGCTCCTTGATTTTTTGCTTCAGATCGGATGGAAGAAGGTCGGACGCTTCGGGAATGCCCTTGCGAATGTTCGCCATGTAACCCTAGAGAAATTAATAAAAGCGAATAATGATATTTGAATATGGGACAGAACAAATGACATAAAATGAACTTAAAATGTTGGTTGATTATTACAAATGTTAGAGTAACATAAATTGAAATCTTCACACTAGTCAGTGATTGCTTAAATAATTCAACAAAAAAACTTAAATTTTTAATACAACTACTTATATTTACCTGGAGCTGTTTTATTGGAAACTTTGCTCTGATACAAAAATTTTAATAAATAACTCTTAAATGAATGACTTACTCGTTTGGCGTCCTCTTGCTGCTCTTTGGTCATTCCCATCTCCTGTTTTGCCTGCACAATATTACCGAACTTATCGTTCGACGGTGCCGACTTTTTAGGAACGACGAAGCTTCTGCAACAAATTAATATCTAAATATTTCGAAGACAAATTTTTAAATTTACCTTCCACCAGTTGAATTGAATCCACCGCCCATCATTTGGTTACGCTTATTCTTTTCTTCTTCCTTTCTTCTTTTCTCTTCTTCGAGTTTCGCCTTACGCTCTTCCTAATATGGATATAATAAAATGACTAAAATCTGTTAAGATATATTACTTCTTCCTGGCGGCGACGATCTTCAGCCGCCTTGCGTTTTTCTTCCATTTCCTTCTCCTCTTGCTCACGCTCGATTCGACGACGTTCTTGCTTCTCCTTAAGCTTCTTCAGCTCCTCTTCCTCTTTCTCGCGCTCAATGCGCCGTCTTTCTTCGTAGTCCATGAGCTTGGCTTCGTCTTCCTCTTGATGACGACGTTTGGCGGCAGCCATAGCCTTTTCGCCTTCGGTAAGTCCCTCGACATCTTCGTTAAATGATTTCGTTTTCGGTCTTAATATTAGTAAATGCATGTCATTACTCGACAATACGATTACCTTTCGCTTCGAGTTTCGGATCCCTCAACAGCTTCCTCTTCCTCTTCCTCTTCAACCTCCTCGACCTCCTCGTCAGTACTGAAATAAGCCATTTTTTTTAATTAAAAATTTGAAATGGATTTTTCATTATATCATGTTTATGTTACAAACCCTCTGCGCCGCCATCGTGGAATCCATCGAATCAAACGATGATGCGGCTTTTTACGCAAGCGATGCTTTTCAAAGTCGACACGCTTCAACTCAATTTGGAAATCAAGGCGATGACGACGTTGAGGCGCCGGTTTCACGATCAGCGAGGGTTTCAAACGGATGGGTCGAGGCTCTCGTGATGGCGTTGGCGATCTTCGACGGGGTGCTCGGCGTTGCAGAAATGTCGTCTGCTGATTATTGTTGGCATCATTCGTGCCGAACACTCGGAACGGATTGAATGGTGAGAATGCTCGGATGATAGCGCTTGGGCGAGGTATATGAATGCGGGAACGATAACGCTCGATGAGTATCTTATCTGTTTCTGACAACTCCGCGAATTCTTTGTGTTGATGTTGTTGTGACTCGTTGTTTAAGGCTCCACTAGGCGTCGCGGACCGCGCTAGGGAGCCATGCAAGTTTAAATAACCTGCCAGTTTTGATTTGTTTTGCAATGGTGCTGGACGTCTTGATCGTAACGGTGGAGGATCGGGATCCGGTGGTCGATCAATGCGAATCTTTGGTATTTTTGATGCATCAGGTTCACTTGGTGGACAAAAGTCCGAATATGGCACTTCTGCGGCAAGATCCTTGCTCATTGGCTTTCGACGAATAGCACCTGCTCTTTTCAGTGTTGATTGTGGCTCTTTTGGCTTTGGAGCAATTAGGAAACCGCCAATGATTGGAACACGTTTGAGGCCATTCTTGACTCCCTTGATATCCTCCATGATTTCGGCATTACTTTGCAAAAAGTATTCCGGAATCTTGAGCCGATTGACTTTTCTTTGCTCCTTTTCTTCCTTATCGAGATCCATTGTGAATGAGCGATTAATTTTTCCAATTTGCTTGGGTCTTTTTAATTCCTGCGTCTTCGTTCTTCGGATTGGCGGTAGTTGCATCAAGACGGTGACGTCAAGACGAGCAAACGCAATTCGCGGTGGTGCGGGAAGTACAATTGTTGCCATCGACTCTTTCGGCGCTCTCTCGGTCATACGAAGATTGAGTCGAACATTCTTCTCGGCAAAATTCTGATTCGCGTGCTGCGTATAGAAGCTGCAATGTTGAATGGAAATCTCAGCGGTACAAGGAACAGCATCAAGCTTCTTCCGCTTCAAACTGGCAAGAACATTTTTCTGCTGTACGCGCACGGCATTTTCATAGCTTTTGCGTCGCTCTGGAATCGATGCTTTTTGCTTTGAAAGAACGGACGAATCGAATGAAGCACGAACACGAACAGTTTTTTGGCTTTCTGGAATTGTTGCTTGTGCATTTTTCGACGACTGAGGATTCCGCAACAATTTCCGGCAATTGGCCTCTTGTTCGTTGGCATTCTTCGAATGTTTTAAAGCAACTGTTAGCGAAACTAATTCGTTTTCCTTCTTCTTTAGATGCAATGTCTCCTGTGTGCACAGTTTTTCATGACGTCGACTCTTCAAGTCCTTGTGAGCGGCTTCAGCAATTGTTAATCGATTTCGTTCTACAACTGGATGCGTTGGAATTGATTTGACAGCTCTCTTCTTCTCTTCATTGGCCCTGATATTGTTGGAATGAAGGGTTTCGCTATAGCTCACATATTCTTTGACGATTTGTGGACTGCTCCATGTGTGCAGAATTTGAGTTTCATCTTCAGAACGTGTCAAAATGAAACTCTCCGATGTGCTGGTTTCCTCTGGCTCAGCAGATGCTGGTGCCGCAGCATTACTGCGATCACTATCATTATCTGTGGAAAGACCAGAGTCGCTCGAGCTGCTCGGTGTTCGCACACGTCGATATCGCTCCTCGCGAATAATTGGTATCTCTTCCCAAGCGCGCAAATATTTCTTCTCATCTTCGGCGCTGAGCCCGCGCGATCGCAATAAATCGTCAACGCGATTGTGCGCAGCCATGAGACGTGCAATGTACTCATTCTGCGTAATATCCTTGGCATCGTGTGGCTGCTGACGCGTTGAACTCGGGCGATCCGTGGCGTATAAACTTGAACTTGCACCGGGACGATCGCGAAGCGCGCCGCCGAGCATTCCCGCCGCTGCACCCATATTTTCAAGTGATTGCCGACGCTGGGAAACGCCGCCAAACCCGATGTCTGATTCCGACTGTTGCTGTTGTTGTTGTCGGCGCTTTAGGTACTGTGATGTGGGACTCTCACCTACCGATGTTTTCCTAGCCCCGCTATTCCCATAACGCTCAAGAAGCCCTACGGTCTGCTCATCCCTGGTAACACGTGGACTCAATGACGAACCCGAAGGTCCACCAAAACTGTTTTGTCTACCCGATTGATGTCGCGTTGGCAGCGAATCGCGGAGCGAAGAATCGCGCGAGAATGATGAGGTTGGATAGCGAACTGAAGAGAACTCATCGCGTGATCCTGTCGCCAGCGAACTTGCTGCCAAACCCGACGTATTAACTGAACTTCTACGAAAACCTAGTTGTGATGATGAACTACTATAAGTTAATGGAGATGGTGTAAATGATAATGACGTTGATGAATTAAAACTGGAACGCATAACCTACTATTGTTCTTCCTCGTCGGACATAGTAGAAATTAGAATCTGAAAAAAAAAATACCATTTATCATAAAGGTTTTGTGTTAATTGGGCCTTAATCCCTAATTGCTCAGATCTAATAGGGACCCCAGTGAGCGCTGCAAAACAACACAAAACAGCCGTTACTGAAAAAATAATAATGTTTTTTTTTTCTCGGTTTAACGAAAACGAAGCAAAACGAAAAATGAAATATAATATTATGATAAGAAGAATCCGGTTGTGATATAGGAAAAGCTCATGGGGGAGGTGCCCGGTGTGTATTTTTTGTAGTATGTTAGTAAAATTATTCAGTGCCTAGATTCTGCCCAACAACTATTTCTCAATAGCTAAAAATGATTACCTGAAGTTGCGCAGTAGCTGATCAGAGAATTTAATCGCAAGATTGAATGAATGCTCGAAAGTTTCGATTGGTAGGTGGAGCTAATCGGTGCAGTGTGATAGTCAATCGCGCACATCATTCAATATTACACACCAAATAACTCCCCCCTCCCCTCCCCCAAGAGCTAGACAATCAGCGCGCAAGAGCGTTTCGATTGATAGATGGAATTGATTTCAATGAGATTTTCGTCTCACCGAAGCACCAAACATTCGCCGACGGTATAGAACGATATATATCCCGAGTGTGACAAAAAACTATTCTCACAAGATGATTATGATATTTGCCTATCGGCGCGGTGTTGGAAAAAAGTAGCAGAAAGAGTGGGGAAAGAAAAACGCGCCGCTCGAAACCACTTGAATGATTGGTGCCAAATTTTTAAAATGTTCAATGTTGATTATGTAGAAGATTATTGAGCAAAACGAAGCGAGTGGAATGCGTACTAATGTTATTTTCCACAATTTTTTACTGCCACCCACTCTCGATGATGATGACGTTCGAAAGTTTTTATTTTATTTTGATGTCTAGTGATCAAGGGAGTCTAGCAATTTGACTCAATATTTCTCTATGGCCATATGTTCAGTACCAACTGTTCTGGGCGCGCTATTGTTTGTGCAAATCATCAAAGGTTGATGAACGTTCACTATCGAACCGTTAAAAACATGAATGTTTACAAGTTCTAGAACAGTTTATTTTTAGATTTGCACACTTTTATCTCGCACTTTTGAAATTAATTGAGGAAAAAAAACATAAACAGTTCGCAAAATTTTGCAATATTAGAAAATTTCATTCCTTTGAGTGTTCAACGACTTATATGGCTACTGAATTTAGTGGACACATATTTCTCTATTTGAAAAATTGCTTCAATTCTTAAATAAAAATTGGTATTTCTGAAATGAAATTTAATCGATGTAGTAAGAAGTTCCATAAAAAAATCAAAAGTATGTTGTTTTAAAACATCTGATTTGAAACTTTTTTGTATAGGACTACTCTGACATTTAGAACGAATATATAGTGAAATTTGAAACACATTGCGTCAGAGGTTGAAACGATTTAAGACAAGTAATGCGAGACTATACGAATGCTTCAAGAAAAAAGTTTAGTAGATAGAAGGTCGCTTTTTATTCAAGCGACAAGTGTTTTGAAGGATTGAAAAATGAGTGACCAGTTGTTCACCGCGAACATTACGTAAATCTGTTAAGTCGAAAGTCGTTTATGCAGTGTTCCGAGGGACTTTAGTGCTTCAGAAACCATTCCAAATAAACAAAAAAATAAGATTTTTAGTTCGAGTTGTCAGAGTTATTTAATATTAATGGATATCATAATAAAAGCGAAAGACAAATTAATTTGAAATACAAGAAAAAAGTGAAGAGCAAGGCAAACTTGTGTGATCTGTTCGCAAAAATTTGTAGGTGGTACATTCGTGGAAATGAGGGCGACCGAACCGGAGGGGGGGGGGCACATGTTGATGCAAGGGGGGAGCAGCGCCTACCTGGCGACTCTCTCATCTAGCTTTATCTTGCGAAACAAAAACTCCCCAAGACTATTTGCTAAGAAGCGATATAATGGTCGTCAAATGCTCCGGTGTTTAGCTTCACTACAAAGTTCGTTGCCTGTAAAATAGAGGGAAAACGAACATTTGATAACCGCGTGAAAACAAGTTGATGTGTGTTCACCACTTGTAGAAAAAATCACATAAGAATCATTCAAGAGTCATATGAAACCTCTACAAAAGTTGATAGAAACGAAATACCTTGCATTTTTTACAGTAAGCACTTCTTTCGGGGAGAAAAATCAATCAAAAAGAATAGTCTTCTTTAAATTGTATTCTTCCCTCTTACTGTTAATATTCTCTCATTGATAAAAAACATAATGATCTCAATTCTCTGAGGATGGAATTATGTTTGCTTTCTATGAAGTGCTTTTAGTTTTTTTCTTCCCAACTAGTACTTCAATCATGTTGTTTGACGATCAAAAACCGTTAAAAAATTTATTTCATATATATTAGTAAACTTATTAGTATGCGGGCGGTAGTAGAATATTAGAGTTTCGTTGTTTGAGTAGAACCACGACCAATCATGTTTCCGATAGCCTTTGACCAACTTTTTTTCAGCTCCTTGTTGTTGTAATCATTATTTCTAACTCTAAGGCTCGACATATGCTTGTTCGAATAGCTACCTGAACTCCATTAAATAATTTCCAATAAATCTCGTTGCTTTTATTTTACATAATGGGGAATATGCGGAATACTCGTTTTCAGCTGAATCATCACCAATATTCAATTGGATCACGTACGACGATGGTTCTTCCTCTTTGCGTGTTGCCTTTGGGCTCTGCACAAATTACAACATAACATTTGCAGAGAGAAAAGTAATCACCTGGAAAAGATCAATAACATTCGCCCGCTGCTTGGTATGTTTTGACGGAGCAGTCGCTGCACGAGCACCGTAGTCTTCTTGTCCGCATGGGACAAGGCTCAAACCTCCGAAGCCTGCTTTTGACACACTTCCTGGAAATTATTCTTTTATGATGGGAACAATGTGGCATTATAATCGGATACCTTTAATACTAATTGTTTCATAAAGATTGCTTCCAGCTGCTCTACTCAATGTTTCTTTCACAGGATCTTCTCTTTTCTTATAGAGAAGGCTAGTAGAATTTGTGGCGAATTTGCCCCAAATTCCAATGTCATAGATTTGCAGCTCAATTGCTCGTTTCCAGGTATCACAGGCTTTCTGATTGTTGGCGCGAAGATATACTGTTGATGCTGGAACATCAACAGTTTCTTCGGTTTTCAAAAGAAGGGTTAATGGAGCTGAAGCGGACATTACACGAGTCCGCTGTAATAAACATTATCATTTCATTGCGAGTTTTGGATTTTAACCTGATTCATTGGAATTATCAAAACTGTTTCCATCGAACGCCTCGAAATATCGCCAACGGTGAAAAATTGCAAATGTCCTCCCTATAATATAGTTTTGAATGGTCATTCAAACCTATTCAACCTGTAGTCTTGCGAAAACATTCTCCAGTTCGATATCATCATCTGTATGACGGACGGAAAGAACTCCTTCAGCAATAGGTCGTAAAACTGAGTGCGGTTGAATTGCCATTCGACAAATAAGGTGGCCGTAAAGTGGTGGTCCTGATAAATCGGCTGAAAGATTATCAAAGTAAATAATACAATATACGTATAAGAGCTACCAAAGACATTCATTCGCAAATTGTGGATATTGGCGGTTTCTCCGGCATCGGTAATCCCCAATGTCGCCTTAGCAAGAAGATTGAAATGGGTTCCTCCAACAGCTTGCTCGAAATGAGGAGACTTCTTCATCTCTTGTACGTTATTCTGGGTTTTCTATACATAAAAAAAGTGTGCATCAATATTTTACTGAGTTGCGAAACAAATTACCACGCTGGATCCGAATTTTCTACCAAGAGAACGAGAAATTCGATTCCTCAAGCTTCCACCACTGGTTTCAAGTCCGTAATCAGTTCGTGCTCCATAAATGGATATTTCAACAAAAAAGTCTTCAGGCTCATTGTCACTAAAATAAATATTTATATAAATCAAAAGGTAATGGTGTTACTTACAAAATGAACGAGTCGGGAATATTCACATCAGTAGTATGCCGATTGATGTTCGAAATAATTTTTGTGTCGATTACTCGTGTCCTTGTTTGCAAAACAAGAAAAATGGAGAAGGTGCGAGTTTCTAAAATGTTTTTCTTACAAAACTTTATGAGTTGCCCAACATCTGTCATAAAGCTGAATTTTTCGAAATATCCTCCCCCCCCCGTTCCTCTCTCTCTCTCAAGGATTGTCATTAGCTCGTTTTCCAAAAAGCGGCGACTTGAAATTTTTTTATTTTCACATGTCGTTCAGCATTCGCGGCCCACTTCAAAAACCACATTTGTCGAACTAAATGTTTGTCAATATAGGCGACTCGCTCTTGGGATATCCTATGTGGAAAGCACTTGCTGGCGTTAAATCAAATTCAAACATGATATTTGAACATCGAGAAAAAAAATCGAAGCTGCACCTTTTGTTTTCCATGCAAGTGGTAAAGAGATTTGCGAGATTCCAATATTCGCACGGCTGGAAGTAGGAGAAAGCCTAAAAATTAGCGGAAAAATTTTCGAAATAGGACGATTAATAGCACGAACTCTAAACGACGTGATTGAAATTCCATGTCTTCTTCGTCAATTGGCAAACTATTGATGATCTCTTTGACGATATGTGCTTTATCCTCAGCGAGGATTTGATATTGATGAGAGTTCTTCTTCTTCTGAAATTAAGCTATTTAGAGAAGAATGGGAGCTTTTCCTTGTATGGGCTGACATGCAGGCTCAAACGAATGAGTTGAGAGAACAAAAGAACACACATGAGAAAGAGAACTGTTTTATTATGAGCTCCGCGGCAAACGATAATTTCCTATGCGCAAATAACAAGGTGATAAATTCGTTTTGTTAATCACATGTGAAGTCTTTGTACTTCATATCTCGCCAAATAAAATAAAATTGATGAATTGCGTCATAGGGTCACAACAAAGTGATCAGCTTCATATTAAATATTGGGTTAAATGTCTTCATTTACGACTTTCAATCACATGCACAAACCACTTCGCCTTGATCATGATTCTTATCGCAGTTAACGGTGGTCACACTTTGGAGTTATTAGATTTTAAATTAATTGAGAAGTTTAATAAATTCGAAAGTTTGAGAAAATGGTTCAAGAATATTTTGTGTGTATGGAGTAACGCTCAGAAATGAAGAATAGACTGAATTTAATGAAAACTCTTATATAACTTTATTAAAATTTAAATAATAATTCAATACGATATTTTTTTTTTAGAAAATTCTTTTTTTTCCTTAACAAAAACAAAAATCTTGAACTGAAAAAATATATATTAAATATTGGGATCATGTTATATAACATTCTTTTCTATAGATTCATTTTTTCTTTAAAATTTCTATTTAATTTTCACATTCCAAATTTTTTTTGAAAAGGATATATAGTTCCTGCAAAGAACCCACGTTATTCCTTATCACAATCATTAATAAAAATTTATGAGAGTCATAGTTCTCATGAAATGTATATGATATTTCATCGTGCCACACTTATCAAAAATTTGATTTTGCTTTAACATTTTGCGTTCATTCATTTGCTTCATTATTTTCATACATATGTAAAATATTCAAAGAAAAAGAGACAAAACGTGTAAAGTTGGCGGAAATTGGTCAACCTTGAACTTCTACCTATCAAACTATTTTTTTTTTTGAAATTTCAAAAACTAATGACGCTACTCCTTTTTGCTCTCTGAAAGCTTTTGAACAAACATCTAGCCCAAATTTAACTATTCTTTGGTTCGCTTTGCTTCCTCAACAAAGAAAAACGTCCTTCTAATCGTGTTACATAATTATCATGTTACACCTTCGCTGGACTGATGAACTTTGTGTAAACGCATGTTATGATAAATTACGCTTCATAGATACACAAAACGTCATCATAAATGTATATAAGATAGGATTTGAAATAACGTTTAATAGGAAAGAAAATCTCGTACCTAGAATAGTGAACAACGCACAATACTTGACAGAAAGTAATAAATTTTAATGGCGTGATGACATGAATGAAGGTGTCACTTCAAATGCACCCAATTCATAAAACATCCGGGTGAAACAAACTAAACAATTTACAAGAATAACAATAATATAAAACTGGAATCAAAACGTATATACACCCACAACAAAATTCAAAATTGATTCGGCCAACGCATTAAAATACTTTTTGCATAATCTACGGGACAATACGAGTGCATGATGCCTCATATATTTTGCATTTTGTCTTGTATACAAGCTCATATATACATATTTAGTCATACTTGCGATTTTTTTGAAAATGTAAGCAGTATGAAAAAAAAAGAGGCGACTTACCATGGTTTCTCCAGATATTGCGCTCATTTGTTCCTGTAAAATTCTAGAATTATTCCGAGTAGGTAATTAAGTAAGAAACATTTATTAGAGAAAAAAGAGCAGAAAGTGGAAAACATATGTTGACTTTATCAATTAAAGCGACAGATTGAGAACAGCTGCTGTTCCGTTCATTTTTTTAATCTTCATAACGCTTGAAAATGCTTGATATCAAAAAAATCTGTTCAAATTTCAAATGATTCCCACAACATATTGCCAAACATTTCAACAAAATTCGATATGAAATGAGGTCGGGTCCAGGAAAAATAAACATATTGATAGATAAATAACGCGAAATTGTAAACCTATGACAGTTTTGGAATGTTTTGTTTTGAATAAAATGGCACTCTGCTCTCCTTGCGTTGTCTTCCCTTCCATATTTGTCGAAAACAATCATTTTTCTCGACAGTGTTGGACGAAGTTTGCCAGAAAAGAGTTGACATATAAAAGAAATGCGCAGTTTACCTCGTGGGAAATGCCCATTTCGGAAATAGGCAGAGACAATTTAAACCAAATGTTTGAAAAAAAAACTGAAAAGATTGCGCGACATCGGCAAGAAAAACGGGGTGCTTGGAAATGGTAATGGCGGCATATGATATGCGAATGTTTTTTTAAGCGCGTTGCTTGTTCATTTTGAACAACTAACTTTAAACTTGTCTAGCATTGTTGAGAGCATTGCAAACAGTTTGCAGCAACGAGAATTCCTAGGTCAAATTCGTTGGGGCTTGCATTGAACGAAGGGGGGTTCGAATTACCAGTTGTCATAGATCAACGTGTAATCGCCTAATCCGCGATGCCCCCCAAACCAACATTAAATTACCGAAACGAAGTATTGTTTTTTGTAGGTCACGCACGGCGTTGATCGTTTATTGAATTGGTATTGAACTGGTGAATTGAAATGGACGAATGTCCGAATGGTACGCCTCTGCATTCGTGCGTTCGGCTTCAACGAGAAGGGGGGGGGGTAACATGAAAACGAGAATGTTCATCTTGAGTCGCCTATCAAAAATCTGTTTGACAATTGGGGGCGGCGAGTGAGTCGCCGGCAGTTCACCTCAAACCGCCGCTCGAGTTTTTCTCATGAGCTTTGAAAACAAAATCGCGGCGAAACATTTGCACTGCGCAGAGTAATAATCCCGCCGCCAATACTCCCGTCTCTCGTCGGGTTATCAGTAAATATCACACGACGCTGGCGTTAATTTTGTACACCGGTAGCAAATTCTACAATCACATTAAAGTAATTGAATTATGATACTACTTAAAACAATCATCATTAATGGTCAATCACTGATAATTGAAGATAAACGTTTTGGAGGGGGGGGGTGAGAATGAAAACATTTGAATTAAAAATAAATTTTTATCAGATACCTGTTTTATCAGAAAATTTTCCTATTTTGTGGATACCTATCATTCTGAATTACGATTTTCATTACTGATGAAACTTATGAAGAAATGAAAAAGCAAAGAGTTGAATGAAAAAAAATTGGAAGCCTTCTTTTTTCAATCTAAGTTATATGGGTGGCTGTTTGAGCCATAAAATCAGGCGTTAAGCCTAGCCGTATAAATGAGGTGTAATGAAATCGAAAACTGCTATACACCAACAAAAAAGATAAAAAAGAACGTGTTTGAATTAATAAAAAAAAGAGTTGGAACGAAGTCAAATTTTTCATTTAATTTGTTTTCATGTTTTCTCCATTGATACGAAAGGTTAGTCAGATTTTTTATTTCACTCATTGTGGACCAATTCATATATCAAAAAATGTAAAACATTTCACGTTTTTCCAATGCAGAATTGTAAAGAATTCAAATTTAATGAAATTTTAATATTGTTTTTGTGTAAATTGCATTTTATAAAATGAATCGTTAGAAAACTCCACATAAAAGTTTTATGATTTGCGTGAATACGGTAACTTATAATTCAAAAATTCATTTCCATCAACTTTCACTCTAAACGTTTTGGTAGGGTAATCTCAATGTGCACTATTTCAATGTTTGCAATTCTCAATGGAAATTTTAATGATATATATGTAAAAGTTTTCTCGTTTTTACCATTTTCAAATCCTCACAATTCATTTTTTTTTCGAGCGCAATGTGCCTTTACATTGGATACAATGAAACATTGTTTCATATATCACAAATCGTATGAGTTTAATAAACAGTTTATTGAAAAGGTGATAAAGCAATGGGGGGAGAGGGTATTGTTCTTCAATCCAATCTACATTTTGTGCAAAACCTTTCGGTCTGTTCTCAACGCCGGCAAATGTTTTCTTATCATTGCACCTTTTTTCACCCAATGCTTCTACATATTTCTATTTTTTCACTTGAATGTCCTCATTTTTCATATCATGATTTATTATTAAGAAATAGTCTAAAAACAAGAAATAATTTAAAGAATAAAGTAAATTGGTTGACTGTACACGATTTACACAAAAAATTAAAGTGTAGGTGAGTCAAATAAAAGTGTCATGTGTAGACGACGGAATATTCATTGTACTTTTACACCAGATTATTCTAAGTTGGCAAGGTATTCTTTTATTTGGCAGATGTTGGCTCCTGATTTTCCTCGGTGATCGTTTCTAATTCAGGCGTCCCAGTTTGGAACTGAAAATCCAGATTTAATTGAGATTTTGATAATATGAATTTATTGGTACTTAGCAACAGGGTAAGTTTTTTTTTTTTCATTTTTTGAAATATTCAACTTGTTACAATTCCTATTTGAAAAAAAATATGTTAAAAAACAAAAATGTTAATTTTTTAATATTGGAAAAATTTATCAAATCTAATTTGATCAAAAAAATTTTGACCATGAACACGGAACTATCATATCAAACAATTCAACTATTTAATATTGAGACTGTGAAATGATTTTGATAAACATTAAAAACAAAAATAGTATATACTGATAATTTAAGCACAGCAGCTTCATAACTATTCATTAGTTTTTATTCATTGCAATTCAAACGAACAGCAAATGTTTAAATGTCGTGTTGCTTAGTAACATTCTAATTGATACATATAAGCATAATTTCGAGATAATAGTAATTTTTCTTATTCAGTCATCATTTTTTGATGTTCTAGGATATTCTCAAAAACATACCAATGAGTCTTCTTTCTTGATAAGTGTTCCCTTCTTAACTTTTGGGTAGAACTTTCCGTTGACACGGTATCCGTATTTGGTGATGTGCATGATGTTTGTGTCTGTAATTTAATGCCATATTACTAATCGAATCTCGAATTTGAAATCAATCTTACAGCCGATGCTGTTTGGATCCATGTTGCGAAGACCAACTGGCTGATTCACAATGCAATTTGTTGTGAAGAATGGCACAGCAGGAGGACGAACTGGCATTTGAACTGGTATGAAACCCGACGTTGTTGGCATCGCCATTGGCATTGACATCGGCACAAAACGCGGTGCTGGTTGTCCGATGGGCACGAATCTCGATGTAGTTGGCTGGGATTGGTTGCGACCGGCCATCGCTAAATTGCCAGAAATTATGTGAGTACAAACATATTTGAGCACGTGAGAAACAACAGTGAAACAAGGTGGCATTTGGAGAAGAATAACTACAAAACACTTATAGCTGCCAATTATGGTTTGTACGTGGTTTTATATAACTTAACCAAACTATGCTTTATTATTCAATATGTCAGGTATTTGTTCAATTCAATTTTTCTTTCGATAATTGAGAAACGTATTTACTATAATCGCGTTAAATTGAAGAAAAAAGACATGTTTAAAGTTCTAAAAACAATTTCATTTTTACGTAGCAGTTTTTAGCTAAAAATAAACGAAGATTGATAAAAATGTTCGAGCTTAGAAAGTATAAACGCAATCCGCTTCAAATGTTGTATTCACCGATTTTCTGTGTTTAAAATGAAGGTAAAAAGACGCGGAATGGAACGCAATCGTGTTTTTTTGGTGAGCGCGTGAGATAACGAGACAATTCAACAGTTTTTTTGCGCGTGTCCCTTTTTTACAAGAAATTTAACTAACAGCAAAGAGTAAAATCGCGAAGAAAAAAAAATGCAGATATTAAGAATCCAGCGGAAAAATAGTTGATCATTGATTGAACTATGATTTTTAATGCCCTTGAGTAGGACGGGGAGAATGAAACTATGTACAGTTCAAATCAATATAATCCATTCAGTGCCACCCGTATTTTTAATTATCATTTGTTTCTTAGGTAAAACTTACTTCTGATTATGGAAACGACAAGTCACGTAATAAAAAAATAGCGGCAATGAGAGGTTTTTTTAGCGATGATTGACGACCAGATAATCTTCCATTCATGTTTCGTATTGACATATCAAAAATACAATGAAAATGGGTCTACGATCGAAATGGAAATGTGTGGAATTTAAAATGCGCATACATACAAAGAAGCGGACAATGAAATAAATCAAGAGGCAAAAAAAATGCATTTTGCCGAAATGCAGCGTACATTGAGATTGACACCGAATGGGCGCGGACAGTTATGTTTTGCTAGACGGACCCTCTCTTGCCTAATGCGAAGCGCGACAGCGTGCGCGTACACACACATATCAGCGGCCTTTGTGTAACAAAACCAATTGAGGGTGAGATATATTCGAAAGATGGCGCATGTGTGTCCCCCTTCAACGAAAGGTTATTTGAAGTTCAATACCATCACATAAAACTAGTTGCATAATTCTTTGGTTGTCGCGATACCATTTAAAAGCATTTTTTTAGAAATTAAATTAAGATAAATAGTGGTGAGAGGGAGTAATAAATTTTAGGTGGAAATTCTAAACAACTGATTACATTTGAAATGATAGTAGACGAGAGAGGCACGAGCTTTCGGTCGGGGCGGAGTACAATTTTTTTAGTTGAAGACTACAAGCGTTCATACAAAACAGACAGTTCGTTTTACGCGTAATTATCGTCAATATTAAATTGCAATTAAAATTCTGCGTGGGTTTCAAGAAATGTGGAAAAGGAGTAAAAAAACATATGGTTTGCGCGTTCGAAATAATTTTCGAAAAGATATTGAAACAATGTGAATTATTATTCTAAAAGTTACATATGTCATTGATGCCGATTTGGCTTATTATAATTATTCACGCAAATTATCGTTTTAGCGGGAATCTAACAGGTGGAGAACCACGAAAAGCTTTAATTTTTGCCGATCCACAAAAAAGCACAAGACAAGCAGCACCAGATGTTGATTCGGTGTTGCGCAATTGCTCCCACTTTTACTTGCTTTTTTGCAATGTGTCGTAAGACATTCATAATGAACTTGCTTGTTAGATGATAACGCATTATCGCGAGTTTTTGATTAGAGTGATAAGTCGACGAACAGGAACACTATGAGCGAGATTATTTATGAGTTCAAATACAAACTTTGCGTAATTTCAATATATCGACTTGAATTTGCCAAAATTGTTGAGTGTGTATACGAAAAAAGGATTACGATGATTTTTTGTTCGATAAAAATTGCGAAGACAATTTCTTCTTCGCAACAATCCGACAGATCTGATTTTGAATCTAAAAATAATTCATTCAAAATATTTTAGTTAGTGAGATGTTGTAGAACCACAAAGCTAGGATAACAGTGTATATTGTATCTCATTTGAGAGCAACATTAATCTCACCCTCTCACGAAAAAAACGAGCATTTGGGATTTGTAAACTATATTATTAGATTTGTTTATTTTAAGATACTGAAATGAGATTGTCCGGTAAGCGCAACCCAGACTCGAAGTGCTCATCGTCACAATTAACGGGTCATGTCGATCTCTGACAGTTGGAATGGTCCGACGAAAGTCACGCCTATCGGGTTGCGTCACCAGCAATCGGATACGGTAAAGTTATCCGCTGCTTGTCGGCCACAGTGGCTCATTTAAATAATGTCGCGAGCAACATTATCCAAATGAGCTTAATTCAGTTTACAACTATTTTTTTCTTAAATTTACATGTTGGTCTTGATTCATAAATGCCTTTATTAGTGCATAAAAACTAAAAACAGATCATTTTTCACAATTTATAAATCAAGGAATTATTTGAATTTCGTTTGTTGTAAATAACAAACGAAATTCAACTTAAATGTTGAAAAAATTGAGAATTAGTCGAGTTTTGAAATTTGAGCATACAAATTTTTCAAAATTTTGAAAATAATTAGAATTTGGTTAATTACACAATTTTTTTAATATAACAAGAGTAGAAAAAAATCTCCTACAAGTCGTTACAACCATTTTTTGCCAGAAGAAAACAACATCAACTCATTCCTTTCTTTGTCCAAATTCAGAAAACGGCGTTTTTAAATAAGACGAGTGCAAATGCTCTATCGAAGGGTTTTATGAATCAATTAAATCAAGCCGTACAACACTCTTCTATTAATGGCCAACAAAAGTTACCCAGTACATGGTACTAATATAATTTTGCTCTTGTTGTCTGCAAATGTTTTTTTTTTTAAATGGTTTAGAGCAAGCAGAAGTGCTTCATTCAACGAAGAATTATTCAAAGATAACAAAATCTATGCCCGCTTATTTTCAGTTTTTTTTAATCATATCTTCTAATTCGTCTACCGGCTCGTCGCCTCCGACAACGCCAAATCCGCTGCCATTACCATCACCATCACAGAATAATAACTCATTTCAAAGTAATCGCATTGACACTATACTTCCATGTGGCAAAATCCCAAAGGACCATTTCATTGGGTGGGTTATTATTTAGTCGAATTTCAGAATTATGCATTACAATTTCAGACTTGTCAATAATCAACTCGTCATGGTGATGACGAATGATCAATGCGAGAACGAGCCATTGAGAGGAACCTGCATTAGCTGTACGTGTGAAAAGTGTGTCTCTGGACCAATGGAGGGTCCACGCTATTCAAAATACGTTGGAAATCCAGCCCTTGATGCGCGCAGGAAGGCAATGAAGAACAGACGAGTTTCCAAAAAGACCCGCGCTGAAAATGGAACTACTGTCGTAAAAGAGAATAAAGATTCTGTCACGAAAGAGAGCGCTGATGATTCCGTCAGCGACGAGGATGCACCTCACGCGTTAGTTTTTATTTATTTATTTTTCGTTTTGTCGAATAGGTGAATTTCAGCCTGCCTCGATTCCGTATTGCCACACTAGAAAATGAAGAAGGGCACACCCGTCTTGCCATTGAGTTGCCATCAGTGTACAATCCAGATCAGACCTTTTATTTTTATTAATATCCATCTGTCTTATTCTCATGCACATTAATTCATTAACCCATTTCCCTAGTTTGATTTCTATAAATTCAATTTATTAATTTTTACAATGTGTCACCAATATACTCTGTTATAATTAACAATAAAGAACGTATATATTTTATTCAAATATATTGTTAAAATAATTATGTTTTCTAGAGCAGTTTAATTTCTGCATTACATACATTTAGATTGAATTTAACATTTTTTTTTGAACACAATAGATTTGTTTTAGGTAAAAACACAATGAGCGACTCATCATCCGCACTCGCTGCTTCTAAATCGGCAAACTCATTTGATGCGTCGGGCTCCTCTTCGACGTCGGGAAAAACTTGGTTGGACAAGTTTGTGGTGAAGAACTGGAACCGTTGCATTCTCATCCCAATTGACAATATTCCACAAAATTATCAAATAGCGTATGCACGTTTTAGTTGATTAAATAAATATGTTTTCAGTGTTGCTGAGAATAAGCTGGTCATGATCCCTGATAATGGTATGATTTGCTTTTAAATAATTTTAAAAAAAATTAATAATTCCCTTTATTTTCAAAAAACTGTTGTTTTGAATGTCTTTCATTCAAAAACATTTATTATTTTTTTGGAAACAGTATAGTCATGCGACGAAACGTCATATAATCTGGTTACCGCTGAACGGTTTTATTTTATGAGATTATTTTAATGCCCCCGCAGCAAAATTCCATGCAGTACCTACACGTATATTATCATTTTTTCAGAGCCATGCAACGGAGATCGCCTCAGACAGTCCGCGGAAAAATGCGCATGCCGCTACTGTTCGATTGGAGATCGTGACATCCCTTCGCATCAAGTCTATCGAGGAATTCCGGAGAAAGTTGCACGGAAGAAAATTGTGTTGAAGCCGCGAAATAGCGGTTTGCCGAATGGCGAAGAACCGCGTCGGCGTAGACACCGTCGACGCTTCGACAGCTCGATTTTTGATGAAATAGATGATTATGAAGATTTGCCGCACGCGTAAGCGTTTAATATTCCCGCCCAAAAAACGATGATTCAAAAATATTAAATTTTTTTACCATAAGCAAAAATCTTCGATTGCTTACACCATCGAACGTTGTGCTGCAATTATATATAATACACGTTGTAAATTATAAACAAGTTTTAAGTTTTAGCAATATTTATACAAAGTATTTAAGAAGTCATTTTTTTTCACTACTATCATAATTATATTCACCGATGACACAATCATAGCGTTCTGACTGAAATTTTCCTAATTGCGAACTATTGATTTACAGATTGCCAAGATTTCACATCACAGCGCTTGAATGGCCAAATCAGGAAATGACGAGATGCGGAATTACCATTCCATCGATATTCAATTCCGACAAAAAATTCATTTTGTTCTAAATTTTGTATTAACTCAACTAAACATGATAGTATAAACATTCTTATAGTCTTTACTTTTCGATTTTCGCTTCTAGCAGTCGAACACTCTGCTCTTATTCCCTAATATTGAATATCAGTTCTTTCTCTACATGATCATATGCCATGAAACTAAAAATTGTTGAATGATTTGCTATATTTTGTCATTAGTTATTTATTTTTCTTCAAAGCGAACATTCCTCTTCCTTTAAAACAATTATTTTCTATCTTGTTGCTTCAAAAAGGCTTGATATCATCAAAGAAACAAAGCCACTTCTTTTGCGATCAACTATCATTAGAAAATTTCAAGAAATATTGCCGCATTTGTTTTGTTATCAACATATGTCGTTCGTTGTAGTGCGTGACTGTTAACCCGAATATTTCATTCAACCGTTTTTGGCACTCACAATTTGCATAAAAACGCATCAAAGTACGCTTAACAAGCACGTGCCGCAAATTTATTCATTTTAAAAAACAGTATTTGCTCTTCAAAAACCATATCATTTTCGATTTGATTGTTCATTCCATTCTCCCCGCAACAATGATGATGACCATTGCAAACCAATCTGAAGTACGGTTTACACTGTTTTGCTAACTTGTTGTGTTTATCTATTGGTTAAACGCATGTGTAATAACCATTGAACCGTTCAAGCTTTTTTTACTTGCTTTTTTTCAGACAAGAGAAGACAGGATGTTCTGGAATAAGAAGCCCCAATCTACAACCGAAGAATTCTTTCCCGTAAGCACACGAATTTTTGTTTTGTTTCAGGCTATATTGTTTTCTAGTTTGTCGTTCCTCTACAATCATGGGACGTACTATTCGGATCTGAATATAAGAATTTGAATTCCACCGATTTTGCCAGAAGCAACAAGGTTGCAATTGATGTCGAAGATCAAAGGGATATTTCGGACTACTACTTTATCAATATCGTTCTACGCGGCGAATTTGCCAACATTTGCGGCGCTGTGACCGAAATTGTCAAGCTTGTCAATTCCAGTGATACCAAAAAATTTGGTGAGAAATTTGTAAGTAAAAGTATGGTTTAAAAAAATATGATATGAAAACATTTAGCGCGTGTATTACCCAGTTACGGAAATTCATGCTCCTTATATAATTAATGACCAACGATTGGAAAAGGTAAAGTGTATGTTCAAAACATTATCTTAAAAGTACATTTTAAGATTCAACACAAAGTTAAGTGTGAGAGCGAGCTTGTTCGTTTCGAAAAAAAGTTGTCTACGTCGATATATGTTTGCTTCTATGGCGACATATTAAAATTGATGAAAGCTTGTCTTCAACTTCGTGATGCGGTAACTAAAATAAATCATAAAATTATTGATCATTTAATGTTTTCAGCTCATCTATTATGACAAGTACCAGTTTGAGGTCGATGAAGAGATTCGTCTTGAAGAAGCGCGTCGCAAATTCATTCAGAAGCAAAACAAGCGTGCTGCTAAAATTGCTCAGCGACGTAATTCGACTTTATCAAAGATCTATGAGAAGAGCTCCCGTTTTCTGTTTGGCCGCAGGTCCGTCTGAGTTAATGATTTAAAGTTTCAAAAACAATTTGTAATTGGTGTTTGACATTTATCGCATGAATATGTTTCATAATTCGGTTTTATATTCGGTATATTTTAAGTTTAATAATTTATGATTTAACGTTCCATTCCGTTAGAGCTAAGTCAACCAGTCAATAATTATTATGAAGATGAAGTCAATCTCAAATTTCTCATGTATTTGTTTTGAGTTTTTATATGTACCAACCCCTCACTTTATGTTTTATAATTCCATTTTCAATCATAGAAATTAAAAATTAAATTCATATACATGTTGTTGTGTTGAAAATACGCCTCAAGATATTCAAGGTTAACAAGTTTTCATTAATTTTTGAATTTTCTTCATTGAACTATTAAAAACTGAAGTAAAAAATTATATCGAAAAAAACTGCAAACGAACTTGTCAAGAACATGCAGAGCGTTATTTTAATAGATTTTTTATTTATTATTATTATATATTGAATGTCATTGTTACAAACTGTGTGTGCCTTTTCCAATATTTATAACATCCAAGCTGGGGCTAAATTATGCCGTTGCAAGAATAGAATGAAACAAGACGCATATTAATCGTTGAAATTTTAATTTTTAGAAATAACTATCATTCGAAAACGGTGTACATGTGAAGAAGTGACAATCTGGAGAAACATAACTGATGATCAATAGACCTATAAAAGAAACAATTTTGCTCAACGCATTCAACATTTCAATAAAAAACCATTGTGTCTCGAGACAACGAGCAAATTTTGTGTACTCTGTGGCTAAATGCCAGCCCGAAGACTTATAAAATTTTTTTTTTAATTTGTATATATTTTTTGAGAAAAATTTTAAAACTACTCGAAATGAATAAAGGTTGGCACGATGTTTCAAAATATTATGACGCATTCATTCGATTATTTATCGACCAACAGGTCCAATCGTTCAACGGCAGACTTGCCGTCACGTTGAAAGACTAATATTGAATGAAAAGCGTTTTAAAAAACTTTTTTCGTATGCATGTTCGATTGCACCAGCTTCAACTTCGATTTTAAACTCGAATAAAAATGTGCAATTGCTTTTAATTGTTTATTAGTTACAGTGTACTCAATTTCGATAAAGTAGTTATGCATCAGGTGAATATACAAATGGATAAAGCAAAGAAAATCGTATCAGGACAGAAAATTATTACGTTGCCTTTAAAAATTGTCAAAGATTAAAAAAACTACAATGTTATCACAACATTACCCACTACGTAGAAAATTAATTAATCAACAATAAATATAATTTATGCAGGATAATAAAAATGAAAATAGTTCAAGTTGAGCGTATATGTTTTTTGCAGAATATTAGCAATGACCCCGATCGCACAGGGAACTACTGAATACGAGACCAACGGGTTTTTGGTGAACTTTCAAATGAGTGATGATTCTGTTTAGTGAGGTACGACTACAAGCGATTTTCGGGATGGACGATCCAATGAGCTCAATGAGTCGTACGAGTCTTCACTAGCACCGCTGTCCGATCTCTGCAATGGTTTAGATTAAAAGAATATTGAAAATTATTTGTCTCGACTACCTTTGACTCCGTCTTGGTGGTAAAATTGTTAGCAACTGACATATGCTTTTTGAGTTGTTCGTTCTCACGGAGAAGACGCTCAATTTCGCGTTGTTGCTTCTCAATAATTTCCTGTAAATGGTGCAATCAGACATGATCTCGTTTCGAAAATGATATACCTGTTGTTGTCTGTGCTGCTCAATGCTACGTTCTTGCCAGAACTCGTTGTTACGATCCCAGCCGTCTGGAACATCAACGATGGTCGGACGATGAAGTGTTGAGTTTCTGGATGCACGTGGGTTGGTTCGGGGAAGGCTCAATTTATTCGGATTTGCCAATGAGGTGGTCCTAGGGGAGACATCGCAATCTGGCGGTACCGCGTAAACCTGAACAAGAACTCTATGAAATTCGCGTTGAAAAATCAACAGAAACAAACCGGCTGATAGTGATAACTGTGCATTTCCGGATCATATGGCGGCGGGCTTGGACGATTCTGGAAGTTTGTCGGGATGACAACCTGTTTTGGCTCCTCTGGAATGTTGTAGCCCGACGGTCCTGGTCCGAACACTGGATTTGCAATGGATAGCGCAGCCATTCGCTCAACTGGGGATGAGCTTGATGAGTTTGAGTAGCTCGAAGCATTATTGCTCATGTAGCCACTCGACGCTGGCTTGCTGCTGGAAGGCGATGAGTCCGCCCTTGGAAGCCGTTTGCGATTTCGTCCTCCTCGATTACGATCATTATGAAGTTCGAGCTCCGAGTCAGTATCATCTCGCACTTCGCCGCTGCTTGTTGTTTTATCGCTGGTGCGGCTTGACGATGTTCCAGTTTCATCGCTCAATCGGACTCCTTTATGCGTTGTTGGTGTCTGAAACTTTAGGCTAATTTTTTGAAAATCGAAAGTATTCACCTGAAACGCGGATGAGAGGACATAATCATCGGCAGTCAGGAGATGCGTGGCTGGGCGATTCATCGAACGTCCCATAATTGTTGCCTGTCCAGTTGGCGGCGTGCTTCGATACGCCGGGACATTTTCGTTGCGTGGCCTAAAAACACTCAATTTGCATTTTTAATTAACACCAATTTATACATTGTAACTTGTTGTGGGCTGTTTTCGTAGTCCGACGACGGTTGATGGACAATTGGTGGATGGAAGCTGCTATCCGGTCGCCGCTTACATGCCGCTAGTTCGTCGAGAATTGGCTTCACTTCGCAAAGTGCCTTGTTTGTCGAATTTTTCTCCTGAAGAAGTGGTGTCCACGCTTCTTCAAGATAGATTGCCAACAAGCTCAGTTCTTTGCCAAGATCGACAACGGCTTCAGCAGACTTTTCGATTCCACTTGGACTGAAAAAAACTCAAATTAAAAATTTCGTGTAATGATCAGATACCCAGATGAGATGCTTGTTAAAAAGTCCTTCATTCGATGCCACTCCCTTTCGACAAACTCGTTCATGAACTCCATATAATGTTCCTTGCCTCCAAACTTGGTAAAATTGGCAAGGTTCTGGAGAGTCTTGGCGATCAAGGTCAAGTTGCGCGAAGTGGTTCCTGATGGATATTCAGCAACAATGTTGAACAGGCTTGGGCTCAAAATTGCTGGGCACAAGAATCGCAAGAAAATCGAAGAGGAAATCAACGTATCCGCAAGGGATCCACGGTTCTGGGCGTCAAGTCGGCAGCGAAGAATTGAGAACACTTCCCGCAATTCGGATGGTAGTTGATGGGCACTGAAACAAAAATTAGTGAAATTTTGTGGTTTAGGCAAATGTCTTACTTGTTCAAAATTTTAGTCCAAGCAACCTCTACAAATCTCATCAAAATCGCTCTATTCTTTTCAAGCGTTGAATTGGAAACATTTCCAAGCTTTTGTGGATCAACTTCACAAGAGTCTTCGCATGCCAAAGCAGATCGGATGAAGTCGCCAAGGGTCGATTGCAAGTACTCATCAGCGACAAGCTTCATAAAGGATTCCATCGCTTTAGTGGCCAATGAGTTTCCGCGGAACATAAGATGATCGTTCTCAAGTTGCTCGACCTCCTTCATGATCAAATCGCACAAAAATTCTTTTGATAGATTCTGCTTGTAGAGCACACGAACAAGAGACGTAGCAAAATCCTCCTAAAATTGAATTGGTTTCAACGCGAAATTCTCGCTCAATGTTTACCTTCACTCGGACGTTAAGAATGGGCTCGAGCTGCTCGCATAGCGGCAAGTAGCTATACGACAACAAATTGATAAGGTCATCATAGGCTCTCATTGGAAGAACCTCGACACTTTGCCAACGAGCTTTGATTCGAAGGGATGGCTGATCTTGAGAGCTGCTCTTTGCACCAAGCGCAGATGCAATTCTGCTGCTTGTCTCATTAGTAGTATTAACTGTATACCTAAAACGATTTTGTTTCAATATGAGCATTGCACATTTCTGTTCCAACCTACAGTAATCTCCAAACAAAGTTGACACTCTTATGTAATTTTTTCGTAATTTGACATTCATTAATAAATTTCGAATAAAAGTGCGCTTGCGCTCGTTAGAGAATTCGGGTGAATTAGTGTTCATTGAGAAGGTGTATGGGAGAAGCTGGGAAAAGTGATGTGGCGAGTCCCGAAGCTCGTATCGACCATAAGACATAATAGTTTCTGAATTGATTTGCTGATGAAATAAAACAAAACTAGGTAGAATCGCGAGAAGATCACTGAGTCATACTGATACTATCTTTTTAATTGAGGTTAGGTCGCGCTCGACTAGCTGCCCCCCGATCGACTAGCTGGCTATGCGAAATCAAAAGTTAATCACAATGGAAAACAATAATAATGCTGAAGAATAGCGGGCAATGAATGTGTGGGTCTGCAGTCGCACGTCGTTGTCGTGTTGATTCATGAACGCGAACGCAAGAACTGTCAAAAACGCTGAGGAGTTTTGACGCTTAATATTTGGACATGCTGCTCCGGTGTGAATGATATGCCTATTGGAATGCGCACGATGCATGATTCGGAAAAGCTTGTATTGCGTCCCGATTGAATGCGCGAGACAACAACGAATATGGGGGATAAAGTGGGCAAGAATAATTAACGAACACGTTTTAAACTTTTTCGTAGCGATGTTCGTCTTTTAGCGAGTGCGGGAGGGGGGGCAATGAAGTGAGTAGCATTGAGTGAAAAAAAGGGTTAAATTGTTTGAAAACGTCCGTCGATTCAACTGGATTCGCGGACAATTAGCGAAATTGACTTTACGCTCAGGTATAATGTGTTTTCCTCAACATACACACCGATCGAAAAACTTTTAATTCTCTATAACACTGAATGATAACAAAGTAAAGAATGGAATGAGCCGTCAAAGGCGATTTAATTCTACTTTTAATGTTCAAATCAAGGGCAATTTCTCTCCAACAAACCATCTTTCTTTTCTTGATTGGATCCATTAACAACTTATTTAATTGCATACGGAAGGTAAAATGCAACAAAAGAGTGTCAATTTTGCTGAAGGTCAAATTCGGGGAAAAAAAAACACTAACCATCGTTCGACCGGATTCCGACCAGATAATTGATCCATTGTGATGGTCACTATTCCGACAAGAGTCGCTCGATCCTTCTTTTTCTTGCCATCGCCATCTTTGTAGATACTGACACAAATCTCTTCAATTTTTGGAAGCATTCTGGAATACTTTTGCTGTTTGAAAACACATTTAAAATCAAATGCGACATACGAAAAATCAAAGTGTTCTCCCCAGAAGACATTGTCCGATCTCGGTTTTGCTGATGTTCTGGCATACAAGGTTTTGTCAAGACAAAGTTCGCAATAATATCTGAAACAAAAAAAAACACAATAATAGTAAATTTTTTCATAGAAGCTTACTTCTTTTTTGCTGGCAATCCTTTCGCCTCTAAGATCCAAATCAGAAGACTATTTTCGGTTCGTCGCTGGCAGTCGCGCCGCGGGTTCATTGTTTTTCGAAGACTGAAACGAATTTAATTGTCTTTGGCTTCGTCAATCAATAGTGACGCGCAATTCAGTAATAATAATAGTAATAATAATATACGTCCGCCAAATTGGGTAATGTTGTTGATGGTGGCGGTGTCGCGCGGCGGGTGGGACCAAAAGCTGACCGGCAGGTGCGCGGCGGGGGCTGTACGCGCGAGCTCTTTTATTCATCGAATTTGAATAAGGTAGGTAACCGGTAAAGGAGACGCAGACATTGCGCACAGATACCCTAATGTTTAAACAATGGTTTCGCGCGGTTTTTATGGTGTGCCCCAAATATGAGTCAAACCGAATTTGGAAAGTTCAAATGGGGCTCTTGTTGAGTGAGTGACATCATTCACTGTAGGAAAAATATTGCACTCTTTGGTGATATATGAGGAGGGGGGAAGGGAAATTCTATTTCCAGATAGTTTGCGGCTAAAAATAAGAAAACAATGACGTGACAGTGTTTCATGAAAACGAGTGGAAAATGCAATACATTTCAAATTGGGCCTCATCTCGCAGCAAACAACGCTTTACTGAAGCCGATTATTGAACACGATATAAAAGTAACCCTGATGATGCTGGCCGGCATAAATAAATGAGATACACCGTCAATAAATAAACGGATGAAAAAAAAAGACAATACGGACAGAAACAGAAGCAGAAAGGGACGGACAACAACGCTAATGCGTATTCATACGTATACTTCAAGGTGGACGTTCAGACGACATGTTAATGGAAAAAAAGAAGGACAAAAAGCATTGATGAGGATAAACACGGCGCGTAATTATGCAGAATGATGGCAAACAGCCATGACGATGAGGGGGAGCGATTTCAAGCAGATTTTCCAGACGATTATAATTCCAAGTGGTTCAGAACAAAAAAAGAACGGGAATACTTCATGACATATAGCGCGCTAATTGATTGAAAAGACTTCTAACTCTCAAGTATTCCCTTTTACTCCACATTTGGATTTCAATAAGCAATCGTTCTTCGGGAAGTATGTTGAGAATTGATGAATACTAGTTTTTACTAATTGGGAATCCAACTTTAAACTATTTCTTAAATGTTTAGACGGTTTTTCAATTCGGAAACTAGAGAGAAAATCTTATTCAGTGGCATTGAAGAATAAAATACAACATTCGCAAAAAAAGAAGCGATTTGCTGTGGAGATAAGTCAGTCATGACGGGTTGGAGGAGCATCAGCAGCTAGTAGCTGCATCATTCGCTGAGACGACACGAAAACCTTGGACGCAATGTATACACACGGTCTACACTCGCACAGTAAGCGAGACGCATTTTCGCACTCATTTTCTCGCGCACTATTGCCGTTTTGCGAATCAAAAACGGCGGCCGTCGGGCGTCCGGGATGCGGCTACCTTCTAAATGCGCTTCTTTTTTGTTTGCAAATTATTTGATGATGAGATTTGAAAACAGAAGCTTCAAGCAATTGCGAGGCAATTTCAGTTTTGCGCCACACAAAATTTTTCCCCAAGCGCGCATTTCCGGATGATTAACTGAGGACAATACGTGAAATGTAGGAAATGGATCGCTGGACACAAAGCGAATTAACTATGTACCAATTGCCACCCATTGAGAGAAATACTGTTTGGCCCACATCTGGTATTCAAATCCAATAAAGACACATAAATTATAGAGGATAGAACGGCAACAAAAAATTAATCAGTGTGCCGTTTGAAATTCACTAAATCGTAAAGACATTGAAGTAAAGGGCGAACGCGAATCTGCCTCACCCATGTGCGAAAATGAATAAGGAAACGGGCTGAATAAACAAATACATTGCATGAATGCATCTCCTCTTCGTTTGTATGTATATACAGTCAATGCATTGCGAATTTTGATGCCCAACGAGAACGCTAATAGGGCGAAAAGGTGTTGGATGGCGTGTGAAGCAACGAATCAGCGGTTTGCACTAGTCAATGAAAGAGCAATTGAACCGGAATTGCGTTAGTTTAGTCGTTTTTGGATGTATGAAACGAACCGCTCTCCAGCAGCATCCAATTCCAGCGTTCAGCGGCCAACTCATTTTCTCCCCAAAAAGTTTTAATTAAGTATAGTATTCCAAATTTAATTAAGGCGCACTTGTTTTTTTTTCCTATGGTCCAAATGCCTTGAGAAGAAAACTCATTTCTCGTTGGAAGTACGTGAATGTTTGCTAAAAAGATTCTCAGAGGCAAACAGTAAAAAAATTTGGATCGCGGGTCCGGTTAAATTGACGAATTCTTGAAATTCTGTTGAGCGCAAAATTTATAATAGCAAGTAAATTGAATGCGAATGATCGCCCCCAAGGTTAATAACGTGTCGAATATTATACACCAAGGACGCCCACCGTCATTGAAGAATATGGGAAAATGTTGGGAAATAAAAATTATTTGAAAATACGATGAAATGAATATTTTGGTTGGTTAAGGGAGTGAAGAGGATTAATAATGAAAAAAAAAATTGCTGTTGTCCACATGAGGATGTGCGCCAACAAACTTTTTCTCACCAAATATCAAGCCACAATCTTAAGTGAGCAATTTACGGATTTCTGTGAGAACGAAGCGCACAAGATGGCAATAAAGCTCGTCTTGCAACTCGCAAGAATAAGTAGATGGGAAGACGAGTCGAGCAAAATCAAATTACTCTGTTGCAACTAAACTTATCAAGTACACCGGCACTTCATAATTGCCTAGAACGTGTCATGTTCTTTTTTTTCCTTGGTAAATGTTGGACAACGAGGATTGTTTCGCAGATCGTTAAATCAAAATGACCGGCCTTTACAGACAACTAGTTTGATTTGATTGTCCGCGTATACATAAATACATACATTAACCTGAGAATTCGAATCACAAAAACATTCAAAAATGGCAGCCAATAATCAAAATGAAGAAAAAGGGGACGGACACCTGCTAGTCAATTCAGATCCAGAAATTGAATAATTGAGTCTCGTGAATAGGCAAGGTCAAAAACATACCCGCCGCCCTTTTCCTCGTTTTTTTTTTATTCCCGTTTTGATGGAATAGAATTGACACGTCGAAAAATCGAAATCAGCCAGATGTTTATCTCGGCCGCTAGCGATCATTCGTTTTGTATTGTTTCAAAATTTCGTGAACCAACCCAGAATTTGTTCAGATAGCATTAGTGTTGCTAAACTCAATTTTTTTCCCAATAAGGAAAAGAATGAGGACAATTGGGCTGAGCGAAACCAATATTTTAAAAGGGCCGACAATCATTTGAAATTTCGAATCCGCGGCAACTTCAAAGAAATGCAATTTGGAGCTCGAATAATGAAAATGTTGCGCAATAAAGAATTTGATTCATTTAAAAATTACATAATGAAAACATTTGCCTAATACAAACGTTGATGTATATTTAATTTTGAATCCACCGGGATGTGTTATAAAATTTTATTCCAATTTTCTTTGTTTCAAAAGATTTGTTAAAAATCGAAAGGAATGAACTATACGAAAGGGATCAGTAAAGTTTCTTAACTATTATTGAAAGGTCGACGCTTTTCGGGGAAAAAAATGGACGGGTAATAACTCATTTCGGGGGGGGGGGGGGGCAACGGAACCGCGGGCATTACGCGGGGGTTGTTATCATTTTTCGACGCGATGAGAAGAAATGAACGAAAGATAGAAGAAGATGCGAATGATACGCACCAATTATCATTATAGCACATGTTATAGTTATGCTTAAAAAATGCCGAAATTTGATCCGCGGCGCACCAATCGATAGGAACTGACTATGAGTAGTGCATAGCAAACAACGACCGACGCGGTTTTGAAGGAGAATAGCGAGGTGCGACGAATTGAAGGGGGGGGGGCACCTACGCGCACATTGCGAAAACATGGCCACCACCACCACCATCACACCAATTGGCGTAATACACTATGACATGGGTGCCACCCACCCAGGACAAATGAGGGATGTGTGTTGAAAAGAGGGCTGATACTATCGAACGCACGCGTTTAATTAGATTCAGATGGAATCAATCATTGATGAATGGCGAACTCACTTTTCCATCCACTTGGCGCGTTCCAATGGAGTTCTGCAAGCGTAGTAGGTATTGGCAACTCGGAAGCAGTTGGGCACGTCGAGAACCGATGGATGAACCGGATGAAGGCGGGCGTCGTCTCCTGAAATGACATGTTCACACTCAAATTATGTCCCCAATTGAACGTTGGCATATCGCTTTTACGCAACGTCGCCGACGTATCAAATTTCAGTTTCGTCGCCTACTCATTTTGTGGCGAGTACTTACATACATATTTTTAGTGTCAAATAGCGTAAAGTTTCAAAACGGATTCAATTTCCTTTGCCCGATTCATGTGAGAGGCACACATCAAAAGCTCAATATTGAGTAATCGATATTCATGTCGGAAATTTGATACGTTTACGCAAAATATTTTATTTTATTTGAAACCGGTAGTACGGTAAATAATAAACACACAGGTGGCACCCAAGTCTGAAAGGGAAATGAAACTGTTATGAGAGCCGACCAGCTGTGGTCTATAGGGTGCAATTTTCCGTCACGCGCAATTGCACTTGCTCACTACCGTACACGTTTCATTTAATTGTTTTTGCAATAAAACATGTGCTAAAATGGATTGGAAATAATTATTTTCAACATGACGTTGTTTTACTGCTCCTACACGCTCACGATTTGTGCTAGAAATCGCGTTAAATTTAATAACTGTGTCAGATATTACATAAAAAATCCAACAAATTGAAAAAAAAAGGAAAAACGTTGTCAAAAAAAATAATTTATGCTCTAGACAGCGTTATTCCGTAATCCATTTTTATCCCAAAAATCTTGAATTGTTTGTTTGTCTTGTTTTAGTCAAAATTGGGCTCCAGAGGATATTCGTACGTTGAATTTCAAACGAATAACGCATACAACAACGCCAAGCAGACAGACAACAATTGGAAATCATGTCAAGAGAATATCCTAGAGAACGACAAGGTTATGGTTCTCATATGATTGAACCAGTTTGACTATCAAATATGTGGCTGATTGAATATTGGAAAAATATCATTCTTCAAAAGTTGTTCGTGAAATTGCCGACGGTGTTGAACTTTTTTTTGTTCATTTAACTTGTTGCGCTATTTGTAATGTTTACCCGAAGAGGTGCAAAAAAGTACCGCGGTTTAATTGCTCCTATCATATACAAATAGTAGACTATAAAACTAATGTATGGTGGCAAATATTTAGTATAGCGGTAAACATATTAATAACATACCGAGATCGATCATATGAGTCGATGCCGAGGTGCTGAGAAGAGACTCGTGGGAACGGCACGCTCTCAAACTTCCTTCTCGCGCCGGTGTACTCAAATGCCGACGGGTGGACGGCACCATTGAAATATTCGGTTCAGGTGTACGTGTTGGAGTGGCGTCCACTCTATGAAGTGTGCTGTAAACGAATTGAATTTTATGCACAATTTAATATTAACAAATTCTTCTATTAGTTTTCCACTTGGATTTATTTATGAATTTCACCAGTCCAATAGTTCTTTTTTACTTACCAGCGAGCGTTTTTTGAGCATGTTGTGGGCACATTTACCGTATAAGAATTTGAACGTATGGAAAACATGTGGCGCATGCAGTCTCACCACACTTATCTGTATTATCAATATAATTACACCTAGCGGTAACAAGGGTTGATAGCAGAATTGAACTTTGACATATATAGTTATGTCTTTTTTTGGGTTATGTGATATCCGAAATGATAATGGAAGTGGAAGTGGAAGTTGTTGAATGTTGACATCATTGGTATTCGTTTAAATGGTCAACAAGTTTTCAAAATAATTCAGGTAAAAATGAAAAATGAGTGCAGCAAGAAATGCATTTCTCTTTTTGAAGAATTGATGTCATTTTGGAATTCCGAAACGAAAACTGAAGAGGATTACTAGAAGCGGATCGCAGTGTGCGGGGAGAAACGCGACGGACGGCCTCCGAACAATTCAGAATTCAACTTTGTGGAACAACACTAAAACCGTGTCAAATTCGGGCGCACGTTGAAAATATGCACAGTTGGAGGCGCGACACTTCTTCGGGAATTTATTTCAAAAAGCACGGATTTGCGCGTTTTATACGGATTTCACGATGCCGATTTCTCCCCTCCCAATCACGATATTTGACCGACATCTTGAAGTATTGTAAATAAGTATATTCTAGTATATCGTGGTAAACGTGATATAAGTATTGTTTTTCACTATTTTACTTACCTTGATTTGAATAACTTTGAGGAAAATGATAAAAGCATAATTATTTTTGAGTATATGTGTATAGAAATAATCTATTTTTAAACACGAGGAGTGTTTACGATATGTTTGGTTTTCGAATACCACCTCTACTCACCGTTTTGATTTATAAACAATTCTTCCACGTACGAGCCGCGGATTCGCATTGGGTTTCACCTCGCGATTGGGTGACAAGCACTGCATTCCTGGATTCGATAATGTCGAGCAAGACTCAATTCCAGTCGGAACGCGCGTCAAACATCGATCGGATGCCGTTTGACTAATATTCGCGATACGTTCTGAACCGCAAAACGGAATATCGACGAAGCGTTTTGGGACACGGAATGAGCGATTAAACATGGTTGCAAACGGTTTTCGATATGGCTGCGGAGTTGATGTCGTTGTTAAGCATTGAGGAATACTAGGAAATTGCGGGATGAGGTAGTCGGTTTGGTCGCGTTTTGCAAATTTTCGCGCTTGCATAAGTGGAAATAGGCGACGGCTAGTTTCGAGAAACGACCAACCGAATATTCAAAACGACAATGCGTTTAAATGAGACAATCCATCTTGAACGCTCTTCTTTCCTTTATTCTCCAGCGCCAGAATTGATTATCATCATTGGAAAATTCCGATAATGATAATCAGCGATGAATATTCACACAAGCTAATTTGATTCGCACTATTGTGGCAAGGAAATGATTTCGATTCGGAAAGCGAAATTCACGAACAAGATGGAATAATAGGAAAATTTCAAATTTCATCACATTGAAACTATTCGATAGGTATCTCAAAATTTATAATTAGGCAATTGTCTCATGAAACTAGTTTGTATTATCTCTGAGGTAATCTTCAAAATTTCAATGTTTTTTTACGGCATTCGCCAAATCCCCCTAGAATCTGGAACAGTAGTTAATCCAATTTCTTAATTGCGGGGTTCAGTGTTCGCTTCAAAATAATCTTATAATTAAGGTGGATTGACATAGAAAAATGGAATCTAGAATGAATATAATACAACTACAACTAATACAAAGAATTGTTATATCAAAATCATTAAAGGGAGCGTCGAAAACATTGAGAAATGATGAGTAACGGTGCGACAATTAGTAAGCCAAAGAAAAGACACAAAACGAACAGAATGGAAGCGACAACACACAACACGAAAGGCTAACTACTAGCTGCCCATGGTTTTGATATTTAGCGATATTGCATCGCAAGATCAAAAATGGGAGATATGCGTTAGCTAGGTCATGTCAATCTGCTCGTGTTGTTTTCAATTTTTCGGTTCACAGCGACTCGCATTGTTTTGAAAGTAAAAAAAACGTGAGAAAACTTGTCGAATGTTTTGATTTGATTTCCTGATTTCTTTCAGCTATGCACTTTTTTTCCGAGTAATTTTTCGAAAATAAATCCACATCTTTATTGTCATTTTTCGAAACAAAAACAGTACAGTGTGATACTGAGATTAAAATCTGGCAATACGGCGAAGGCGTGTTTGCCTTGACATCGCAAGAATTTCGAAAAAGCGGCAATGAACGTCTATTCGAAGAGGAAATGTTTTTAAAAAAACATTTGCCTATGTAAATAAATTGAGAATCACGCTTTAAATTTTTCTTCTAGGGAGGAACATTTTCAAACAAATTCAATGCAGGCTTCCGGTATAAACAAAAAAGATGAGGGGGGCCAACCTATTGGCAATGGCACCTTGAGCCCAAAAAATTTGTCGATGAGACATCTGGCATTCTTTTTTTTTCCGCCGCGATTTCTCGTGAGACACAATGTTGTGTGGGTCGTCGGCAACCTAGCGCGCCTGCCATCCTATGATCCACGGGAAAAAAACGAAGAATGATTGGTTTCTCTCAAAAGAAAAAGAAAGGTTAAATTATTAGAGACAAAATGAGAGAAGATATAGCAAATTATATAAGAAATATTTCCGGGGGAAAGTGTTGGGGGAGATAGGATTTCTTTTCAATTTTTTGATTTACAAGGTGTAAACTTCCCAAAAAGTAGAACATTTGTTGTAAATAACTATTGTATGTCATTTTTTTGCGACAGCACATAACTGGTTGGATTTAAAGGTTGGCATTCGACTATGGCAAATGGGTTTAACCCTTTTTTTATAGTTATGGTTGTGATTTTTCCATGTTTTTACTTTGTATTATACCAATGCGTGTAAGTCTTTTATTCGGCGCAGCTGGCGATCATTATATTTTATTGGGATAATTTTTCTCCAACCAATTGGAACATTGAAATACACAAAGTGATGGCGGAGAGGCAATCAAGGGACATCAGTTGTTCGTAGAGTCCAACACAATTTCCAACATATCTTTTTCGCATTATTAGTCACCTGATTCTTCCTTCTTTTTTTGGTGATGCATTTTTTGATATGAAACCAATAACCTTGTATACATATAGGGACACTCCGAAAGAACTCCATGACTGCCTTGATTGGATTATCTACTTAAGTGTTGAACATTCCAAAGACTAATCGCCAGCAGTCTGACCAATTGACCTGCCGTCAAGTGTAATCGTAAAGACAAAGAAGATATTTTTGACCGATAAATGGGATTTTTATTGACAAAGTTCCGAGTTCGAGAAGCATGGGTGGCGTTTTTTCCTTGAGGGAAATATTATAACCTAACGGATTTGAATGAAATAAGAGTTATAATAAAGACGGCGGCAACACACGGCACGAACGCAATTCAGTTTGCAATTCCTACCGAAAATCACCAATTGCTACCGCGTAATTAAGCTCTACTATCTCCTCCTTTTAAAATATTCCAATAATTATTTTCACCTCACATTTTTTATAGAAAAATTTGCTCATTGGTTTTAATAACGTCAACGATTTTTTTCGGACTGGTGAAACCCGAAATAGAATAAACATGCCAAATAAAAGTCGAAACCCAAAACTAACTTTTGATTTGCTTCCGCCAACGTCTTTTCCATTTTGCTAACACTTTTTGTACGCTTCAACGGGTTTGTGCGAAATGGTCGAGAGAGAAGATTCTGCAAAAACGAGTGAAAATGAGGTAATGGGCGAGTTTCAAAGGTCCTACCGCGATTCGCTGCGGCGCCGACGTATCTGATGTATTCGAGGCGGAAGGGACAATCGGGAACTGTAATTGAGGCCACATGAACGACAGAACATTGAGAACATCGTCAGCCGAGAATACACATGAGTTTCGCATAACGCTTTTCAAAATTATTCAACAATCTCTTATCAGTATTATGGCCGAATGAGTCATATACTCAAAAAAAAGGAATGCCTACTTATTGATGGAGTTTTTGATGGAAAAATAAGTGGTGGTGTATGAAAAAAATGTAACAAACAAACGTACGCCGTAAACGTTTGTTGGTTGGGCGAGATTTTGTGTGGAGCCGCTCCGATTTGACAAATTATGGCTCGATGACGACATACGGCCGTTTATCATATTGTTGTGTACCGACGCAGTCAAAGTCGTACGATTGGTCGAGTTTGAATTCCAGCCACGACGATCCAGCGATTCTCCACCAACACCGTTCGATCCGTTTTCATCTTGAATTGCATCTGAAATTAAATGAATAAATTGACATTGCTATTAATATTCTATTGTTTAAATCAAATTTCAACCTGCTATTATTAGTTTTATCTAATTTCATGGCCTGATTGACAACTGTGTCAACTGTTATTTTTGATTTTGAAAGCGAAATTCATATAACATATTAATAGTTAAAGGTAACAGTGTTGGTTTAACCTCGATATCAGACCTATAGATAACAATGTTGCCTCTACAAATGTATGTATTTACATTTTGTAAGTTTACCTAAGAAATTGCGATCGTAATCAACTGGTGGAATATGCTCCTCTGGTATAATATTCAATGAATATGTGCTCATAGAATACCATGGCGGTGCACCGAAACGCCGCATCCGGTTCGATGTGACAACAACAATAGCGAAAAGTACCCAAAACCAAGTATGCAGTAGTAGAACGACGATGGAATGGACACGCTATTTATGCGCAAACAGATTATTCATAAATCAATAGACTCGGCGGGTGGTCCACATATGGCCTTGTACACCGAATGATAACCAATGCTGATTATAATTATAATAATAACTGTGGCGAAGGTTATTGAAATCGAGGAGAGGGTCGGCTAGTGTAACCCGGACACGCGAGAGGCAAGATTTGCCTTTGGTGTTGGACGATGCGCCTACTCGTCCCTCCCTCTGCCGACAGCGGCTTCAACCTGACCGTCTGCGAAGCCTCATCGGCGACCGTACTATTACCGGGGGCCCGTGAGGGCGGCGCACAATGCTGATCTAAGAGATGCGCATAAAACCGCAATTATTTTTGATAATATCAAATTATGAGGTGTGTCTGAATCTCAGACCAACTTCGGCATGACTTGGAGGAATATTGGATTGGCATGAGAACCGGACTGATTGTTTAAAGAAATATAATGAATGTATGGATGTCGAGAAGGATTTGAAAAAAAAAAATGCTCCGCATTAAGTTTGCATGTACATGTAAATGTATTGAAAGGAAACAATGTAATTGATTTCAAATTTTTAAGTGCTAAACATAACGACTGTCTAGTTTGGGTGATTATAATAAGAGGATAAATACGTCAATCTGTTTGCATAAATTCTTTGGAATGCGCAAAATCCGTATCAATTTCAAATTTCGAAAAAGAAGACACCAAATGTTTCATATTCCAATATTCGGTTCTCTTTTTTTTCAATCCTTCTTCTGTATACGGAACAAACAAGCGTTTCAGCCAAAAAGCGTTGTATCAAACCAGTCCGAGTCTCAATGGAAACCATCACATAAATGCGCGTGGTTAGATCATAATGGATGTATTATGCCGAAAATATAAATTATGTCACCACTTATAGACATATGTGAAAGTATTTGTCTGAACTTCAGCGCTGAATTGGAAAATTCCAATTTTCTTAATGATTGATCATGTGAATGAAAAATTGCGCTGCCTCCGTTTTTCAATCATCGTCAAAATTTTTTTTTTCGCTAAAACATTTAGATATGCCGATCAATCAGAGATGTTGATCTCAATCACAATCTCCGGCTGGCATGGCTGGTCTCAACACACTCAGATACATACATATTTACCGCTGAGCGGCACTCAAAACAGAAGGAGAAGCACTTGAAAACCAATGTTCCATGTTGCCGTTACGATTTATTTCAAATTGATTCGTGGTAATTACATTCATACAATTTCATCCAAGAAGACACTAACTGGATTGGGGGAACAAGTAAACCGTTCGGTAAACTAAGTTGATTTCCTAAAATGTTTTGAGACACAAAGAATTGAATCAAAGGGATTTCGAAATCGACAAATATTTGCATATTCTGTAGATCAGAAGATTGAGACGCGAATTTATAAAACTCGAATAAATTACTAAAATTACGATCCCCGATGGGTTAAATCATATCAATTTTACTAAAATTATCATTGTCTTCTCGTCTCAAAAATAGAGATATAAAATTAGACTGTGTTTAAATTGATTCTTGTTGAGTTATTAATTGTTTGCACATTGATCAATTAGAAATTGTCAATGCATACATGAGCGTATAATTAATGATAACAGTGCAAGGAGTGCACTCTACGATAAACCCTAAATCACGAAGTTGGATATCTCTAGTGGCAAGAAGCTAATGGAATATTCAAATCAATTAGACATGCTACAGAAAAAGCCATGCAAGACTTTTAGTTTCTTTAAGAGAATTTCAGCTTGTTAATATGGAAATAAGAATTTGAAAATATTATAATAACCCCTCCACCACATTAAATGAGATATTTGATCCGCGATATTTCAAATTTAAATTTTACGTGCTCTCATCAATTCTTTGCGTCTAGTATTCAAAAACGAGCCTCAATTTTTTCTCTGCAATCTGGCAACGAGATTTTTCATTGAGTTGAAAGTGTGAGATCACTCGGATATTATATGTTCCGTCAAGCTTCGTACATTTTGCAGTGTCGTTCGTTCGTTCATTTTTCTCAATCGAATTGCTTTGCTGTTGTTCAATCAACAATGTTTTGGCGGGAAGAGCCCGAAAGTTTTTTTTCCAGTATCCGGCTGAACACCACACTCGTCGGCAGCGGAATTTTTTCAACAACGACACCCATTTCAAATTTTGATTGAACTTCCTTCCCGTATTATACCATTTTTTTCACACCCAAATATTGTAGTTCTGAGTGAGAGTAAACGAGCGAGAGAACCCCCTCCTCTCCCCCTCCCACCAAAAACAATGTCAATTCATCCGAATGACAAGAGTAGCAGTAGATGAAAAAGAACAGAAGCACCGGAAGTGATGCTTGAGCACGAGGCGAAGAAGCAAAAAAATGGCATAAATTGTTTGTCTATTTTTTTCAACTAATGTTAGGCTGTTATTTTTTTTTTAATTTGAAACGATAAATTTCGTGAATCCAATTTTCGTGATGGTGATTCAAAAGCGCATTTCTCACGTCAATTCCAATAAAATGATGGCGAAAAAAAAACCGTAAATGAGACCCTTAAGAGGACAGCGGAGAAAAATAAATAAAAATGTGAGGGCGAAAAATAATTATTGGATTCGCGATTTTTTCAATGATCCTCGTTTCCGAAATTAAAAAATCTTGAGATGTGCAGAAAAATGTCCAAATTTTAATTTGAAATTTCGACAACCTAACAATGAGATCATTTGGGACGATTTTGCAGAATTCAGACAGCTCCTACCGACGTAAAATGCTTCTCACATCATATTCAATTTTTGCTCAAAGAGCTAAAAGCTTCCAAAAAAAAAACCGACGGCAAACGCACAAAAAAAAGCCGAAGCTTCAAGATAATCGAGTTTAGCAACATTCGTTGTCTCAACTTGGACTGAAAACCAGGAATTATCCACTACGCATTCTAAAAATAACTATTCCTATTGCTTCTCATTCTTTCCAATGTTTGCGCTGAATTCGTAGATGGAATAATGGCGCGAAAAACGTGAAACCCGAGATCGTTTCGCTTAATTCAAAAGCATTTATCTTCTTCTTCGTCTTATTCATAGTCGAAATAAATACGGAAATGCGATTTTTTTGGAAGAAGACCGCTCATAAATCATGGAATTTTCTCATTTACTGAAATGGGAATAGAAACGCCAATACCGGAAGCGCCCCCCCCCCTCTCTAAAATATATCTATCACAATATTTCTCTCTTTTTTTGTCTTCTTCTCTTGCTAATAAGCAGTTGGCAAAAAAATGTTGTGTCGAATATTCGGAAAGAAGAATGAAATGCATTGGCATTCATAAAAAAAATCACCATCTTTCAACTGTTGGTATTTCTCTTTTTTTTTCTGTCCCTGTTATTCAAATCAGAACATTTCTATGCCTTCGGCGCCGCGAAAAGTTTGGGAAAACGGTGTGAATCATATTTTCAGTGACTCAAATAATTGCCAACATTCGTCTGAAAGGCACTGTACGGCGAGAAATATCGAAAGAAAAAAAAATTGGAAAGGAAAATGAGGATAGAGATAATGGGAAAAATTTTAAGATGACTTGAAAACTTGCTAGTTTCATAGAATACGGTAGATGTCGTCACTACAAGTATCAGCAGTTCGTCATTCTGATGTTTGACAAATTGGAAAAATGATATAATATACACAAGGGATTGATAAAGACTTTCAGCACGACACAGACATACGCACACACAGTTAAGAAAAAAAACTCACTAACGGACGATAACCATTGCTCGGCGATTTTTGATAAACGCATTGCGTGTTACGAAAACCATTATTCCAAGATCTTGACAATCATTTTTTACGCACCATAAAATCAACGGAAAACAGCAAAATTTATTCTAGACGTAGCAAATACTATATTGTGAAAGCGCACGAGAAATGCTTGTCTGGAAGGTGCCGAATTACAATATGTCGATATAAGGCGAGCATTAACAAAACGATATCTTTCCGATTGGGTTAAAGATGCACAGTCACCCCAAAGGCTGGCTTTCTACATTGTCGTTAAAGCATCAACACATATACATACATAAATTTGTTGAGATGAGGACATTTTTTTTACAGAAAAACTGGCTCGGGGGCTGAGCTAACAGTGTACGAATCCGTAAGTCATCACAGGGCCAGATATGAGGGGAACTTAAATCATTTCGATGTTGAATTCAAAGACTCACTAGGCTTTTTGGACTGCCTTGTTTGAGCTGCGTTCTCCGTGGGCAGAAATGGTTCGGTTTCGTTCGTCCGGGAATTGTTGGCCCGTATCGTCGCCGCTTCAATATCATTCGCTCCTTGTGTCCGAGTACAACAGCAGCACAAGTGATTCTTTAGAATGTAGTAGATGCTGAGGATGGCATGCCAGATCCAACTGATAAACACCAGCGGCCAGTAACACAGATTGATGAGCGACATGATTGGTTGAATAGGTCCCGAAGTGGACTTAATACACTAGGGCGGAATTGATTTGATAATTCCTCCAGCTAGTTATTTTTTTTCCGGATGGCGTTGAAATAAAATGGTTTCTAGATGAGAGCGAGTATTGAGGCGGCGTCGAGATCGCTTCTCAGGGCCCAAGACCACGCCTACTTCTTCTCCGACTGGCCGCCGCGCCAACGATGCGTAAGTTGGCGTGTGCTCTTTTCCTCGTCCTTCCTCAGTCGTTGTTCTACAACTGCTGCTGCACTTGCTGGACTTTTCGTGTGGATAATGAGCAAAACTTGCAAGTCCCGAACACCCGGATTGTGCCAATAATGGAAGCGAACAATAATTGGTAGTGGATAGGATGGCGATAATGTGGTGACAATGGGCGAAGAAAAGTGATATGGTGTTGAAACAAGATTTCCGATTGGATCTCGTTGGAGAATCATGAGAGATAGAACAACACAAGGTTTTGTTCTCCAAAATGCTTCATCATCATCATCGCGGTCATAC